CCCATTGGTCTCTGGTGGTGTTTTGGCTGGTGTTGTTTCCTGGGGCTATGGCTGTGCCTACACCAACTACCCTGGTGTCTATGCTGATGTTGCTGCCCTCCGCTCCTGGGTTGTTAGCGCTGCTTCCTCTGTATAAATTTAATTACGAACTTAAATAAATTTTCGATATTTCTTTACATTAATCAAAAATTTTTCGCAGTTTTTTTATTTTATGACTGAAAATGGGGAATAGGCCTGATAAAAAATAGATCGAAGGTAATACAAAATGGTTCAAAGATATTGCACGACCAGCCATAATTTCTATGATTTGAGTTTTGAATTTTGATATAGGAAAAATATTTATGCTTAATTAAAGTTAATCATATTTTGGTCCACCTCTACTACCATATTCCCACAAATGGTCTATTTTGCCGCCAACAAATGGATATCTCTTGAATTTTCAAAATGATCATCCAATTTTGTATTCTGAGGAGTAGCTCCGTTTATAGGCCTACTGATGTATTAACAATTACCCATTCCAAGTAGAGCATAAAAATAATTTTTAGTTTGTTTCTTTTTTTTTGATTTTCTCATAGCTTCAACATTTAAAAATAAAATTTACGGATTGAACGGAAAATTTGGACAAAACAAAAATTGAAAAAATGTTAAGATCACTGGGTCTAGATTCTAGTTCCATGAAAATATTAAATCAAAACTCTTTTGTTTATAACATTTTTCCTTTGACATTTCTCTCCTTTATAAAAACTGGTCTTTCAACATTTTCATTGAACAAAAATTGAACGCCTAGTCATTGGGCTTTTACATATTATTTTCGAATATGTTCAAAGCATTCGGTCTGGATCAAGGCTAATATAAGGTCGGACAAGAAGATTACTTTTGACAATAAATTTAGAAGTTTTTGCATCTCTGCGACTTGACTTTCTTTGAAATTCACATCAAAATTATGTTTTTGACTGCAAACTTGGTTGCCACATTGGTTTATTGGCCGACCTTCTATAGGCCTTGGGTCTGGATAACATCAGAATCATTGATTCGTTTATTATCCATAATATAAGAATTTTTTTGAGGACTTTCAGTTACTAGTCGTTTAGTTTTAAAGAATTTATTAAATAAATTTTGTAGCATTAGCCTTAGATTTCTAAACAATTTTTTTGGAGGATAATGAAACGGATATGAAATTTTGTTGAGCTAATTTTTTTATTACATCCAGACTATTAAATGGGGATTTCTATAGTTCTTTTGAAGAACTTCCAGCTCCTTCAATGTGGATTTTTAAGAGTACGTGCGACCAAAATTCTGGTCTTTGAATGTGGATTTTAAAGAGTTTTTCAAGAACTTTTAAGTGCTTGAACTTGGATTTTTAAGAGTACTTCTGAAGAACTTTCAGAACATTGAAGGCGTATTTTTTTTAAAATTACTTTTGAAGATCCTTTAACTTTAATGTTTAAGTCTATTTTTTAATTTTTTAACGATTCTTGAACTTGAAATTTTCAGAGAATTTTTGAAGAACTGAACCTAGGAGGTGAACTTTTAAATAGTATTTTTAGAATCTTCTCGATCTTGGATTATTGAGTGTATGTTTGAAGATCCTTGAACCTAGTTTTTAAGGAGAATTTTTTTTGTAGAATTTTTAGTTACCAGAATATGGTTTCTTTGGCGATCCCTGATTGTATCCTTGAACTTTCAATTTGAGGTGTATATTTGAACATCCTTGAAATTCGATTCTAAGTGAATCTTTTCATACCCTTGAACTTAGACTTTATCGTGTATTTTGGAAGATCATTCAAATAAAATTTTTAAGAAAATTTTGAAAGAACTTCCAGCTGCTTGGACGTGAATTTTAATTAGTATTTTGAAATAACTTTCCGATATTAGAGTGTGGATTTTAAAAACATTTCTAAGGAGTTCCTAAGACATATCATGTATTACTCGGAAAGAGCTATGCAATTTTCGATAGCGAAATTTTTCAAAATTTTCAAAAATGTCAAGGGCAAAAATTATTTTTATTGAAAATACATAAACAGCTTGAGGTCTTGGCATGACATTTATGTAACACATCATAATGGGATGTCAGAGCCATACTTGAACACTGCCATTGTTTCCCTTATAATTTGACATTAATATGCCCAGCCATATTGTCGAGCTGCAAATGTCCCCCACACCTTAAAAACTTCCAGATTCGTTCACATGCATATTTGGAAATAGTTTTGAAAATCTGCTGAGCCAAGATCCCGAATTTATTTTTGGGAACTAACGTTGTCCACCCTCAAAAATTTTACATATTTTGGCCTATTTTTATAAAAAAAACTCATTATTTTCGTTCATCGACCAAATGCTTTAACATCACAGGCTTCCAAATAATATTTGTAGATATTATTGCAAAATATCCAGTACTCAGACATGGTAAGTACCTACAGTACACTGAACATTGAAAGGATTTTGTTTTAGAAATTTCTGGGGAGATTACATACACTGAACATTAAACTAATTGTTCCCAACTGGCTGTCTTGCGTTGGGCGCCATTTGATATATGATTTATCCAATATTAGGTATATTATTTACCAGCACAACCATAGGCAGGGGGTAATGGCGACCGATACTTTCTTAGCTTTTCAGTTAACCCAATTTTGATCCTATTTTAATTGAAAAGTTAATTTTTTCCGTTGTTGGACCAGATTTCTTACCATCACAGGCACCCACAAACCTTTTGTAGAAATTATTGCAAAATATGGAGAACTGAGACACACTTATTATTTGTATTTCATTGAATGTTAAAATTATTGTTCTCATTTGATTGCCTTGTGTTGGGCGCCATTTGCTACATAGTGTACTGGATCTGTCATAGGTGAAGGGTAATTGTGTCTTTTACTGGTCTTACCACTGAAACACCAATGGGAACACAAGCATTACTATTTGCGAAAAACATTTGAAAAATACGCTCTAATTCAAATGAGGCTTAGGCTACCTATATTTTCTCGAAACAAGAATACAATACTGCCCATGTGTGTTTCTTTCACCTTTGTCCTTCCCATCCCAGAGAAAATCGAAAGTGGGCGTTCAATAAAATTTTGGCAAAAGATTTTTGTCATTAATCCACTGCAAAAGTATGCCACTGCTTCAAATACCTGCGATTAGCTTTTCACAGTTGATAATACCAACATTTGTGACAGTTAGATGACAGGTTCGTATGGCTAATTTGCCGACAATGAGTTGTGCGATTTTTTATTTGGCAAAATATTAGATAATCCATATCAGGTACTTAAGAAATTGCGCAGTATTTTTTGGGGGGTTTGGGTCATCAATTGTTAGTGGATTATAAAAGCGATTTTGTTGGTATTGGAGACCAGTAGTTGATTCTAGTGCATCAACATGTTCAAATTTGTAATTCTGTTATCGGCCCTTGCCTGTGCCTTGGGCGCCACCATACCTGATGGTATGTTGCCCCAATTGGATGGACGTATTGTGGGCGGTGTTGCCACCACCATCAACTCCTTCCCCTGGCAAATTTCGTTGCAACGTTCCGGCTCTCACTCCTGCGGTGGTTCTGTGTACTCTGCCAAGATCATTGTTACCGCTGCCCATTGCTTGCAATCGGTGTCCGCTTCGGTGTTGAAGGTTCGTGCTGGCTCCACCTATTGGAACTCTGGTGGTACCTTGGTTTCTGTTGCCGCCTTCAAGAACCATGAAGGTTACAACTCCAAGACCATGGTTAACGATATTGCCGTCATCCGCCTGTCCTCCTCCTTGACCATGAGCTCCACCATCAAGGCTATTGGTTTGGCTACTGTGGCTCCGGCTAATGGTGCTTCTGCCTCGGTGTCTGGTTGGGGTACCCAATCGTATGGCTCCTCCTCCATTCCCACCCAATTGCGTTATGTCGATGTCAAGATTGTTGGTACCACCCAATGTGCCTCCTCTTCGTATGGTTATGGTTCGGAAATCAAGGCTAGCATGATCTGTGCCTACACTGTTGGTAAGGATGCTTGCCAAGGTGATTCCGGCGGCCCATTGGTTTCTGGTGGTGTCTTGGTTGGTGTTGTCTCTTGGGGTTATGGCTGTGCCTACACCAACTATCCTGGTGTCTATGCCGATGTTGCTGTCCTCCGCTCCTGGGTTGTCAATGCTGCCAACTCTGTTTAAATTACGCTATGAATAATGAAATACGATCAGATACTTTAATTATTTTTTGTTTTTTTATTATGGGTGGAATCGTTAAAGGCCAAGCAAATGTAGAACATGTTACCACTTATGAAAAATCGGCAAGGTCTTCTGTAAGGGTCTTCTGTAAGAAGAATTTTGGGTTCATATGGTCCCATAAATATTATCCTTAAAAATGTCTATTATAAAATATTCCTCAAGTGCCTGTTTTGAGGGCCCCTGAAATCCCTTCAAATGCCAGAAAATGCCTAGAAAATTCACTGGCGTATGAGTATTGTCAGCATGTATACGTCATATGGAACCCAGCCCTTATTATCCAGTAATCATGATCATTATTAATAATTTTTGGTTTTTAAAGCCTATCAAATGAGCCCGATGAGAGCCCCTGAAATACCTTTAAATGCCTAGAAACTATGTTGGCGCATGAGTGTTGTCAACATGTATACGCCCTATGGAACCCAGCCTTTATTAACCGGAAATCATGAGAATTATTAATAATTTTCTGTTTTTAAATTCCTTTAAATGTTTTTTTTTTGAAAATATTAGGATTTTTCAGATTTAACTAAAAGGACAAGGTGCTGAAATTTTAGTTCCATATCCAGAGCCTATTTCTTTCACTACATTTAATAGAATATCACCATGGGACTGTAAGGCATACATTGCTGTTATCTGCAATGCAGGAGGCATGGGATTCCACAATCGCAACACCTTAAAATTTATGGTTGATGTTATCGGTTATTTTGTAACTAAATACCACCAATGACAAACAACTAACAAATTGATCCCCCACCCTGGTTCTGGATGTCTTACTGCTTCCATGTGTATAAATACAAGAGGTTTGAGGCTTCGGCGAAAGTAATATTTATTTGTTTTAAGAAAAAATGTTAAAAGTATTAATTTTACTTGCCTCTATAACCTCGATTCTAGGGGCTGGCATTTCTGAGGGCATGCTGCCTCAATTGGATGGTCGAATTGTGGGAGGTGTTGCCACAACCATTGATTCTCATCCCTGGCAAATCTCCTTGCAACGCAGTGGTTCGCATTCCTGTGGTGGCGCCATCTATGCGGCAAATGTTGTGGTCACATCAGCCCATTGTTTGCAGCAGGTTACCGCCTCAGTTCTGAAGGTTCGTGCTGGATCCTCGACATGGAATGAAGGTGGAATTTTGTTGTCGATTGCCGCCTTCAAGGCTCACGAAGGTTTCAGTTCCTGGACAATGGTCAATGATATAGCTGTGCTGCGTCTAAGTTCTTCCCTGAAGTTTGGTTCCACTATACGGCCAATAGGTTTGGCCACCAAGGTTCCATTGCACGGTGCAGCAGCTGTTGTCTCGGGTTGGGGTACCCAATCTTTTGACTCTGGTTCTTTGGCTGACACCTTACAATATGTGGAGGTTAGTATTGTAAGCGCTGCGTCTTGTGCTTCACCTGTTTATGGTTATGGTTGGCAAATTCAACCCACAATGATTTGTGCCTATGGCAAGGGCAAGGATGCCTGTCAAGGTGACTCCGGGGGGCCATTGGTGTCGGGTGGTCTCTTGGTGGGTGTTGTTTCCTGGGGTTGTGGTTGTGCCTTTGCCAATTATCCAGGCGTCTATGCTGATGTGGCTGCCCTGCGACCCTGGATTATTAGGGCAGCATCTTCGTTATGAGTGAAAATTATTTACAAATAAAAATTATCACTGATAAATAAATACCGCCACATTTTGCAAATTCATGCTGTTCTTTGTCCATCCATCAGTACCAGCTGACGTATACGTTACGTCAACACCCATACGCCCTGAAGTACATTATTTAAATATCATCTAAAATCGGCTGCATTATTTTTAGATCTTTATTTTTTCTGTCTTTCTTTTTTCAAAGTAAATTCTAATCTTATCTGATGACGACACCCGAGTATTGGAATTTCCCTCTATTTTAAAGCCAAAAGTGTTGAAGTGTTTTCTTTTCGCCAAATCAGATAATTATGTCTAGTGTCATTTTATTAAACATTTTATTATCGAGATACTCCAACTGGTTAGGACTGATTTGGCAGAAAGCCATTGTTATATATTTAGCATAGGTGGAGTGTTCAAAATACTTCGAGATGTATTTCGGGGTCTTTAGCTATTATTTGTGATCACTTTTTTAGGCATGAATTATTGCAAACTTTAAAATGGCCATAACTCCTTAAATATTGACATTTCGGGGTTTTTAGCTATTATTTGTGATCACTTTTTTGGGAAGGAATTATTGCAAACTTTAAAATGGCCATAACTCCTTAAATATTGACACTTCGGGGTTTTTAGCTATTATTTGTTATCACTTTTTTAAGCACGAAGTATTGCAAACTTTAAAATGGCCATAACTCCTTAAATATTGACATTTCGGGGTTTTTAGCTGTTATTTGTGATCACTTTTTTAGGCATGAATTATTGCAAACTTTAAAATGGCCATAACTCCTTAAATATTGACATTTAGCTATTATTTGTGGTCACTTTTTTGGTAAGGAATTATTGCAAACTTTAAAATGGCCATAACTCTTTAAATATTGACATTTCGGGGTTTTTAGCTATTATTTGTGATCACTTTTTTAGGCATGAATTATTGAAAACTTTAAAATGGCCATAACTCCTTAAATATTGACATTTCGGGGTTTTTAGCTATTATTTGTGATCACTTTTTTAGGCATGAATTATTGCAAACTTTAAAATGGCCATAACTCCTTAAATATTGACATTTCGGGGTTTTTAGCTATTATTTGTGATCACTTTTTTAGGCATGAATTATTGCAAACTTTAAAATGACCATAACTCCTTAAATATTGACATTTCGGGGTTTTTAGCTATTATTTGTGATCACTTTTTTAGGCATGAATTATTGCAAACTTTAAAATGGCCATAACTCCTTAAATATTGACATTTCGGGGTTTTTAGCTATTATTTGTGATCACTTTTTTGGGAAGGAATTATTGCAAACTTTAAAATGGCCATAACTCCTTAAATATTGACATTTCGGGGTTTTTAGCTATTATTTGTGATCACTTTTTTGGGAAAGAATTATTGCAAACTTTAAAATGGCCATAACTCTTTAAATATTGACATTTCGGGGTTTTTAGCTATTATTTGTGATCACTTTTTTAGGCAGGAATTATTGCAAACTTTAAAATGGCCATAACTCCTTAAATATTGACATTTCGGGGTTTTTAGCTATTATTTGTGATCACTTTTTTGGGAAAGAATTATTGCAAACTTTAAAATGGCCATAACTCTTTAAATATTGACATTTCGGGGTTTTTAGCTATTATTTGTGATCACTTTTTTAGGCAGGAATTATTGCAAACTTTAAAATGGCCATAACTCCTTAAATATTGACATTTCGGGGTTTTTAGCTATTATTTGTGATCACTTTTTTGGGAAAGAATTATTGCAAACTTTAAAATGGCCATAACTCTTTAAATATTGACATTTCGGGGTTTTTAGCTATTATTTGCCATAACTCCTTAAATATTGACATTTCAGGGTTTTTAGCTATTATTTGTGATCACTTTTTTAGGCATGAATTATTGCAAACTTTAAAATGGCCATAACACCTTAAGTATTGACATTTCGGGATTTTTAGCTATTATTTGTGATCACTTTTTTAGGCATGAATTATTGCAAACTTTAAAATGGCCATAACACCTTAAATATTGACATTTCGGGGTTTTTAGCTATTATTTGTGATCACTTTTTTGGGAAGGAATTATTGCAAACTTTAAAATGGCCATAACTCCTTAAATATTGACATTTCGGGGTTTTAAGCTATTATTTGTGATCACTTTTTAGGCATGAATTATTGCAAACTTTAAAATGGCCATAACTCCTTAAATATTGACATTTCGGGGTTTTTAGCTATTATTTGTGATCACTTTTTTAGGCATGAATTATTGCAAACTTTAAAATGGCCATAACTCCTTAAATTATAACTCCATAACTCCATTATTTGTGATCACTTTTTTAGGCATAAATTATTGCAAACTTTAAAACTGCCCTTACCCCCCTCTCGAATGATCCGCATCTAGCATATCTCAACAATTGTTAAATAAAACTGTCAACACCTCCAAAATAACTAGATTACCATTTTCTATTTTTGATTTGCTAAAATTAGTTTGTCCGATTTAGCCAAAATGTCAGATTATCTATATCATGTTCTTCAAAAATTGCGCAGTAAGTTTTTATGGCCCAGGCCCCCGAATTATAGTGCATTATAAAAGCGGTGTTGTTGGTATTGGACACCAGTAGTTGATTCTAGTGCATCAACATGTTCAAATTCGTAATTTTGTTGTCGGCCCTTGCCTGTGCCTTGGGCGCCACCATACCTGATGGTATGTTGCCCCAATTGGATGGACGTATTGTGGGCGGTGTTGCTACCACCATCAACTCCTTCCCCTGGCAAATCTCTTTGCAACGTTCCGGCTTCTAGTTGGGCGCCAGTTCTAAACCTTAGCAACCTAGGACAAGAAATAAGTCTTTTAGATTTCAAGGACGACGTATATTTGAGTCGTGATTTCATATTTAAGAAACATTTGAAAAAAAAAAAAAAAACACAACAATGCTGAATTGGGCGCCACTTCAGTACTCATAGGTGGCAAATTTAATAGAGTTCAGATTTCTTGCAGATCTTCACATTGTTTCCTTGACATTTTTTTTTTGGGTTGTGAACTGGCGCCCAATATAACATTTTTATAAATTTTGGTATTTTAGATTTCAATCTGAATAAACTTTCAAAGTTTGGCAAAATTGTGTGAAATTGGGCGCCAATTCGACACCGGCCCCAAACCACCATAAATGCTCAATTTTTAGACATTTATTTTGCATTTTTTATGGAACATTTAATATTTGTCATGGAGGTGCTTCATAGACTGTTGTCAATATGTATTTCTGGATATATCCTTCCATGAGTTATTTAAGTCAACCCAACCAAACCGAATAAAAATTTGCCTCATTCTCATGGGAAAAAATAATTAAAAATAAAATTTTTATAAATGTATAGATCTTTATTTCACTTCTTCAAAGCTTCTCGTAGCATCTCGTGCCCTAAACCGAGCCGGCGGCACTGACAACCCAAGAACGCAGGGTAGCCACATCAGCATAGACACCAGGATAATCGGCAAAGGCACAACCGTAACCCCAGGAGACAACACCAACCAAAACACCACCCGACACCAATGGACCACCCGAATCACCCTGGCAGGCATCCTTACCCTTGGCATAGGCACAGATCATGGTGGGTTTTACCTCCGAACCATAGCCATAAGTTGACGAAGCACAAGAGGCTTGGCTAACAATGCTAACATCAACATATTGCAAAGTGTAGGGCAAGGAACCGGCACCATAAGATTGGGTACCCCAACCGGAAACAACAGCAGCAGCGCCATTGGCTGGGGCCTTGCTGGCCAAACCAATGGACTTGATGGTCGAACCGAAAGTCAGCGAAGAACTCAAACGGATGACAGCAATATCATTGACCATGGTCCAGGAATTGTAGCCTTCGTGATTTTTAAAAGCAGCCACCGAGACCAAAGTACCACCAGCATTCCAGGTGGTGGAACCAGCGCGTACCTTCAAAACCGAAGCTGAAACCGATTGCAGGCAATGGGCGGCGGTCACAACAATGTTGGACGAATACACGGAACCACCACAGGAATGGGAACCACTGCGTTGCAGAGAAATTTGCCAAGGATAAGAATTAATGGTTGTGGCAACACCACCCACAATGCGGCCATCCAATTGAGGCAGCATACCCTCGGGTACCGCAGCGCCCAAGGCACAGGCAATGCAGGCCAATAATACTACGCTCTTCAACATCATTCAACACGAATTCAAACTGGGAATGCATTTCGAATGCAGTATCGTGGTATTTATACAAAAATGTCCTCCTGAAATGCTTATCTAATTGAAATAAAAATTTACATGGATCGAGTGGGGGATTACAATTTGAAGTGCAATGCAATGTCATGTCTACTGATAGTGCAATAATAATTACGAAAATGAACAACAACGAAAACAGTCCAAAGGAATTCTCGGTGGAATTCCCAGACTTGCAGATAAGTTTAATTATTGAGAATTGTAACATTTTAATTCGTATGGATTTTGGAGCACATATTTTGAAGGATTTAGGAAAAACTAGTAATGCTGAATAAGCACCAGCATAATACCCAAGGAACCTAGGAAATTTGGCAATATTTGCGAAAATATATTTCCTTATTGGGCACCACTTAAAAATTCAAATTTCTTGATGATCTTACTCGGCTTTTTTGGCCACAATTTTTTAGGGTAGATTTCGGGGACGTTGCTCTGATTTTATATATAGGGAATTTGGAAAAATTTCATAGAAATACACAGAGTTCTGTGTTGGGCGCCACTTTAATAACCAATAAATCAATGCCAAAATAGTGTTTAGATTTTACAGTTATTTTTCCGAGGGCTTTCATAGATCTTGGCTTGGATTTGTTTAAAATATTTTTGGAGGACCCTATAGACTCTCAAACGTGGATTTTTGAAGAGGTTTCAAAGGATTTTCGAAGTTAAAACTTTGGAAAAAATAATCTTGAATTGGGCGCCGGTGCAATGCCCAAGGGACCCAGTCAAAGAATATTAATTGTAGAACTCTGAGATGCCAAATAAATTAATTCTATATCTAGGAAATGTGGAAAAAATACATCGCGTTCTCTATTGGATACTACGTTAATTCTCAAAAGTCAATTGCAATGTAAATAGAGTTTGGACTTAATTTATATTTTTCCAAGGGTTTTCAACATCTTAGCTTGGATTTTTTTTAAATATTTTTGGAGGACCTTAAAGAGACTCAAACGTGGATTTTTCAAAAATGATTTTCGAAGAAAGTTCGAGGACCCAAATTTGTAAAAAAAATAAATGTGCTGAGTTGGGCGCCACTTTAACTAACCTAAATGACGATTGATGTTAGATATCTCAGATGCTGGGTCCATTTTAGATTTCTGAACTGCTGGATTGATTAATGATTCCAGGAAATTTGGCAATATTTGAGAAAATCTAATAATTCCATATTGGGCGCCACTTCAATTCTGACTTGGGCAGCAGTTTAAGGAACCTAAATGACGAGTATTGATGTTAGATTTCTGAGATTCTGGGTTCATTTTAGATTTATGAACTGCTTCATGATTCCAGGAAATGTGGCAATATTTGAGAAAATCTAATAATTCCTTATTGAGCGCCACTTCAATGCTGACTTGGGCGCCATTTTAAGGAACCTAAATGACGAGTATTGATGTTAGATTTCTGAGATGCTGGGTTCCTTTTAGATTTCTGAACTGCTTGATGATTCCAGGAAATTTGGCAATATTTGAGAAAATCTAATAATTCCATATTGGGCGCCACTTCAATACCCATATAACCGACGGTATGGTAAATATAGTTCAAATTTCTTGATGATCTCACTCGGCTTTCTTGGCCACAAATTTTTTGAGTAATGAACTGGAAAGCTACATTCCAAACTCAAAAATCAAAAAAAAAAAAAAACTGAAAATCGGTGAAAGCTAACATCTTGCAAAATAATATATAGAAAGTATGGCTTCGAATTCAAAGAATCTTTCAGGGCTTGGCAAACATTTCAATAACGCTGCATTGGGCGCCAGTCCAATACTGTAAGTCAAAGTAACTGTAAGGCCTAAAACCAGATTGCGGATATGTAATGAATCCAAAGTGGCGCCCAATACAGATTTATTGAGGTTTTTTTTATTTTTTTTTTTTTAATTTTTGCCATATATTCTGGATGTAGATATAGATTACTCAACACCTCAGAAATCATAAATGAGTGTTCTTTGCCCAGATTCCTTGGGCTTCTCGACCACTCAAAATAATTTTTTTTTTGGAAATTTCGCGCATCTTTTCATCAGATATTTAATAGCAGAAGTCAGCCCAACTAAGGCTTGTTTCCAATACTGAAGGAGCTTCCTCTCCTTTGAGTAAAAAAGAATTAAAATCAAATCATTTAACTTTAACCCATTTTTGAAAGTCAATCCATCATTTCTTGCCACCAAAGCAGCAGAGCTGGCGGCCTAAAGGCAAAGCCACAACCATGTAACGTCTTGTGAACAAGATTTTGATAGATATCACGTTTTCGCTTCAAAACTTATTTACGCTTGATTTATCAGCTCCATTGACGTCGGGCGTAGATAAATTTCTAGGCACGTGTAATTTCATGAAAATCAAAGCACTCGAAATTTTACATTATCGGAAATCGAAATTAATTACAACGTATCGAGTGTCTGCTGAGATAATATGCTTCATCTTGAGTGGATAATTGAGTCGCCTATTTCCTTTCCAATTTTTTCGAAAGTTTTCAATTTTCAAGTAGAAAAGTTCAATGCTCTTCCCGGAAATAAAAAAAATGGTAAAATTGGAAGATAGTAGATTATTTTTGGGGCACCTTATGAATTGGCATATAAGTAACGCCAGCACTTATACGCACCCTACCAAATTGCATATTATTCACACTGCAGCTGAATTATCAGATGTTTTGAATTATTTAAATTAAAATTAATTATTTATGTTATAAATATTCTCTCTCTCTTCTTCTCTGCGCCCATAAACATGCAATATTTTTTTATCAATAAAAAATGTCTCCTTTGAGAAGGCTTATGGTGCGTATGAGCATTGTCGTTAGTTATACGTCATCAAACCTTAACATATTTCAATGCTTTAGAGGATCATGGAGATAAATTTCCGATTTCTTATTTGAGATAATATTTTGGATAATAGATATTAACGAGTTCCTTTACTCATCTACCGTATGTTTGCATTTTTTTTTTGGTTTTGAAGAGTTCCACACCAAGGAGAATTTTAATCTGTAACCCAAAACAGCAATTTCATTTTCTCATAACTGTCTTGTCATTGTTGTTTATATTTTTGTGTAAAAATAAAAACACAAAAGAATTACCAGAAAATTCCCAGTACGAACAATTTTTTTGCTATTTCCCTTCCCCTTACCTCTCACTCTCCAACAAACGGAGACTTAATAAATTCGGAATAAGTATGTAATTCCTCACCGACATTTGCGAATATTTTCAAAACTTTTCCATCATATATTCATTTTGTTTTTTTTTTTCAAAAAGCCCTTAGACATCTTAAGCCCATTATCAATCAATAATGGGTCTCTTAAGACATTTCAACAAAATTACCACAAATATTTACAAGAACTACCAAAACCCTCTAATATCAACTGTAAGCTCCAGTATTACATTGATTAGATAAAGAATTGGAAGTGCAAAATTCTTGGTGCAATGGAATGCATTGTCACGCATATAAATACTTCTCACAATTGGCAGAGAAAATATCAGTTCTTCTCGCCAAGTTGAAGACATTGGAAATCATGTTGAAATTGGTAGTCCTCTTAACCGCTCTGGTGGCCTCTAGCCTGGGTGCTGCCGTACCTGAGGGTATGTTGCCGCAATTGGATGGACGCATTGTTGGCGGCGTGGCCACAACCATCAACTCGTATCCTTGGCAAGTGTCGCTGCAACGTTTCGGCTCCCACTCGTGCGGCGGTTCCGTCTACTCGGCCAAGATCATTGTGACCGCTGCTCATTGTTTGCAATCTGTTTCCGCCTCTGCCTTGAGGGTACGTGCTGGCTCTACCTACTGGAATTCTGGTGGTACTTTGGTTTCGGTGGCTGCTTTCAAGAACCATGAAGGTTACAATTCCCGCACCATGGTCAACGATATTGCTGTCATACGTTTGAGTTCTTCGCTGAACTTTGGATCGACCATCAAGTCGATTGCCTTGACCACCAAGGCTCCTGCCAATGGTGCTGCTGCTGTTGTTTCGGGTTGGGGCACCCAGCAGTCGGGTTCCTCATCTCTACCCACAACTTTGCAATATGTCAGCGTGGATATTGTTAGCCAAAGTCAATGTTCATCATCGGCCTACGGTTATGGTTCGGAAGTGAAATCGACCATGATTTGTGCCTATGCCACCGGTAAGGATGCCTGCCAGGGTGATTCTGGTGGTCCCCTGGTGTCGGGTGGTGTTTTGGTTGGTGTCGTCTCCTGGGGTTATGGCTGTGCCTTTGCCAATTATCCTGGTGTCTATGCCGATGTTGCTGCCCTACGTTCATGGGTCATTGCTGCGGCTAGTTCTGTTTAAACGTATTGCAGTGATCAATGAAAAATATATATGAAATATCTGTGAACATTATTTCGATTGTGATTTTGATTTAAAAAAATGGGGGTGGTAGTGGTTGGATTCCAGGGGTCGTATAATTGTTGTTGCAATGTATATGTTATGGTACATTTGGTGGTCTACGTAACGGCAACACTTATGCGCTCCAATGACCAAGACCAGAAGGTTTCCATTACGGAAGACCGGAACCGGTCTTCTCCAGAGAATCCCAAAGGTACTATCCCACAAGAGGCCTGTAGCTTCCCTCCACAGAAGATCACATTGTTTCCACTATAAAATACAAGTAGATCTCCCCCCAGAGGATATTAAAAGTTTTTCTCCACAGAAGGCTAGATGGTTCTCTTCATAGAAGACCAGCAGGGTTTCTTTATCAAATATCAAGAGGTCTTGATCATTTCGGGACAAAAACTCTTCTCCCCAGCAGATAGAAAGGTCTTCTACATGGAAAGGAAGTCCTCTTTAAATTGTATTTTTTAAAGAAGATATGAAAGTCTTCGTTATTTCAGACCACAAGATCTCCTCAATAGAAGACCTGAAGTTCTTCTTTATAGAAGGCAGAAGGTCTTATCCATACAAGACGAGACCAGAGCCTCAATTCTTGTTCCATGAAAATGTGAAATGAAAACTTTTATAAAAAAAAATATGAAATGAAAAATGTTATAAAGGAAATATTTTTCATTTCATATTCTCATAGAACAAGAAACCAGCCCTAGAAGGACTTCTCCCTAGAAAACCTCAAACAAATTTTTTTTTAATTTACCTAAAAAAATAAAGGTCTTATCCATACAAGACGAGACCAGAGCCTCAATTCTTGTTCTATGAAAACTTTTATAAAGGAAAGAAATATCAAAGGAAAAATGCTATAAAGGAAATATTTTTCATTTCATATTTTCATAGAACAAGAATCCAGCCCTAGAAGGACTTCTCCCTAGAAAACCTCAGTCTTCACCAAAGAAGATTTTTTTTTTGCAACTGTGGCGTAGAAATGATTTGTTGAAGAACTTTTAATATGGGTTTCAGGAAAAATGTTTGGACGATGTTTCGAGGTCTTAAATTCGTTAATGTAAACAAGATTTTTTTAATTTACCTAAAAAATAAAGAACATTTATATAAAATTGCGGATTTAAGGAAACATATATTGAACTAATTTCAGAACTTTAAATATGGGTTTTAGGAAAAATATTTGGACGATGTTTCGAGGTCTTAAATTCGTTAATGTAAACAAGATTTTTTTTTAATTTACCTAAAAAAAATAAATAAAATTTATATAAAATTGCGGATTTAAAGAAACATAAATTGAATTAATTTCAGAGCCATGAGCCAATTTATATTATTTCAGAGACTTTTCAAAAAAAAAAAAAAATATTTCCTTAGAATTTTCATTTGTGGCCTTAAAAATATTACCCCTATACATGGTAGTCACTTATACGGTCAATTGCAACTCGATAATCCTAATCTAATGCCCAGAATAGAACCTTAAGCTTAAAATATTTTACTTCCTAGATAACTACGAAATATCAGGCTTAAAAATCAGGTGACATATGTCCCAAAAACAAATCCGATTCTTATTTTCAATTACTTTGTTTATTTATTTGTTTGTTTTTTTTTCTTTGTTATCTATTTTTATGTCCATACATTTCAAGTGAATTTTACTATCGTCTCAATTATTTTTTTTGCGATTAACAAAATCAGAAAAGTAACAACAACAAAGAACGTGTCAAAGAAAGAGTCGCGTGGTCATTGTCCTGCGTCATCGTCATTTTTGTTTTTGGCGAAAAAATATTATCAAGTCTATTTAGCTGTCAGCTTTATCTCCACCTTATTAAACTTGCATTTCTTTTGTTTTCAGAATTATCTAAAACAAAATGGGTTTATATAGATCGTTTTTTTTTTAGGAGGGGGGTGTAGGAGATAATGCAGCGTGTTTGTTATTTTTTCCAGACACATAGACAACATGGCTATACAAATATAACTAGATGTCTGTATGAGTTCAGATTGTTAAAAATAAGGTGACAAGATTGAAAAAAAAACAAGTTCCCTTGAGCATAAAAGTGGCGTAAGTCATTCAAATTAAAAAAAGAAGCACAAGGAAGTAATTTAATGGTACACCGGTGCGTATGAGTGCTGTTGATACGTATACGTCAATTAGTTTCAATGAAATGGATATTTAAGCAATATTCTTTCAAGGCGCAGCAGAACAAAAAATAGGGATTTTTTGTAGCGACACTTTTCTTAAGAATTTAGAGTAGAATATGCGTATTTCTAAGGATTTTTGTGAAAAGATTTCCGAGCAAATAACGCAAATATTAAAAAATATTATTTGTTGCATAAATTTCATGGACCTAAACGATAATTTCTATGTAGCTTTTTTGGAAGGACTTTTAACGTAACGTATTAAATATATATATTTTTAGAAATTTCGTAAAGGACTTTCAAAGCCATACTTGGGGATATGTAGAAGTAGCTTTAATGGACCCATGAACGTATACGTACTGTCACAACGTATACGCCCCCCCACCCAAGTAAGACTTGTATCTAACCAAGTCTGGAATGCTCATGAGCTTACCTTCTTAATTCTGCCATGACTCTAAAGGTCGGAATATATAAAATGCTTTTTTTGACTGGCTTAATCCAGCTGCTGCCTTCTTCATTTGAGAACAAAGGAGTGCAGTGTGAAAAAGAATAAATTGAAATTGAATTAAGTCAACCTAACAATCCTTTGTTCTTCTACGAAAAAACCAGCCAAAAAAAAAAACATTTTATGTACTCTCACTTCCCCATATTAGGGTGGGAATACATAAAGGGCTCATTTAGCTGGAATAAGTCATCGGGTGGCTTCTTCGAAAATGAACAAAGGAGCCTAGTGCCAAAATCGAACTAAGTCAACCTAAAACTCCTTTGTTTCTCTACGAAAAAGCCAGCCTATGACTTAAGTCAGCCAAATAAGCGCTTTATGTTTTCCCACCTTTAGACCATTTACATTATTTTTCACTTCATTTCATGGTAGAATTAAGAAGGTAAGGTCATGCAACCAGATGTTTAAAAGTTTTTTTTTTTTTTTTTCAAAGATGGAAACCTGTTTTTTATTCACAGAAATTCGACAAGGTAAATTACAGACAATACAGAGATGGATAGTCTTATTTGAGATGACTTTACCTTTTTAATTTCACCATGCTTTATTTTTGAAATATATATATTTTTTAACTAAACAGATTAAATTCTCTTTTCCAAAAAAAGGCAAAAATTTCCAAGGAAATTTACAATTCCTTTGCGGTTTTAACAACCCAGCTGCGCAGAGATGGAACATCAGCATAGACACCGGGATAACCAGCACGGGCACAACCCATACCCCAGGAGACAACACCAACCAATTTGTCGCCAGAAACCAATGGACCACCGGAGTCACCCTGACAGGCATCCTTGTCAACGGCATAGGCACAGACCATGGTCTCCTTGATTTGCGAACCATACTTATATTCACTGGAAGCACATGCCTTCTCATCGACAATATCAACCTCGACTTCTTGCAGGGTCTTGGGCAAGCTAATACAGGTCAAATAGCACTTGGTGCCCCAGCCAGTGACAACAGCTGGAGTGCCAGTCGGTGGCGTCTTTTCAGCCATGGCGACATAACGAATCTTGGAGCTCTCTCTAACGGGAGTGGCCAATTTGATGACAGCAATGTCATTCACCATGGTCTTGGAGTTGTAACCCTCATGGTAGCGGAATGTCTTGACAGCAACCAATTCACCGCCGCTATTGTATTGGTTCGAACCGAGACGTACTCTAATTTGAGAGGCCGCATACGATTGCATGCAATGGGCAGCGGTCACGATAATGTCTTCACTGATGATGGAACCACCACAGAAATGACTGCCCGAAGTGGTTTGCAGCGAAACCTGATACGGATGCTTTTCAATGGTGGTGTCAACACCATTCACAATACGGCCATCCAATTCATCGGGCAGGGTACCGGCAAAGGCACAGCTGACCAAGGCGCAAATTGTAACAAAACGGAACATGTTCTTGTTGTCTTACTCCAGGGAAACAGACTACTGCTCCTGGCGATGATAGCCCTTGGTTTTATAGCAACAAAATCAGCAGGAGGGCTACGTTGTATGCAATTGTGGCCAGTCATATCATAATCTTGATATTTTGTTGATTTTTTTTTTTTTTTTGTTCAATTTCTGGCAAAATGCATTTTTAGATAAGATTTTGGCCCTGCCAGTGACATATCATGAATTTCAAATTCGATTTTCTTGATTTGACTTTATCTAATTGAATTTTTAAATTTCAAAATACTGTGAAGAGTAAAAAAATAAATCTATAATAGTATGTTTACATTGGAGCGTTTTGAAAGAGCTAACCTCAATTTTTGAGGATTTATTTGACAGAATTTGACAATTGCAATCACCTGGGTTTATTAAATCCGCTAGAAAACAAACACACTATGATACATTCTCTTAAATTGATTCCTCGAAAAGAAAACACTTTTTTTTTGCAGATCAAGAGATAACACTAAAGGCAGCTTGAAGTCTTCGCATGACATATTTTGTGACATATCATAAAGTAATGCCAGACCCGCACTCAAATTCTGCTGTCGTTCCCTCTTACAATTTGACATTAATATGTCTATGCATGATGCCAAGCTATTTATCTATTCTCACTTTAAGCCTTGGATTAGAGTGTAAAAAAGAGAGTGAGAGAGACACGTTATAGCAACCCTGCCCATCATACGAAATTTACCAAGGATCAAAGCAAATGTTGGATGAGTCTGAAATATATCCACATTGTAAGCGAAGATTGAATAGGTCCGATTCCACCAACATTGTAAGCGAAGTTTGAATGGGTGTCAGTTATTGTGGTCTTTAATAACGGACTTTGTATTAATATCAGATTTTGGAACTAACATATCAGCAGTTTTTTTTTCTCAAACTATTTTCATAGCCTCAGCCATATGGCTACAGAGGGTGTATATCATTTGATAGGGCCAAAACGTGTCTCATCGAAACACCGGTTTTAGACCCCAGGTCTCTTTGGATCAAATCCCTTTCAGGGCATTTGGAGCAGATGTAGCGATGTCCATGAAGCTCATATAACGCGAAATTAAAACCCGATTCCATCCAGACTTGGCAAATCTCCCCCACAAAGGGTCAGAGTTTTGAATAACCAAAACAAATATAAAATCCGAAATAAGCTTCCGATTCTCTTCATATTACACACGTCCCAGTATTTCTACTAACTCCAGGTCTGGTGTGAATCTGTGATATATTATGGCACTCCTTCTAGTACCTCCCCACAAAGGGTCATAATTTTGAATATCCATTATGCTCATAAAATGCAAAAATTAAGACTTAGCAGGTCTCAATATTTCTATCAACACCAGATATTTTATAAAGATGGTAGAGATCGGGCCATTTCTTCTTGTACCTCCCCCACATAGGGTTCAAGGTATTAAAAAGACCTCAAAAAATACGAAATAAAGATCCAAATCTCTCCTTCTGGTGCCTCACCTACAAAGGGTCACAATTTTAAATTATTTTATTTGTCATTACTTGCGAAACAAGTCATCGATTCTTTACAGCTTGCTATATCCAAATATTTATCTTAACCAGAAATCTGATAAATCATAATTTAGTTGCATTATGCAACACAATGATTGTTGCGTCAATCTTACGAAAAAAACAGGGTGACTACGAATAACCAAAAGTTTTGCAATGAATATTCACATTCTCTGTGGCACCCACCAATTCTGAGCAATAATTGTTGGAAGTTGTTGCTGGAAATCGCCTGTTAACACACAAGTACTGCAAAAGAGAGCATTTCGAGAGAGAGAGAGAGAGAGAGAGATAATTTACAGAGTAATTTTACTAACACTGCCTTTACACGGTGGCATTTTTAGCTGGCATTTTTATAAATTCTCTTTTAAAATTTCTGCGTTAATCTTCGCGCCTTTACACGGTGGCATTTTACGATAATATTACTTGGCATTTTTTCTGACATTTTATTTTATTCAGTATTTCGTATAGAGCTAATTGTTTGTAACCGATATTTATAAAGAAGTGATTTAAAATGAAATGTGTGAATCTAAAGAAGAAATGATGGAAAAAGTTATTGAGGTGTTAAATATTGCATTATTAACTTTTATTTTAACTTTCTTTTTTTACTTTTTAATACTTCCAATTAATTTTTATATAATTCACTATACAATTCAATCACTAAAAACATCACATCACAATAAAAGAAACGCATCAAAAATTACAATAAAGAAACGATATGAAATGTCAAAATCATAAAAAATTCGGAAGAAGCAAAAAGAGAAATGCAAAGAGAGTGGCATGTAACCCTGTGCGGTGGCTTCTCGTGCCATTTTTTCTTCTATCCTTGTCTCTCTACACCCTTTACCAACAAAAAAAAAAATGGCATGGTTAAAAAATGTCACCGTGTAAAGGCAGTGTAAGAGTTTGCATATTCTTGCCGCACAAAGTTGGCTATTGACCTTCAACTACAAACAATCGCAAATATCTCGGAAACTAAATAAAAAACCTAAGAACTCTGGGAATGGTTCCATTGTGTCGAGAAATATTTGTGAAAAAAGCGGTTGGATAATTCCTGCAGAAAAGTAAGCAGACAGACCTAATATTAGTGCACCATGAGCGGAAATATACATGGTACAATAAGAAGGTAGACCAGCTTCGAAAAAACTACAGAAATACAGCCCAGAGACTATGCCCGATTTTTGGCAGAATAGCGAAAACTGAATGAAATGCCTTCATTTTCTCTCAAAAATATAATCCAAACGGTTCAACTTTTCAATTCCATTGCAAGATTGGTAGAAGTCGGGCACACTTAGAAAAAAATTGTAATCAGCTGGTAGCTCTACCTTACCTTCTTATTGTACCATTTTAATATGCAAGTATGTGTGTGTGCAATTTAATGGACATTTTAGGTTAGGATTGTAGGTTGCATTTTGACCGGCAGAACGGCTGACATGCATTTTGCCAAACTTTATCTGCTTTTTTTCGAACGGAACTCAGGCAAATATTAATTTGTCTATGAATGACCTGCAAAAACAACTCCTGGATCATCCACATATCAGTTGGAAGTATCGTACAACAAATCCAGACAACTTATGTGTATGCTTATCATCAAATTTCAACACATTTTACAAAAATATTATGTTAACCTAAAACTATTGAATTAGTCTGAGCCGTCGGCGACAATCTTATCTTGCATATTGTATGGAGTACGTAGAACCCCATGAAAATAATGACAATATCAAGATTGCGATTACTATGTTGGCAAATTTAGTTGGTAGCTTTGCCAAACTCACTTAATATAAAAACTCTGACGGCGAATACTGAAACCATCAGTCTTTCAAGATGTTCCGTTTCGTTGCTGTTTTCGCTTTGGTCAGCTGTGCCTTTGCCGGCACCTTGCCCGATGATTTGGATGGCCGTATTGTGAATGGTGTTGACACCACCATTGAGAAGCATCCCTATCAGGTTTCTTTGCAAACCACCTCCGGCAGCCATTTCTGTGGCGGTTCCATCATCAGTGAAGACATCATCGTTACCGCTGCTCATTGCATGCAATCGTACACTGCCTCCCAAATGAAGGTGCGCTTGGGCTCCACTGAATACAACACTGGCGGTGAATTGGTTGCTGTCAAGGCTTTCAAATACCACGAAGGCTACAACTCCAAGACCATGGTTAACGATATTGCTGTCATCAAATTGGCCACCCCCGTCAGAGAATCCGCCAAGATCCGTTATGTCGCTTTGGCCGAAAAGACTCCCGCCACCGGAACCCCCGCTGTTGTCACTGGCTGGGGCACCAAGTGCTATTTGACCTGTGTTAGCTTGCCCAAGACCCTGCAAGAAGTCGAAGTTGATATTGTCGATGAAAAGGCCTGCGCTTCCAGCGAATACAAATACGGTTCCCAAATCAAGGAGACCATGGTCTGTGCCTATGCCGTCAACAAGGATGCCTGCCAAGGTGATTCTGGTGGCCCATTGGTATCTGGCGACAAATTGGTTGGTGTTGTCTCCTGGGGTATGGGTTGTGCCAAGGCTGGTTACCCTGGTGTCTATGCTGATGTTCCTTCTCTCCGCAGCTGGGTTCTTAAGACCGCCAAGGAATTGTAAATTTTTCCCAAGTGGAAATAAACGAAATTATTTAATTTAAAAAATTTAAAAAAAAAAATGGCTTTGATGTTTTTGTTGTTGTTGTTTAAAATGGGTGGAGTTTGGGGAACATTATCTGATTATTTTTATCGGTTACCAATCATATTGCAGACTTTTTGGGGTAATTTAGATTAAATGAAAATGTTCAGAGATAAGATTGTCAAAAAATAATCAACAAAAAAATTATTGTTGTTGTCCCACCCTCTCAGCTCAGCTTCTCTATTTCTCTTTTCACTTTCTGTTGCGTTTTGTGCAAGTTATGCTTTAAAATTACAAATTAAACGAATTTAAAGGTATTATAAAATCCCATTCCCTTTTTAGCATATTTTTAGGAGCGTAAAATAGTCATTTTTATAAAATATTTGCTCTGCTCTAGAACCCGTATGAACCTACTAGATTTGAAATCTTTTTTCGATATTGGTTTTCGCACAAAAGAAAAAATTTCAAAATTACATTCTTGATATCCTGTAACAGATCAATTGTTAGTAGTTAATTATTGGTCTGTTCTAAAACTGCAAAAATCTAAATATTTTTACTACAATAACCGATTGCCCCTTTATAATGGCGAACAATTTTTAAAAATAATAGATTCTTGCAGGTTCTAAAACATAGCCTATTTCTTTTTCATTGAGACTTTTTCAAAACGTTGTATGATGCAAAGACATATGGTCTGTTCCAGAACCTGCAAGAATATACAAGTTTTTACTTCGATAACCGATTTTTACTTTATGATATCGAAAAAAAAAATGTAAAAATAAAAAATGTAATAAAAAGTGACTGGCACAACAAAAGATGCTACCAGGCGTGGCAGACCCTGGAGTATCCGTTGTGCAAAGAATATTCCTGCTGTAGCTGTAGGATATCATGGAAGCGCCGACGGCCAGACGACGTGTCAGTCGAAGGTCTTGACAGCGAATTCTGTTACAAGATTTGCAGATGTTTCCGTACAAAGTCCAGATGGTGCATCAGCTGTTAGCTATTGACCGCCAGTAGCGTCTAACATACATTCAAGCCATCCTTAAACTCCGCCAAAAAGAAAATAATTTTGGATCAAAAATAAACATGAGTGATGAGGCCCATTTCCATCTTAGCGGCTACGTAAATAAGCAATATGTACGCTTCTGGGGCAATGAAAATCCGCGTGTAACCGACGAAGAGCCATTACACCCGCCCAAAGTCACTGCATATATGGTGTGCTGTTTTCGCTGGAGGAGTACATTTTACACATTTTTTCTTCGAAGACGTCGCGGACCAAACGGTTATTGTGAATGGTGAGCGTTACAAAGCAATGATCAGCGACTTCTTTTTGGCGCAACTTGATATGTTGGGATTGGAGAACATGTGGTTCCAACAAGACGGTGCGACGGCACACACTGCACCTGCCACAATCGATATGTTTAAGGTTTCATTTCCCGGTCGTCGAATCTCCCGTTTTGGCGATATGCACTGGCCAGCAAGATCGCCTGATTTGACCGACCAGACTTTTTTTTGTGGGGCTTAAAGACAATATACGTCAAGAATGTGAGGACCTATCGCCGGAAATTTTGGCCAAAGTGATGGAAACTGCCATAAAAAGGGCTCAAATGACAATAAACTGTGGCGGCATCATATTCTCGACTTGATCTAAAGAAAGGAACTAAAAAACCAAATAAAAATAATCAACAAGAAGAATCAAAGTTCTTCCTTTTTTAATTACAGCCAAAAAAAACATCGGAAGTCTACTTTTGCGCCACTTTGTACATTGAATTTGGCTACGAAAACCTGCTTCAAATTTATTGTGAATGATCCCTTATCCCGCTAAACAATTTTAATATTAAAGTTGCCAACTATATTCATTATAGTTAAATGTAGAGAAGTTGGTAAGTATTGCCATCTATGTTCCATAGTGAACTAGTTCAGTTGTTCTTTACAGTGAATCATTTAATTACGGAAGAAAACAGCAACAACAGCAGAAATGGTTTGAAAAGTAAAGAAGCGACTTAATTCAAAACCCGCGACGCAGTGAAAAATGTGCTCGGGGCAAAGCCATTGAAATTCCAAAAAATGCAAGAACTTACACCGCAACAGAAAGAAAAAAAATAGACTCAAAAGAGCTAGAGAGTTGCTTCGCTTGGCCGAAAGTGGTGAACTGGCTAATTTGGTTTTCTCCGACGATGAGAAAACATTCGTTGTCCAGCAGTTTGTAAACAAACAAAATGATCATCCGCTCGTGTTTACTTGTCAAAGAGGTCAGGTCAGCTGGAAATGTGCACCTTCGGTTGGCCAGCAGAACTCAAGCGCCGGCCATGGTGATGATGTGGGCCGCCCTAACAGCCGACGGTCGTTCTCCGCTCGTATTCATTGACCGTGGCATCAGAATAAATGCCGAATATTATCGCGAAAATATTCTGGAGAGTGTATTAAAGCTTTGAGCACGCAAACATTTTGGCCGCAGACCTTGGGCATTCCAACAGGACTCAGCACCATCGCACTCAGCACGCCACCGATACCCAAGTTTCATTGGTCGTTTGAAGGCCATAATTCATGCCAAAGTTGACCAATTCGAACAAATCTAAACGTATTCTAAAATTTGATGCTATTTTCGAAATTTTTTGCTTTCATTCAATAGAATTTCCAAAAAAAAAGAAAAAATTATGGTTTTTGACTTAGTTGCAGTTTTTTTATCTCACCCTGTATAGATCTCCCTAAAATCCACTTAGCATTGCAGTGTATTACTGACAGAGAGAAACTTAGTAAATTGGGCCATTTAGCAATGGTAGCTCTCACTTGACACCCCTGCGTTATGTAGATGAAGTAGACAAAGCAATGTCTTGTTCAAAAGAAAGTTCCTTTTCTTGAAATGAACTAGTTCCTCTATATAGTTCAACGGCCCATGCTCGGTAGCAAGTTTTATTATCAGACACAAAAAAAAATCGGATCAATTTAAATTCCCTAGAAACCTATCCTGGCCGTTTGCCGTGAGATAACTTCGACAACTAATCCATTTTACGAAACAAAATAAACACGTCTATCTTACCCACAAATATAATGACATTAAGAGTTCGGATTTCCCATGGCCTCACCGAATATTCCCCCAACACTTTAAAGTTTCTTATCATTTGGGGGAAATTTATTATTGCGTCTCTTTCACGCTGGTGAAAATTGAGATTTTTATTTTGTGACCACCATCGACAAATGAGTCAGTAACATTCCCTACAGGGATGGTTTTGGTCTACCTGTGTGAATCTATTCAACGCAAACTTTTCGTGGCATTCTTTAAGGAGTTTAAAAAAAATATCCGCCATTTACGTTAGATTTATGTAGACACCAGGATAGCCCTCCTTGCCGCAACCAATACCCCAAGAGACAACACCAACCAATTTGCCACCCGATACCAATGGGCCACCAGAATCACCTTGGCAGGTATCCTTTTTGACGTCATAAGCACACACCATGGTCTCTTGAATGAGAGAACCATATTTGAATTCCGCAGAAGCACAAGCTGTTTTCCGTTTATAATATTGAAGAAAATTGCCAAAATAGCAGATTCTTCCAGGTACTGGAACAGAGCAAGTAATACTCAAGGCAAGGGTGCCAGTATCATATTGAAAATAAAATTCCCTGTCTTTAACTAGGAACTAGTTCCTTCATACTGTTCAATAGTTTTTAATTACTCTGCCGATGAATTTATATTCCATAGGAACCGTTTTGGATCTTTCCCCGTGATATAACTTTCTAACCACAAATAAAAATGTTCATTTATACAAAAAACAAAAAAAAAAACACCTTTATTTTCATTTGGATTTACAATTCGTTGGCGGTGTTTTCAACCCAGCTGCGCAGAGTAGCAACATCAGCATAGACACCAGGATAACCGGGCTTGGCACAACCTTCGCCCCAGGAAACAACGCCAACCAATTTATTGCCAGATACCAATGGGCCACCGGAGTCACCTTGGCAGGAATCCTTGTTGACCGCATAGGCACATACCATGGTTTTCATGATTTCCGAACCATATTCGTATTCACTGGAAGCACATGTCCTTCTATCGATAATAGCCACCTCGACTTCTTGCAGAGTTGTGGGTCCAGGCGCACATCTGTAACATTTGTATCCCCAACCAGTAACAACAGCAGGAGTACCGGTGGCAGGAGTCTTTTCAGCCAGGGCAATATAACGTATTTTTGAGGTTTGCTTGACAGGTGAGGACAATTTGATGACAGCAATATCATTTTTATTGGTTGTGGAACTATAATCTTCATGGTTTCGGAAAGATTTGACAGCAATCAATTTACCACCAGTGTTATACTCAGTGGAACCCAAGCGCACTTTCATTTGAGAGGCAGTGTATTTTTGCAAACAGTGAGCAGCGGTAACGATGATGTCTTCACTGATGATGGAACCACCACAGAAATGCTTGCCCGAGGCAGTTTGCAGAGAAACCTGATAAGGATGTTTCTCAATGGTTGTGTCAACACCATTTACAATGCGGCCATCAAAATCATCTGGCAAGGTACCGGCCAAGGCACAACTTACAAGGGCGAAAACAGTAAAGAACCGGAACATTATAAGAGACTGGTGTAAAGAAGTTTTCGCCTTCAGGCTTTTATAGCAATAACGTCTTTGGATTTTCCAAAGTTTTTGTGATTTGTTTTCATGATTTGCTTGGTAAGGCTCTTCCAAGAAAAACCTGCTGATTTTGTCGCACTTAATATTCCTATAACACCTTAAAGTTTGTTATCAAACATTTAGCGGAAAAATATTACAATCAATATTGAGTTTCTTTCGCGCTGCGTGAATGATCGAATTCAAGGTTCAATGATTCTACCGAAGAAAAACCTATGAACTAGTGTGACGGTCATTACTGCGTATTACTGTTGCTGGCACGTATACGGCATTGTTCAGGGGAGATAATGTAGATCCCAACATTTAGTCCAACTCAAAAGAGACACGTGCGATAACACTGATAGCTAATAACCTACCCTTAATTTCAGATAAGCCACAACAAGTATTCTCCATGTTGTGATTAGAAATTTTGAAGTACTGTGGGAATATCCAATCCAGTACGGCCGGATCGGATCGGAAAGTCCCATCTCAGTAAAACCGTGAAAGAAATTCATAGAAGTGCATGGACATTGGAAAATCCTAACACTCGCAGCGAAATTCAGCAGCTATCCTAAACTACTATAAAAGCTCGAGGGCAAACTAGTCAAATCATCAGTCTCTCAAGATGTTTCGTTTCGTTACAATTTTCGCTTTGGTCAGCTTTGCCTTTGCCGGCACCTTGCCCGATGACTTCGATGGTCGTATTGTAAATGGTGTTGATACAACCATTCAGAAGCACCCTTATCAAGTGTCCCTGCAAACCAACTCGGGTAGTCATTTCTGTGGTGGTTCCATCATCAGTGAAGATATTATCGTTACCGCTGCCCATTGTTTGCAGAGATACACTGCCTCACAGATGAGGGTGCGCTTGGGCTCCACTGAATACAATAGCGGCGGTGAATTGGTTGCTGTTAAATCTTTCCGCAATCATGAAGGTTATAATCCCACAGACAAGGTAAACGATATTGCTGTCATCAAATTAGCCACACCTGTCAGGCAATCTACCAAAATACGTTATGTTGCTTTGGCCGAGAAGACACCTGTTACCGGTACTCCTGCTGTTGTCACTGGCTGGGGCTCCAAATGTTATTTGCTTTGTCTGACTGCACCCACAATTCTGCAAGAAGTCGAGGTTGATATTGTCGACGAGAAGGCATGCGCTTCCAGTGAATATAAATATGGTTCGGAAATCAAGAAAACCATGATCTGTGCTTATTCTGTGAATAAGGATGCCTGTCAAGGTGACTCTGGTGGTCCATTGGTGTCTGGCAACAAATTGGTTGGTGTTGTTTCCTGGGGTAGAGGTTGTGCCAAGGCTGGCTATCCCGGTGTCTATGCTGATGTTGCTACTCTACGCAGCTGGGTTGAAAAGACCGCCAAGGAATTGTAAATTGAAATGAAAATAAATGATATTTTCGAGTAAACAAATATTTTTAAAGACTTGTTAATTTTATTTCGTTCCATGGATTAAGGTGAGAATACATAAAAGGCCGGCTCAAGTCCTCGGCTGGCTTCTTCGTTAATGAAGAACGGGGCGTAGGGTACTCAAGTATAAATTACGGGTCGAAATTGAACTAAGTTAACCTAAGACTCCGTTGCTCTTTTACGAAGAATGTATTCTCACCTTTAGTTGTCGAAGTTAGGGTGTGGGTACATAAACAGCTTTATGTCGTTGCATGACATATTTTTTGACATATCATAAAGGAATTCCAGAGCCGCACTCGAATTCTGACGTCGTTTCCCCTTATAATTTTACATTAATACACATAGTCAAGATGCCAAGCTGCTTATGTACCCTCACCACAGTTATATCAGGTGGAATAGCCAAGAATAGTTTCTAGGTTATTGAAACTTATCGGATTTTTCGAAATTAAAAACGAGTTACAGAACTTGAACCGTTGAAATCGATTGAACCATTCCAAGGAACTAGTTCCTTAAGGAAATAAAAGGAACTTTGTTTTGAAGAAGTTACTGCTTAAGCTGCTATCGAATACGGATTTTTTTGATAAATCCGTGAAAAAATTTGTGGCAAACATTATCAAAACACCGAATATCGGAAGGAAGGTATCGTTAAATGGGGGCTATGCAAAAACGTGGACCTACACATACAATCTTTCGCCACGGGATCAAGAACCCATTGTGACTTTCAAATAGCAATTTTTAGAAAAATACATGGAAAAGTCTGGTCAACAACTTCTGGTGGAAATTGAGATTTTAATTTTGTGACCCACCATCGACAAATGAGTCAGTAACATTCCCTACAGGGATGGTTTTGGTCTACCTGTGTAAATCTATTCAACGCAAACTTTTCGTGGCATACTTTAAGGAGTTTAAAAAAAATCCGCAATTTATGTTCAATATATATTTTTTTTAATTTTCACATAACCATTCATTTACAATGCCTTGGCAGTTTTTTCAACCCAGCTACGCAACGAAGGTACATCAGCATAGACACCAGGATAGCCCTCCTTGCCGCAACCAATACCCCAAGAGACAACACCAACCAATTTGCCACCCGATACCAATGGGCCACCAGAATCACCTTGGCAGGCATCCTTTTTGACGGCATAAGCACACACCATGGTCTCTTGAATGAGAGAACCATATTTGAATTCCGCAGAAGCACAAGCCTTCTCATCAACAATATCCACCTCTACTTCTTGCAATGTTGTGGGTAAACTGGAACAAGTCAGGAAACATTTGGTACCCCAGCCAGTGACAACAGCTGAAGTTCCAGTGGCCGGTGTCTTATTGGCCAATTGGACATAACGAACATGCGCAGATTCTCTTACCGGCGTGGCCAACTTGATGACAGCAATGTCATTAACCATGGTCTTGGGATTGTAACCTTCGTGGAATTTGAAGGACTTCACAGCAACCAAATCACCACCTTTGCTGTAATTGGTGGAGCCCAGGCGCACCTTAAACTGGGAAGCCGAATAGCTTTGCATGCAGTGGGCAGCCGTTACAACCACATCTTCGCTGATAATCGAACCACCACAGAAATGTGAGCCGCTATTGGTCTGAAGCGATACCTGATAGGGATGTTGTTCAATGGTTGTGTCAACACCATTTACAATGCGTCCATCCATGTCATCTGGCAAAACAGCGCCAAAGGTGCCGGCCACCAGGGCGAAAGTAGCTAGCAAACGTAACATGGTTAATTGTTGTCTGGATAAGAGAAGAACTATTGATTTCGCCAACCAGAACTATTGCTTTTATATCCAGAAAATGGGGCCAAAATATTATCTTATCAGGGGGGTATTTTGTGAGAAGTGGATTTGTGGTGGTTGTGTGGTTGGACATTACAAGTGGTAGGTATCTTTAATACTGCATTTGTCGATGCATTTGCACTAAAGTCCATGAAGTGGATCTAAATGGCTTGTAATTGAAGGTGAACAGTGGTTAGAACTGCAACAAGATCCTAGAAAATATCTCAATACGTTGTGAATGTTCTAAGGGAGTCAGTCAATACCTTAAATAATTGTAAAGTTCTCTGAACCGTATAGTTTTCAAAATTTAATATTTCGGTAAGAAAAAGTTCTGAAAACGTTAGCTTAGTTCTTAAAACCATTTTACCATGAATACTATGGACTTTTATGAGGTTACGTTCCTGATAATGCCATACTGGACGCAAACGGATTTTTTTTTTCTTCAAAAATCTTGGTGCTCTTAGGAGTCTGATGAATATTCTCAATATTCGTAAGTACCAAGAATTCGTGTTTAGTTAGTCAACATTTAAGATTCCAGGATATGGTAACACGCCCCAAAAACTCTTTTACAGTGATTTGGAGCGTTTTAGTTGCTGAGTGGTGTTGGCTAGGGTTACCTAGGTCGATTTTTGCCGGTACGGTTCAGAAAAGAAGAAAAAGTTCTGAAAACGTTAGCTTAGTTCTTAGAACCATCTTACCATGAATACTATGGACTTTTATGAGGTTACGTTCCTGATAATGCCATACTGGACGCAAACGGATTTTTTTCTTCAAAAATCTTGGTGCTCTTAGGAAGCTGATGAATGCTCTCAATATTTGTAAGTACCGAGAATTCGTGTTAAGTTAATCAACATTCCGGGATTTGGTAACAGGCCCCAAAACTCTTTTAAAGTGATTTGGAGCGTTTTTAGTTGCTGAGTGGTGTTGGCTAGGGTTACCTAGGTCGATTTTTGCCAAATAGCCAATTCATGTTACAAATTATTTTAGTTTTATTTTTATACCCTCCACCATAGTATGGAGAGTATATTAAGTTTGTCATTCCGTTTGTAACACCTCGAAACATTTATCCTTGAATGGTCTTAATTCAGGTCTTCTTTGAATAGAAGACCAAAAGTATGTATTTTATTGTCAAAGTACATTAAATGGGCTAAAGGAAGAAGATGTCCTGTGGATCTTTGATAGATAGAGGTCCTTAATGATCCTCTGTGTAGCAGGTTATTAAAAGGCTTTCTATGGAAAGGAGTAGACTTTGGAGACCTGATTAGATTTTTTCTCTACGAAAAAAATTCTCCTCAGGAGGACCTGAGGGAGATTTTTCTAGACGAAAAAGCCTTCCAAATTGGATCTGACGAGATTTTTCTAGACGAAAAGTATCCTCAGGTGGATCTGACGAGATTTTCTCTTCTCAGTTGGACCTGACGAAATTTTTCCTAGACTAAAGAGTTTTCTCAGGCCCACCTAAAAGACTTTTTCGTCAATAGACTTTTTTCTAGACAATAAAGTCTCCTCAGGTGGGCCTGACGAGATTTTTTCTACACGAAGAGTCTCCTGGAACACCATCTATGAATGGAAGATTTTTAAAAAAAAATATATTGAAAAGATGATCTTCAATGAGACTTTTGCGAAGAGTTCCTTTAAGATGTCTTCAATGAATAGAGGATATTCTTTAGATAGCCCTAGATACCTTATAAAGCCCTTATTCAGATAATTTATATATTATCCTTTAATGAGGGCCTTCAACAAACCTTCCAATAGCATTTCTTGGCATAAAATTCTTCCCATAGGTTTTTTAGCCCTTTATATGGAAAAAAAGGCTCAAAGGGATAAAGGAGCTTTAGGACATCTTCAATAGATAGAGGTCCTTTAACGTCCTCATTAAAAAGCCTTCTATAGAAAGAACAGGCCTTCGGTTAGCGATGCCCGTCCGCCCGTCTATAGAAATCACTCTAGCTTCCGAACGAAATGAAGTAGATTGATACAATTTTACTCAGATGTGTGTCTGGTCTGCAGGACTTTTGGTATAGCCACCATATAACTGTGAGAACAAATTTAAGGTTTTTTGGGTGTATGTTTAAGTTCCCATTATGTAAGACACATACTTGCATAGAACTGTCAATGTAGGTCTAAGTTTTGGTATAGTCCCCATATGACTGTGCCACCTAGATATTCGGCATTTTGATGATGATTTGTGTTACACTTTTCGCTGGAAATGTTTCAAAATTGGAATTCGAATTTTCTCATGGTTACAACATCATATGACCGAAATTTGCATATGAAGGTCCAGGTCTTCGTATAGCCCTTATATAACAGTACCTCCTTAAATTCGGTATTTTGGTAATTTTAGCGACATTATCCGCCGGAATTGTTGTAAATTTCGCATTGAAAGTTCGTTAGGGGTACTACATTCAATTCAGTTGTGTTTGTTTGGATAGTAATTTTGACACTAGAATCCATACAGGTAGGTCTCTTTACATGCAACTTGCCCTACCATGACTTCATTGTAGCTTGGGTAGACTTCCTTTCTGGCAACTTTTTCAAACTTATCCCACATTCCATTCATTGTGCAATGGGTTAATCAATCTTAAGATCCAACGATTCCAGGCAGCCCTTTAGGAAGCTAGGTGATTTTAATAAGTTAGAGATTTTTTCAAGAAAGCGTTGACCTCCTTTAAATTGGCGAGCTCGTAAACGTTGCGAACTCTGTGATACCTAAAGGTGACAAAATGAGCGTAGGGCCAAAATCGAACTAGGTCAACCTAAAACTCATTTGTTTCTCTACGAAGAAGCCAGCCAATGACTTAGGACAGTCAAAAAAGCGTTTTATGTATTCTCGCCTTAAGAATGTTTTGTTAGCTATCTTGAGGTTTAAGATTTCAATTCTAATTCCTATTAAAACAAAATCCAAATCAAGCTATGAGATTTCCCAAAAAAAAAAAAAAAACTATATTGACCTTATCACTGTTTAGATTTCGGCCAGAATTTACAGCTGGTGATATGATTATCTCAGGGGAAATCGCCAAATTTTCTATAAAATTATTGATACGGAATTGGGAAAGATTTAGTTCGACTGTTTACCTTGCAGCTCACGGACACATGGCAAATATTGGTGGTTTGGTTCTTTTCTTCTTGGCATCTGCCCTGGTAGCTGGCAAACCCATTCAGGATGAGGATATCGAACCATCACTGAGACTCGATGGACGTATTGTGGGTGGCTATGCTGTGGATATTACCCGCCATCCCCATCAGGTATCGATGCGGCGTAAGAGCTGCGACGATTGTGCCTTCTCACACACCTGTGGCGGCAGTATTTACAATGCGAAGGTCATTGTGACGGCGGCGCATTGTGTCAATGGACGTGTGGCTGATAATTTCATAATTGTGGCAGGCACAAGTACCCGTAATGGCGTGGATGGTGCCGTGTCGCGTGTCGATAAGATTATTATGCACGAGAACTATAACGCTTCCGTCTATGATAATGATGTGGCTTTGATGATTTTGTCACACCCTTTGCCATTGAATGGCTTCACCATGGCGCCCATTGAATTGGCCACAGAAGTTCCGTCGAAGGGTTCCAAGTCTACAATAACCGGTTGGGGTACAACTACCGCGGGTGGTTTTGCTTCAAATCAATTGTTGGCTGTCGATGTGCCAATTGTGGAAAATGATCGTTGCGATGCTGCATATGCTGTTACCTATGGTCCAGGACGTATCACCGATGCCATGTTGTGCGCCGGTGTCGATGGTATCGGTGGTAAGGATGCCTGCCAGGGCGATTCCGGTGGCCCGCTTTTGGTAAATGGCAAGTTGACTGGTATTGTTTCATGGGGTCGTAGCTGTGCCTTGGCCGATTATCCTGGAGTCTATGCGAGCGTACCATATTTGAGGGATTGGATATTGGAAAATGTGGCTGCCAATTCGTAAAAAAATTAAAATAATGAAAAGATTTTGTGGTAGTTTTTTTGTAAAATAATAAAGTATTCCATACAATTAGGATTTTTTGGAAAAAAAAGATGTCTCGATTATTTGAGCGGAAAATACTTGGGAAAGACGAAAAAAACACAAAATATATTCAATGCTCCAACACAGTTTCAACGAAGCCTCGCAGTTCTTGAGAAGAGTTTGAAAGCTTTTAGGGAGCCTGGCAGTTCTCAAAGTGACTGGGAGCTCTGTAAAAGTTCGCGAGTTCAATAGAAGTCAGGGAGTCCTAAGAAATCTGGAAGAAAGATTAGAAGTTCTTTGAAAATCAGAGATTTTCTTGAGATTTTTACGGAAATTTGAGTTTATAAAAAAATCTGGGAGTATTTAAGAAGTCTAGGCTTCTTCTGAAATCCGGAAGTACCTAGAAAGCTAAGAAAATTATAAGAAGGTCTGGCAGGTTGGGAATTGTCGAGGAGCTGTGAAGAAATCTGAGAATTTCTTTGAGGTCAAGGGCATCTTAAAAATTTTGGATGTCCAACGAAAGCCTAGGAGTTCTAAAAAAAATTAGGGAGATCTTATACACACTGGTAGTTCTTAGTACGAAAGGGAGTTGTGTAAGCTATGAGAATGTCTGGGAGTTCTTAGGACGCCTGGGAGTTCTTGGGAAGAAAAAGGCTTTTTTTCAAAGTAAGGAAGTTCTTAAAGAGTTAAGGTGGCTCAAGGAAATCTAGTAGTACATGGTATGTCTGGGGGTTCTTCTGGACTTCCAAAGAAAGCTTAAACACTTTAGGGAGAGCGAATGTTATAAGAAGAAGAAGAAGTAGCTCTAGGAAAAACTGGAAGCACATAGTAGGTCCTAGGAACTTTAGGGAGGGGGAATGTTTAAAGAAAGTCTCGCAGGTTGGCAGTTTTCGAGGATACTGGGAGCGGTGAAGAATTCTGAGAATTCCTTTGAAGTCAAGGGTATCTTAAGAAGTTTGGGTGTCCAACGGAAACCTAGGAGTTCTAAGAAATTCAGGGAGTTTTTAAGAACTCTGTTAGTTCTTAGGTGGAAAAAGTATTGTGGAAGTTCTGTTAAGGTCTGGGAGCTCTTAGGATGTCTAGGATTCTTGGAAAGAAAGAGGCGTTTTTTAAATTTAGAAAGTTGTTAAGGAGCTCTAAGAAAGTTTAGTAGTTTATAGACCTTCTATTTTCTCGGCTTCCAACGAAAGCTTAAAAACTTTAGGAAGTGGGAAAGAGAAATATTTATAAGAAAGTTTTGCAGGTTAGCAGTAGTCCAGGAAACTATGAACTGTGAAGAAGTCTGGATGTTTCTTTTGAAGTCAAGGGGAACTTAAAAAGTTAGGGTGTCCAACGGAAGCCTAGAAGTTCTAAGAAATTCGGGGAGTTCTTTTGAACTCTGGGAGTTTTTTTGTAGGAAAGAGAGTTATGGAAGTTCCAAGAAAGTCTGGGAGCTGTAAGGATGCCTGGGAGTTCTTGGGAAGAAGGAGTTTTCAGGATTTGTCAGGGAGTTTTTAAGGATTTGGGAAGCTCTCAGAAAATCTGGTAGTTTGTAGGAGGTCTGAAGGTATTTGGGAGTTCCTATGATTCCCCAGACTTGCTATGAACTTTTGGACTTCCTAGGAAAGCTTAAAATTGATTCCCACGCTTAGTAACTTGAGGAAGTTCCTATGAACTCTGGAAGTTCTTAGAAAGTATTAAAGTTGTTGAAGTTCTGAGAAAGCCTGGGAGCTCTTAGGACGTGTGGTAGTAGTTCAAAGAGGTTTGGGAGTTCTTCTGTAGTCTCTGAGTTCCAGGAAAGACTGGGTGTTCTTATGATTCCCCAGACTTTCTATAAACTTTCGGACTTCCCAGGAACTTTTAGTGTATATGACAATGTTTGTAGGACGTTTGGGAGTTCTTCGGAAGTTTGTGAGTTCCTAGAAAGAATGGGAGTTCCTCTGATTTGCCAGATTGCCTGTAGACTCTCGGACTTCCTAGTAACTTAATGACCTCTCAAAAAAGCTTAGAATTGATTTGAGCTTCCCATGAACTCCTCGGTGCTTAGTTACTTTGGGATACTTAGGACTGTCGGGAAATTCCTATGAAATCTGGAAGTTCTTAGAAAGTATTAATGTTGTTAAAGTTCTGAGAAAGTCTGGGGGCTCTTAGGATGTCTGGCAGTAGTTCATAGGAGGTCTGGGAGTTCTTATGTAGCCTGTGAGTTCCAGGAAAGACTGCGCGTTCTTATGATTCCCCAGACTTCTTAAGAACTTTCGGATTTCCCAGGAACTCTAAGGATATCTGGCAATAGTTTGTAAGACGTCTGGGAGTTTTTCGGAAGTTTGTGAGTTCCTAGAAAGAATGGGAGTTCCTCAGATTCCCCAGATTTCCCATAGAATCTCGGACTACCTAGTAACTTAATGACCTCTCAAAAAAGCTTAGAATTGATTTGAGCTTCGGTGCTTAGTTACTTTGGGATACTTAGGACTGTCAGGAACTTTTTAAATGTATAGACATTTAGTAAAGCTCTTAAAGCATAGAGAATATTTGAAATGATTAGAACAACTTGGATGGGGGTTTTAAAGAAGTAAAAAAATTCTTAAGAGCCTGGAGAGCTTTAAGGAAGTCTTGCGGTTTATAAGAGACCTGAGAGTTCGGGAAAAGTTTGAGAGTTCGTCAGAAAAGTGTGAGTTCTTAAGATTCTCCAAACTTTCGAACTAATTGACTTTCCCAGAGAGTCTAGCATTGAATTATAGAAATTCTCTGAAGGAAATTAACGAATTTTTATGAGACTCTTAAATTTAGAGAAATTCCGGAAGCTTGGACAATTTTACGTGGGAAACTCATAGAACTTTCTTCGTCTTTAACTTTGCAATTCCCCAGAGATTTAAGTGATATCTTTTTTAGTTCTTATGCTACTTCAAAACTCATATAAATTCCGAATAAATAAAATAAAATATCAAAATTTTCTTCCTTGAACTTTTTGAGAAACTCCGTAACATGCCTAAGAAGACATGGTTTCTACCACTAATTCCCCTCTGTCTCTTATCGATTGTAACTTCACCCTGACCCGTTCTCCTCATTCATCACTCACACACACACACATATTTTTCTTATCGTGCGTACAGCATTTGATTATCTCTGATATGATTGTGGGTTAATAAATCAGAAAAAGTTTGCTATAAAACCATTGATACAAATCTGCCGGGAATTTAGTCTGGCTGTGCGGCTAACTGAGAACAGCATGTCGAAGTTGTCGGTTTGCAATATTTTACTCTTGACCATTTTGGCCCATGTGGTTGTGGGACAACCCCTTAAGGATGAGGAACTGGCGCCCAATGTAAATCAGGATGGTCGCATTGTTGGTGGCTATGCCGTGGATATTACCAAACATCCGCATCAGATTTCGATGAGGCGCAAGAGTTGTGAAGACTGTACCTACACGCACAGCTGTGGCGGTAGTATTTACAAGGCCGATGTCATTGTGACCGCAGCTCATTGTGTCAATGGACGGGTGGCGGAAAATTTCATAATTGTGGCCGGTACCAGTACCCGTAATGGCGTCGATGGTGCTGTGTCGCGCGTAAAGAAAATCGTGATGCACGAGAAATACAATTCATCCGTGACCGACAATGATGTGGCCCTGATGTTCCTTGCTACTCCATTGCCTCTGGATGGCATTAAAATGGCTCCCATTGAATTGGCCAGCGAAGTTCCGGTACATGGTTCCAAGTGCACAATAAGCGGTTGGGGTACCACATCCTCGGGTGGTGTTTCCTCCAATCAGCTGTTGGCTGTCGATGTACCCATTGTTGATAATGAACGCTGCGATGCTGCCTATGGTCCAGGACGTATTACTGATGCCATGTTGTGTGCCGGAGTTGAGGGTGTCGGTGGCAAAGATGCCTGCCAGGGTGATTCCGGTGGTCCGCTTTTGGTGAATGGCAAATTGGCCGGCATTGTTTCGTGGGGCCGTAGCTGTGCTTTGCCCGATTATCCTGGAGTCTATGCCAATGTGCCATATTTGAGAGAGTGGATTTTGGAGAATGTTGCTGCCAATGTTTAAATTAAATATTTGCAAAAATAAAGGACATTTTTGTTAACATATTTTTGGGCGAAATCATTGGCGTAGCTTTGTGTAATTTTTGTTTTTGCTGTTTGTGTGTTGGGTTTATCAGTGGCTGAACACTTATGGTCGTAAAATGATAAGCTACCATGATGGACGTTTCGTTTATTATTTAATATGGGTCGTTAATAATATTTAATGGTTTGTTATGGAGAACCAAAGATTGTGTACTGACAACGATTGCACTGCGAAAAAAAAAATCAAGGAGGTAGTGGAAAAATATACTGTCAACTCCTTGAAAATACCCAAAAACCCTCTAGGAAAATTGGAGACCTAGAACTTCATTGCTTCAGTCCCTATAAACCTTCTTCATTTAACCACCTCCTCAATGGGGTTTCTGAAAGCTTCATCAGGTCCTAAAAAAACTGTGCACTCCTGTAGTTTCCATTAACCATACGTGTATCAATAAGCTCCATGAGTCACATTAAATTTCTACAGTTCCAACGAACTCGACGAATTCCCAGGAAGTCTAAGAAGTGAATTTCATGACCACTCATGTCCCAACATTGATATGATGAACTCTTAGAGCTCCTTTGAACCCCAAAAGTTCCTTTGAACGTCACAAGTTTCTTTGAGAGTTCCTACGCAGTCCTAGTAGCGCTTCGAACTCCTAGTACTCCGACGAACTTCAGAACTTCTTTGAAACTCTCTGAGTTTGTGGAATTTCTAAAATTGTTGTGAACTCCTAGTGTCCATTTAGACTGTTATAGTACGTTTACGTTGTAAAGGATTTAGAAAGCCCAGTAGGTTTAAATTGTCAATTCAATTGTAAATACCTCAAATAAATCTACATAACGAAGGTTAATCCGGAAAAAAGCTCTAACGTAAACATGCCTTTACAGTTCTTATGAGCATCGCTAGTTCGTTCGGTTAGAGTTCCTTTGAACAATGCTCTATAAACTTCAAAAGTTTCTAAAGGTGAGAACACATAAAAAACATTTTTGACTGGTTTAAGTTATCGGCTGGCTTCTTCGGAAAATAATAAAGGAGCGTAGGACCAAAATCGAACTAAGTCAACCAAAAACTCCTTTTTCTCCCTTACGAGGAGGCCAGCCAATGACTTATACTAGTCAAAATAGCGTTTTATGTACTCTCACCTTAAGAGACTCACAAGTTTCTTGTTCCCAACTCCACAATTAATTATTTATTCCACGAGTCCCTAAAAAGCTTCTGGTGACTTACACGAATCCCCATGAACTCCACAAGTTATTTTTGGGCATCTAGAGTTCCCGTGAACTTCTTAACATACTATGAACTCTTACAGTTATATGACGTTCCCATGAACTCCTCGAGTTTTATGATCTTCCCAGCATTTGGAGTTTCTTCGAGTTTCTTGAATGTATGTGATCTCTGTGAGGTACTGTGAACGCAATGAGTTCCTGTGAACTCAACGAGTTCCTTTGAACTTTAACAGTCCCTATGAACTCTAGCAGTTCCTGGGAACTCTACAAGACCTTGTGAACTCAGAAAATCCCACGAGTTCCTGTGAACTCCACCAGTTTCGATAAACCTTACCGGTTGCTATAAATATTATAAAAAATCCATAGGGATCTTATGAGCTCTTATAGTTCCTACAAACACCTACAATCCCAAAGAACACCGGAGACCTCAGAAATTCCTTCAGTTCAAATGAATATCAGGAGTTCCCATGAATTTCGGTGAGTTCCTGTAGACTATACCAGTTCATATGAACAACACCAGTTCGTTTGTAAACTCTTGGAGTTCTATTGAACTCCACGAGTTCCTGTGAACTCCCAAAACTGTTTTGAACTTCTATTGTTTGTGTGAGCGCTGAAAGTTCCTATTAAAAAACGAGTTGCATAAACTTAAAGGGGTGTTTGTTAACTGAACGAGTTGCATGAACTGCATGCGTTCCAGTGAACCAAAAAAGTTCCGCATGAACTGAACTAGTTCTAGTGAACTGTTCAATTTTCCTTTTCATTTTTAGTTTCTCAACCAGTTCTGTGAACTATTCCAGTTCTTGCGAACTCAATGAGTCCCAGAGAGCTCAATGAGCTCCTAGAGTTCCAATGAACACCAGATAATTCCTTCCAGTTCCTATGAACTCCACTAGAACTGAACAAGTTATTGTGAACTGAACGAGTCATTGTGAACTGAACGAGGTCCCATAAACTAAACATGTTCCCACGATCTGAAATAGTTCTTGTGAGCAATTCGATTTCCTTTGTTATTTTTAGTTTCTTTAATATTTACGAGTTCCCGTCAACTCAACCAGTTCCTGGGAACTTTACCAGTTCGTGTGAGTTCCTACAAGCTGCTAGAGTTCCAATGAACACAAGTGACGCCAGGAATTGCATAAGCTCAAGTGAATATCAAGTGTTCCTGTGAACTCCACCAGAACTGAACAAGTTATTGTGAACTAAACTAAACATGTTCCCATGATCTGAACTAGTTTTTATTAGATGTTCGATTTCCTTTTTTATTTTCTTTACATATAAAGATCTCTGAGATCCAGATTCGTTTGTAAGCTCTTGGAGTTCTATTGAACCCCACGAGTTCCGGTGAACTTTTAAAACTGTTTTGAACATCTATTGCTTCCTAGTTCCGTAGAATGAATAAGTTCTCATAATCTGAACTAGTTCCTGTGTTTTCTTCCTTTTTGTTGTTATTTCATTTTCTTTACTGGTGATGAATTCCTACCGATCCCATGATTTTCTAGATTTCTTTATTCCGTATATTTTTGTCAATAAATCACACCGATTTATGGTTATCGTTTTACGGCTATCGACGATAATTAAATGTGAGGTTTATCTCTTATTACCCTGGACCATAAAATCCCTATCTATTGTCCGCTATAAAACCCTTAGCCTCCAGCTAACAGAGGTTTAGTATCTCTGCGTAAATTACACGATCAAAATGAACAATTTTTACTCCCATAATTTCATTGGTTTCCTACTTGCAATCCTTATAGTCCATGCTGCGGCCCAACCGCTGCAACAAGAAGCCCCCGAATCCAAACTCTCCGAGAATGGACGCATTGTTGGCGGCTATGCAGTGGACATAACACGTCATCCGCATCAGGTGTCGCTGAGACATAAACTCCTCTCTACATGGCAATATGCCCATATGTGCGGTGGCAGTATTGTCCGTGAAGATGTCATTGTCACCGCTGCCCATTGTGTGAATAATCGTAAGGCGAAAAATTTCATAGTTGTGGCTGGAACTGTAAATCGTGCGGGCAGCGATGGCTTTGTGGCTCGTGTGGAGAAAATTGTCCAGCATGAGAGCCTAATTCCTCCATAACAAACAATGATGTAGCCCTGCTATTCCTTGCCACACCATTGCCCTTGAATGGTGTAACTATGGCCGCTGTTGAACTGGCCAAAAATGTTCCGGTGCAGGGCTCAAAATCTGTTATCAGCGGCTGGGGCACCACTGCTCCTGCGGGCTCAGCTTCAGATACCCTATTGGCTGTCGACGTGCCCATTGTGGAAAATGAACGTTGTGATGCGGCTTATGCTGTTAGTTATGGCCCGGGACGCATTACCGATGCAATGCTTTGTGCTGGCGTTGAAGGTGTCGGCGGCAAAGATGCCTGCCAGGGTGATTCGGGAGGTCCCCTCTTGGTGCAGGGCAAATTAACGGGTATTGTTTCGTGGGGTCGCAGCTGTGCTTTGCCTGATTTTCCCGGTGTCTATGCGAATGTGCCGTACCTCAGGGAATGGATATTACAAACAATTGAGGCAAATGTGAAAAAATAATCGGATGTTTTAGATTTAAATAAAAAAATGTTTTATAAAAATGTGAAATTTATTTTTTTAAAGAAATATTGAATGAAAATTAAAAAAAATTGAATAAGGAAATATTTTCCATTTCACTTTTTCATAAAATAAAAGAATTCAGCCATTGATATCACTCTCCAAACTCAAGAAATTAAGTTAAAATGTGGCAAATAATCGATTTTGTGTACCCTACTTTGTGACGGTGACATTGGGTAAAAAACGAACTAAGGCATGTTCACATGCCAAGATATTATCTGTAGAGCAGTAAAATTGATTTCCTCACGTGATCGGTACTAAAAATAGTTGATGAGATAATTAAATTAAAAAAGAATATGAGAACTGATCATATGATGCTGTATTGAAACAATTTTTTCAAAAATGCGAAAATATCAAAGATTTAAATAATTTGGAATTTTTCAATAGCCCAAAATCTAATTGTTTAGAAAAAAAACTTTCAAAAATTATTATTTTCCATTTCACTTTTTCATAAAATAAAATAAACTCAAGAAATTAAGTTAAAATATGGCAAATAATCGATTTTGTTTACCCTATTTTGTGACGGTGACATTGGGTAAAAAAACGACCTAAGGCATGTTCACATGCCAAGATATTATTTGTCATACATAAACTGTACATTGATTTCCTCACGTGATCAGTCCTAAAAATAGTTGATGAGATTATTAAATTATAAAAGAATATGAGAACCGATCATATGATGCTGTATTGAAAAAAAATTTTCAAAAATGCGAAAATATCAAAGATTTAAATAATTTGGAATTTTTCAATGGCCCAAAATCTAATTGTTTAGAAAAAAAAACTTTCAAAAATTATTATTCATGCCTATAAAGATTAAAGTCTCATTAACACCGAACATATAGCAGCGGAACACATTAGTAAAATTGTCAATTCTCTCAACATCACGTCAAATCAATGAAGTATTTAGGTGTCGGTATAAATAAAACTTATGGCTTTAATGGAATATTTCTCAGAAGAACTTTCAATTTTCTTTTTAAATATTTACCCTGCATATAAATTTCCTCCGTGTACTTCGAAAGAATCCAGCACACAAACACACACACCCACAGCAAAAAAAAAAAACTTCTTCGCCCGGTAGTAAAATGATTAAAAACAATAATACAACCTCCTTATCGGCTATCTTAAATCCCCATGCCATATCGATTGATAAGTTTGACGTCGCATAAATATGCCGCTTTGCCGAAAATTCCCACTTCTCAATCAGTAATAAATTAAACTTGAATATGTTTAGATTGGCTGTATTGCTACTGGCCATTGTCGCTGCTGGCATTGAGGCTGCTGCTCCATTGACCAACACGGGTCGTATCATTGGAGGTCGTGAGGTGACCATTGCCAAACATCCACATCAGGTGTCATTGCGTTACAAGAGCTGCTATGAATGCACCTTCCTGCATGGCTGTGGCGGTGTCATTTACAATGCCAATACCATTCTAACGGCAGCCCATTGTGTCTACAAACGTGAGGTGCATGAGTTCATTGTTGTTGCCGGTACCGATAATCGTTCCGGTTCGGATGGTATTGTTGCTCTCGTTGAGCGTATAGTGCTGCATGAAAATTACAATCCAGCCCTGACGGAAAACGATGTGGCCCTACTGCATTTGGCCACCCCTATTGTGCTGAATGGTGTCAACATCGATGCTGCTGTTTTGGCAAAGCAGCCAACCAAAACCGGGGCCACAGCTTTGGTTACCGGTTGGGGCACCACATCGGAGGGTGGCATGAATTCGCTGAAATTACAAGAAGCCGAAGTAAAGGTAATCGATCATGAGGTGTGCAATGATGCCTACGGCTTTGGACGCATCACCGAGGACATGCTGTGTGCTGGTGTTGTGGGTGGCGGTCGAGATGCCTGTCAAAATGATTCTGGTGGTCCATTGATAAGCAACGATACACTGATTGGCATTGTTTCATGGGGTACGGGTTGTGCTCGCCCTGAATATCCGGGCGTCTATGCCAATGTGGCCTATTTTAGGTCATGGATTGAAACCAATGCTAAGGGAAATTGATAAATTTTTGCCAACGAGAAAGATGGAAGAAAGTTAATAAAGGTTTTTTTTTTTGATTTACAGCTAATTTTTGGAGTTTTTTTTTTTTTTTTGGTCTAGTCAAGGATATTAATTGCGGTTGGGAGAGCAGGAGAGCAGAAGATTGGCGGGAGATTGCAAAAATAGTTGAATGTTTGGAATATTTAATCAAGGGATTTCAAGAGTCCCTTATTTGTGCATGCAACAAAGAATTGTTTCATTCAATCAAAGCGAATCAGGATTTAAGGCAAGAATACATAAACCGCTATTTTTTAACTGACTTTAGTCATCGGTTGGCATTTTCACAAAAGAAAAAAAGGGTAAATTATGGGCCAAGATTGAACTAAAGATAAGATCACATAGAGGAACAAAGAAATTTTAGGTTGACTTAGTTCGATTTTGGCCTTACGCTCTTTTGTTATTTTACGTAGAGCCAGCCGATAACATAAATCTGTCAAAAAAGTATTTTATGTACTCTCACCTGAAGTCAACCTAAATCTCCATTGTCTTTTTATGGAGAGGTCATCCTAAAGGTGAGAGTACATGAAGGGCGTTTTCTGTCTGGCATAAATCATCGGCTGCCTTCTTCATAGAGGAATAAAGGAGTTTTAGGTTAATATAGATCGATTTTGGCCCTACGCTTCTTTGCTTTTTGCCGAAGACGCCAGCCGATGACTTAAGCCAGTCAAAAAAGCGTTTTATGTACTCTCACCTTTACTTCTGTATTTTCATTTTAAATTATAATTTTAAAATTATTTGTTCTGTGGAAAAATCTACAGATTTTCCTAACAGAGGTCGGTAGAAAATTTTACGCAGATCATTACAGATATATAGAGCCTAATTTCAATATGTCAAAAGAATTTGGTCAAACATCTAAATATGTGGGTGTAGGTGTGATGTTATTAGAAACGATAAATGAATGAATGCGAACTACCTTAATATTGATCATCTGTAAGCAGATCAGCTGATTAGCAGCTGTAGTTTTAAGGATTGTTAATGTTGTTCGAAATAAAAAGATTAAGTAAAACAAGTAAAAAAGCAGCTATGTTCGGCTGATCCGAATATTTAATGCCCTTTACCATTTTGAAGGAAATTGAAAAACTTCAAAAAAAATCCGATGAACAACTCTAGTTTAGTAGAAACTCTTCGATTTTTTCCCAGAGGTATGTATTTTTACCCTGATCCCGGGAAACTATTTGTTCTTGGGGACGTACCCGGGATCCCAGATTTTGGATTCCAAAGTCAGGGCTTAAGACCCGACCTGGACCCGGACCCAATTACCCGATATAGACAATATAGGTATTGTAGCATTTTGGAAAGGTGAGAGTATCATCTATAAATTGCCATCAATTTTGTCGACCCCCATTAGGGGCCCTTTTTGGACATTTTGGGGGTTTTATAAAAAATATGGGTCCAAAAAATCGATAATTTGACTATATTGTATATATCGGATAATTGGATCGGGGTCTAGTGGGGGTCTTGAACCCGGACTTTGGGGTCAAAAATCTGGGGTCCCGGGTCCGTCCACCAAGAAAAAAATAGTTTCCCGGAATCAGGGTAAAAATACCTACCACTGGAAAAAATTTCGAAAATTTTGAAGAATTTTTACTAAACTAGAGTTAAGCCAAATACGAAAACTACCACTTAAATGAAAATCGTAATATATATATACGAAGACGTGGACCTGCATACGAAATTTTTTGTCATAGGCTGTAGTGCCCATTACGAACTTCAAATACGAAATTTGTTACAATTACGGTGAATACTCTCGCAAAAATTATGAAAATATGGAGTATTGGGAGGTACCGTCATATGGAGGCTATATGTGGACCTGCATACAATTTTTTTTTTGCCATAAGTTATGGTACCAATTAAGATCTTTCAATACAAAATTTAAAACGATTTCGGTAAATAATGTCGGGTGGTTCGGTTATATGGGGGCTGTACGAAGACGTGGACCTGCATAAAAAAATTTTGCCATAGGTTGTAGTGCCTATTGGTATCTTCCAGTATGAAATTTGAAACGATTCCGGTGAATAATGTTGCTGAATTCATCAAAATACCGAATATAGGGAGGTACCGTTATATGGGGGCTATACGAAGACTTGGACCTGCATACAAAATTTTTTGTCATTGGCTGTAGTACCCATTACGACATTTAAATACGAAATTTTAAATAATTCCGATAAACAATATCGCTAAAATCATGAAAATACCGAATATCGGGAGGTACCGTTATAAGGGGGGGGGGGGGGGCATACGAAAACGTACACCAACATGGCCCATTTACAAACTTAACCTGCCTACTGATAAACTAGGCATGTATGCAATATTTTAGCCTTCTATCTCAATTCGTTCGAAAGATAGCGAGATTACAAAAGAAAGACGGACAGACAGAAGATCATCATTTTTTGACATAATTTTCTTGAATTGATGTAAAAAAAAAAACTTAAAGACCAAATAAAAATAATCCACAAGATTCTCCATTCCATTTTTTGTTTTTAATTACAGCCAAAAATTAGTGGAAGTTTATTTTTGCGCCACCTTGTATTACCAAGTACACATTTTGGAGCTTTAATTTTCATGTTCTCAAATACGGCAAAAATACAAAATACCGATGAATGGATAATTCCACCTCACTATCGTAGCCTTGGGAACGGCACGATACCTTGAGTGAACCGTCTTTAGACATTGCTTTTTAGATTTTGCTTCAAAAAGTTCAAAGGTTTCTCTTTCACTTACACATAATTCCATATTTATTATATATGACTACAATCCTGAAAAGGGGGAGGGACAGGGGAGGAGTGACAAACAAAAAACTAAGAACATTCTATGGAGTACCCCATAATGCAATAAAAATATCCATAATCATGCCACATTCATTTAAAAAACACCAAAGTCTCTTCATTATGTGTTTCCTACATTACCCAACAAATTTCAAAGCATACTTTTAGGCAACCACAATTGAAATTTAATTCTTGCTATCAATGCGTTATACTGCCAACTTGTAAATAATTTTATGATAAAATCCCACACAAATTCATATAATTTTCGTACCCAAGCAATCCTCATTATCAAAATAGCACCATAAAGTATTTGAAATCAATATCGTAATTCACTAATAATAGTGATATCGCCAATCATAAAATCAGCGGGAGCTATAAATGAACAGACCATGGTTTTATCAACAAATCAATAATCAGTTCAACCAAAAAAAAAAGAAAACATTTCCTATCGTTGACTGCGATTGTGGTAACAAGTGACCAATAACGATAATGGCCTTCATTGCTGCTCGGTCTGGTGTTGTCAAAGCTCTTCAGTATTACAACGACTTTCTATGACAATGCGGTACGGTGCTTCACTCTTTGGCCTGGTGGCATTTGTGGCTTTGGTGCATGGCTTACCTGTGGAAAATCCAGCCGCAGCTGGGGACAATTCGAGAATTGTTGGTGGCAATACCACCGACATTGGGGCCCATGGCTATCAGATAAGTTTGCGCAAGAAGAGTCTGTTCTATCCCCAAGATGATTTTGGTCACATTTGTGGTGGGGCCATTCTTTCCGAAAATCATGTGGTGACCGCTGCCCATTGCATCATTGCCACGGTGCCGAGTCAATTTAAGGTTGTGGCCGGCAGCAATTTGCATATTGGCAATGACGGTGTCATGGTGCCCGTCAAGGAAATCCTCATGCATGAAAACTATAATCCCGAGACCTATAACAATGACATTGCCATATTGGTTTTGGCCACGCCACTGCCGCTGAACGGCTTTACCATACGTCCAATTGAATTGATTGATGATGCACCGGTTGCAGGGATACAAACGACCATAACGGGTTGGGGTGCCCTCTGGGAGGGAGGTCCCTCGCATCACTTTTTGCAGGAGGTCAAGGTGCCGGTGGTGAGCCATGAGGATTGTAATGTTGACTATGAGGGGATGATCACGGATAAAATGTTCTGCGCCGGCTTGCGAGGTGTCGGTGGTAAAGATGCCTGCCAGGGCGACTCAGGTGGTCCGCTGACAATTCGCAATAAATTGGCCGGTGTTGTTTCCTGGGGTGCCGGCTGTGCTCGTCCTGAATATCCCGGTGTCTATGCAAATGTTTGGACCCTGAAGCCATGGATTTTGGAGAAGATGGCCCTAAATGTTTAGAAAGGGATTGGAAGGTTGGAATTTTAAAATATTATTATTTTTATTAAAAATGTGAGTGAATAAAATTTAAAAATTATTTGTTTTATTTTTTTTTAAACTATTATTTTTTTTATTTGAAGTAGTTTTAGATTGTGGAAGTAATTTTGGTGGCGTATACGTGCCAATATCAGTTATACGCCCTGAGTATATTGTAGCGTTATCTAAAATTCGAAGTGGCGTACATTATTTAGGGATCAAATCATGGATTTAAAAAAAATCTAAGGATTAAAAGTTGAGTTTTTACATATTTTTTCAAGGATAAAAACGTGGATTTGTTATATATTTTTTTGGGATTCAATGTGGATTTTTAAATAGTTCATTTAAGGATCAAAACGTAGATTTTTTATTAAATATTTTTTAAAAGATCAAAGGGTGGATTTTTTGTATATTTCTAAAATATTTTTGTTACAAGACATACAGTTCCATATACATGGTTTTTTAAGACTGTCTTTCAAATGACCTTCAGAACAATAAACGTGGATTATTTAAGAATTTTTGTCCAAGGACATTCAGCCAATAAAAACATTTTTTTTAGAATATTTTTGAAAGGACCTTTATTTTAATAATTTTTCTAAAGGATCTTTGGTCTGCAAACATGTTTTTTTTATGCTTTTCAAAGGACCTTTTGCCAAACATGGCCTTGTTAAGAGTATTTTTTCAAATGACCTGCAGAACAATAAACGTGGATAATTTAAGACTTTCTGTCGAAGAACATTCAGCCAAAAAATCGTGTTTTTAAAAATATTTTTAGAAGGACGTTCAGCCAAAAAATGTGAATTTTTTAATAATTTTTCTTAAGGACCTTCAGTCTACAAACACGTTTTTTTAAATATTTTTTAAAGGACCTTTTGCCAGAAAATGTGGATTTCCGTTCTACTTTTAAACAATTTGTTTAATGGACTTTCAGTCCTATAAACATGAATTTGTAAGAGAAACTTTCAAATGACCTTCAGAACAATAAACGTGGATAATTTAAGAATTTTTGTCAAAGGACATTCAGCCAAAAAAAAAAACTATTTTTAAGAATACTTTTGAAAGGACATTCTGCCAAAGAATGTGATTTTTTTCTAAACATGTTTTTTTTAAAAAAAAGGACCTTCTGCCAGAAAATGTGGATTTCCGTCCTACTTTTAAACAATTTGTTTAATGGACTTTCAGTCATACAAAAAATGTGAATTATTTTATAATTTTTCTAAAGGACCTTTTCTATAGGTGTTTTAAAAAAAATGCTTTTCAAAGGACCTCCTGGCAAAGAATGTGGATTTCAGTCCTACATTTAAAGAATTTATTTAATGGACTTTCAGTCCTACAAACATGGATTTTTAAAGGACAATCAGTCCTACAAAGGACCTTCAGTCCCAAAAACTTGGACTTTTAAAGATTTTTGTAAAGGTACTTCAGTTCTACAAACGAAGTTTTTTTAAAAAAAAAAGTTTTTTTGAAGGACCTTCGTGGATTTTTAAAGATTTTTTTAAAGGCCCTTCAGTTCTACAAATGTGGATTTTTAAAGAATTATTTTTTAAAGGACCTTCAGTCCTACAAACTTGGTTTTTTAAAGATTTTTTAACAGACATTCAGTCCTACAAACGTGGATTTTTGAAGAACTTTTTTTAAAGAATCTTCAGTCCAAAAACGCGGATTTTTGAAGTCCTTAAAAAAAATAAAGTACCTTCAGTCTTACAAACGTGGATTTTTAAAGAAATGTTTTTAAAGGACATTCGTGAACTTTTAAAGAATTTTCTTAATGGACCTTCAGTCCTACAAACTTGGATTTTTAAAGACATCTTAACGGACTTTTAGTCCTATTAACGTGGATTTTTAAAGAAATGTTTTTAAAGGACCTACGTGGTTTTTTAAAGAATTTTCTTAAAGGATCTTCAGTCTTACAAAGTCCTGCAATCTTGGATTTTTAAAGTATTGTTTTAAAAGACCTTCAGCCCTACAAACTTTGATTTTTAAAGATTTTTAACGGACATTTAGTCCTATCAATGTGGATTTTTAAAGATTTTCTTAAAGGACCTCCAGTCCTACAATCTTCGATTTTTAATGAATTGTTTTAAAGGACTTTAAGTCCTATAAACGTGGATTTTTGAAGAACTTTTTAAAGGTCCTGCAGTTCAACAAACGTTGCTTAAAAAACATAAAGGACCTTCAGTCCTACAAACGTAGATTTTTGAAGAAATGTTTTAAAGAACCTTCACATCTACAAACGTGGCTTCAAAAAAAAAAAAAAAATTAAACGATCTTCAGTCCTGCAAACGTGGATCTTTTAAGAACTGTTTTAAAGGACCTTCAGGCCTACATACAAGGATTTTTAAAGATTTTTTTTTTTGATTTTAAAAGGAACATTTTCAACGAATCTTCAGATCTTTTTTCAAAGGATCTTCAGCTAAGGAAAGGTAGATTTTTAAATAATTTTTTTCAAAGGACCTTCAAGCCAAAGAAAGATGAATTTTTTAAGGATTTTTCTAAAAGATTTTTTTCCTACAAATATGGAATTTTGAAACATACTTTTCACATGTCCAAAAAACATGTATTTTTAAAGGATATTTTTTCAAAGACCTCAGCTAAAGAATTTTAAATTTTTAAGGAACTTCTTGTCTAATAAACTTTGATTTTTGTAGAATTTTTTTCAATGGACCTTAAAACAAAGGAACTAAAGAATGGCATGTTGCAGGGACAAACATTTAAGAATTAAGGAATATTTTTGAAAGGCAAAGGATCTTCAGGGTCAAAAACATGTATTTTTCGAAAATATAAAAAAGCTAGAAGCATTTATTTTTGCAAGGATCTTAAAAGCTACCCTGTAGGGAATAGAAATAGTAAAATTGTAGTAATTTTATACTGACATTGTCGTTAGTACTACTGACTAAGTGTACCCAACTTAATGTAATCTTCTATTGACAATTAACATTACCATGTCATAGGAAATCCACCAGTAGACAGAAGTTCTACTGACTAGGTATTAACTTTGACGCCATATGGCGACATTGACACCAAAGATTCACTAGTACTTCTTAGCAGATTGAGTCTACAATATTATTGTGAATTGTAGTAGATTACCAACGACATTGTATTCAAATTGAAAAGAAAATTAGTTATGAATTCATATGATTTATTAAATAAATACACAGATTAAAGCAATTCAATTCAGTCTTACAATTAAAAACATAAGCGAAAAATGTATATCTGCATAAAGATTAAATCAATTAATTTCATTTTCAGCTTTACAGTTAAGAATAAATAAATTAAATTCATTTTCGTGTTTGTTTTCTCTTTCGAGACGAGCTTAATGATCTGAAATTTGCAGTGAAAAGGAAAGCCAGATAGACACTATCACACACTCACCACTATGCGACGCGTTTCGCCGTTGGTTAAGCGGCTCATCAGGCATATTTGGTGTGGATGATGGCTTACAAGGGCCGTTCTCTGGAAAGTAGTATATATATCGAACATATTGCAAATTAGCATATGCAAATTATACACTAGAAACTCTCCAGGTTCGACTCAAGTTCTATTGGCAGATCTTTTTCACAGCAAAGTTTTTTTTTTTTTTTTTTTTTTTGTTTTTGTAGTGATGGATTTTTTGTCCACAACAACTACATTGCTTCCAATGCATACACTTGTTTTAGTGCTGCTTTAGGAAGACGGGTTAATGGCTCTGAACGTAGAGACGGCAACTTCTAGTTGGCTGCACACCGAGGTCCGCGGTTCAAAAAAAAAAAAAAAAAAACTTTGCTGTGAAAAAGATCTGCCAATAGAACTTGAGTCGAACCTGGAGAGTTTGTAGTGTATAATTCGCATATGCTAATTTGCAATATGTTCGAAATATATACTACTTTCCAGAGAACGGCCCTTGTAAGCCATCATCCACACCAAATATGCCTGATGAGCCGCTTAACCAACGGCGAAACGCGTCGCATAGTGGTGAGTGTGTGATAGTGTCTATCTGGCTTTCCTTTTCACTGCAAATTTCAGATCATTAAGCTCGTCTCGAAAGAGAAAACAAACACATAAATCATAAAACATATGATCTTCGCCTTAACAAGGCAAAACTCTAAATTCATTTTCTTCAGTCTTACAATTAAAAAACATAAGGGACAAATATATATGTACAGAAAGATTAAATTAATTAAATTCATTTTCTTCAGTCTTACAATAGAAAAAACACAAGGCAAAAATATATATGTACATAAAGATTAAATTAATTAAATTCATTTTCTTTGGTCTTATCATTTATTTCTGCATTCCTGCGGCTGTTTTCTTTAAAGAATTTCTTTTTTTGACGTTGAAAAGCTGTTCTTAGAGCCTTGTCTGCACACTTGTCGTACGTTGATATTACATCTAAGTATTGAAACAAAAAGATTAAATTTAATTATTGGTGTTTTTGAAAGGTTTTTTGGCTTTGTACCTATTATTGCTGCATGGACTTTTCCATATTTAGATAAACTTTTTTTGCCAAAAGTTCCATCCACATTGTAATTCATTATAATAGATTTCCCAAATACAAGGTGTAAATTGCGTGCGACGTTGCCACCAATGAGATTTTTCATTTGGCGAATCTGCAAGAATAATTATAAATTTTATTAATTAATTATACATTGTATTTCCTGAATACAAAAAGCTTACATATGGGTCTGACTGAGTTGCTAATAAGTCTTCTAATTGCTTTAGACTTTCGTCCGTGTTTATTGGGAAAATGGCCATAATGTTTTGCACAATCGAGTTTTGGGAACCAATGCGATCTAGCAAAATTTTATGCTCGCCCAAAATCTGCAGTATCGTGTCCATTTTTTTTCCTATATCTTCACACGAAGTACACTTTGAAGTTGCTGGAAAAATATATAATGTTGTAATGAATACAATTTCGGTAATGCGAATTCGTTATATTAAAACTTACCTTCTGAAGAATAATATTTCATTTTTCCCTTGGATGGTATTGCTCTTTCGTCAGACATTGTTGTGTAGAGCGGGTGTACAAAATTAATATTAACAATGTGCTATTTACTGGAAGATCTTGGAATATTGGCTTGTACTTTTTCTGGAATGCATGAGTGTAAAATGGGTATTATTACGTAATCCGAGTGAAATGGCAGGCATACAAATTTATATTGCACATCTCTAATTGAAAATTTTTGCTTTTCGCCCAAAGCTAAATTTGTTTTGAAGATGCCTAGTTCGCAAGAATTTACGGGTTCATCGTAAAAACTCTCTAAGAGCAGCAATGGCCGACCTTCAATATAAACTTCATCGACTTGATTTATATTTTCAATTTTTATGGCAGTAAATGAAGTCGTGGAACAAATATTATTGGGCTCCTTCCAAGAAATGTAACAGTCATTAACAAAAACTCCTACAATTATATCTCGTTCGTATTTAATGTCATCGTTTTTAGTTTGAATATAGGCTGCGAGTTTTTCTTTTCGTACAATTTGTTGAAGGATTAATGAGGGTTTTCGGACATGTCTTTTCAAAATCTGCAATTTGTTTTCGAAGTCGTATGCAGAAAACGAAATAAGGGGGCCGTATTTTTCTGCACAAGAAGCCAAATGCAGCAGATTGTGAACATTAAAAGAAACACTGTTTGGCCCGAATACAGTTGAGAAATTCTCGACAAATAATTGAAGCAAATCATTAGACTGTTTAATATTTTCAGCAACGTGTCGCGGGGAGCTAAGTAGCCGATAAGCACAATGTAAAGTTAAAAACTCGTAGAATATATCCTGGTGTACTTTATTATGAAGGACAATTATGCCCGTATATGCGAGAAACTGGTGAAATTCAGTCGCTTTCCAGTGATGAAGGTCATCTAAAGACCTAGGTTTTCTAGGAAACTCCTTTGGAATACATTTTTTTAGTTTCACTAGGTCAGAAGATATTTCTGATATATTTTTTTTTTGGAGTCTTTTCTTGTGTTTTGTTGTTCACTATTCTAACAAGCATTTTTTTTGTGACTCCAAGGTCAATAAGATGCATGCTATCTAACGGAGTCTGTGATACCATGCCAAATCCTATTTCTTCAAGCGGACTTCTCTCTTTCTTAAACAGTTCAGAATGATGGTTGGGATACTTTCTCAAACTAAAATCAATATCGGATATCAAAGTTCCAACAGCGCTACTGTATGTCAGTACATTGTTCACTTTTGTCGCAACCTGTGTGCACTTCGTACAATCATACTTTGAGGTATGCCCAGGAACGCCGCAAATGAAAGCTTTGGCTGGAGTATCGCATGTTAAGCAACGAAACTTTAATTTCATTATTTTTCCATTTAACGTAATTTCCTTTAATGAAGTTGCTTCCTTAACGAAGTCTTTTAAATAATCTTTAATGCAACTCGGTTTAGTGGTTCCCAAGTATATACCAACAGCAAAAGGTTGAGTTTTTTCTTTTATGTTGACTATTTTGCAAAGAATTGGCCACAATTGGACTCGCGAGCTTTTAAACAGGGGAATCCCGTCAATGTTTATATCCAAAACGACCTCGTCGTAGTTTTGCAAAACGTGTTCAAACTTCTTTAGCTGCGTTTCAATTCCAATGTGGCAGTAGCTTCCAGGGCAAACATTTCTCACCAAAACCTGTGCTTTTTTTCCCAACAAACTTTCTATACGAAGTGGAACATCTAGACCTTCCTCATTTAGTATTAATAGCAGCTTCTCCGCACATTTCCTAGAAGGAGCTGTTTCGATGTACCACTTCCTCAATTTGTCCCGCAACGTCAATTTCGGAATAGCACAATCCTCCGAATTCTCCACAAAATCTTCATGGTCTTCTAGAATTTCACATTCACCATTTTCTTGCTCATTTTGTACACTTCTGTTTATATAGATTGTGGCTTGTTTTTTAACAAGTCTTTTATAATGTCTTTTACTTATATTTTGTCTTTTACTCATATTTTATATTTTTTTTTATTTGTAATCACTTTAAATACCTTATTCGCACAATAACTCCAACAATATTTTTCGCACAATGCACAATTTCAAGCAACACGTGTGTTTTTCACAAAAGAAACTAATGAAATGAGAAGCAAAGCAAACATCAAAAAATGTGTATCTATTGACATCAAAGTCTAACGGTAAAAAACTGTTGACGCGATCGTTGACAATGTTGCCACAAATACACTACAGATAAAGTCTACAACGTTTACATACTCCCGCAATAAAGGGAAGTTGTTGACATTTTATCTAGTACCATTTTTGCTATAAAATAGGTGGTGACATAGAGATACATGGTTCTCTGCTTGACTACAGGGTAGATATGTGTTTTCTAAGGACCCTGAAAGGCAAATCCGTTGATTTTCTCAAGGTAAATACATGGCTTTTTCAAAAGTCCTCGGCGTAAAAAAAAATATTTTTCAAGGATTTTGTGAAGAAAATAAATTGGATTGAAAAGATGCGTTAACTTTTAAAGATTTTCCTTAAATATGGTGGTTTAAGAAAAATCATGTTTGAAAATTATTGAAAATGTAAAATAAAGTTCACAAAATTCCCTCGGGTTACCCCAAATTATTTTACCATTAAGGAGACGTATACATTCCGGCAGCAATTATACGACCTGATGTTCTCTTAAAGTCGCCCTAATTCCAGGCCTATAATTATTTCTTTACTTCGTCGCAATTAAAACCCACCATCCTTAAAATATCAAAATAAATAGTCGCAATTTTCTTTAAATGTTCTCAATCATATAATTTTATTCAAATTCCATAACATTCCGATTTCTTCCTTCATTTATACTTCCAAACCAGTTTTCTCAGCAATCCATGGCAACACAGAAGTCACCCGCGAATAAACACCTGGATAATTGGGACGAGCACAGCCATAACCCCAGGAGACAACACCAACCAAAGTGTCCTTATGGAACAAAGGACCACCCGAATCACCCTGACAGGCATCTTTGCCGCCCTCGGTGAAGCCAGCACACAGCATACGTTCGGTAATATCACCAAATCCACGATAGGCCAAAGCACATTCATCCTGATTGACGGTGGGTACATTTGTGGCTCTCAACACATGATTCGATTCCGAGGAATTTTGGGTATTACCCCAACCAGAGACGGTTACCAAGGTACCATCTGGCAACTCCGCATCCCGACTCGGCAGCTTGGCAAATTCCACTTCAAAGGGCAGAGAAAACAGCTCATAATCCTCCAATTCCAATATGGAGAAATCATAATCGATGTTCATGGGATTGTATTTCTTGTGCTGATGTATTCTCAAAGGTTTCAGCAGGATGCCATCCTTGGCGGAATATGAAGAGCCAAGGCGTACTTTAAATCCAGGATTCACGGCAGAGTGGCCGGCCGTGCAATGGGCGGCAGTGAGGACAAAACGTTTGGCAATCAAGGACCCTCCACAGAAATGGAAACTTCCCTGCAACGAGACCTGGAAGGGTACATCCTGAATGTCCACCTCATGACCGCCCACAATGCGACCATCCAAACGAGGCAAAGGCAAATAGGCCGATGATGCCCAACCGGCCAGCAGGCATAGGCCCAAAATGTTCAGCCACAGGTGTTGCGTTTCCATACTCGTCCAAGGTGTGCGTAAAACTGTTTGGATTCCAGTGAGAATCTTTGGTTTTTATACTCTCACTTTCCATGAAAATCGAATGGTCCCATACTCTTAACAAATTACAGTTAAGGATTTGCTATCGCTTGCGATTACCCAGCTGAAGGTTAACAGATTTGTGTTAGTGGATCAAGTGGCTTGGATTTTTTTGTTTCATTCACCTGCGATTGCCCAGTGTGCCACTTAATTGTTACCAACCTGTTGAGCATGGTTTCTTGGTCATTTCCAAGATAGTGTAAATATGATTTATGATCACTTCAGACCACCATTACAATGCACTCGTCGGTGGTAGTAGAACAATGGTCTAGGGGGTTTTCCTTTTGGAGAGCGCAATAAATCTGGTGTCCCGTGATTGCATATCAAATGTTTGTTGGTCTTATTCATTGAAAGGGTAGGGACGGGGATCTAGAGGGGTTAATTTATAACCCAGTCTAGTCATGTAAATCGCAAGGGACCAAAGAGATTGCCAAGATTTTAGCTGTAGCTGTAAAATATTGGATGCGATTAGGGGGCCATGACCAAAACAAAGAATAAATAGATTTTTATAAAAAAAATACGAATTTCATGAGACGTTGAAGACGTGGATTTTTGAAAAAAAAAATCGAGTACCAAAAACGCGGATTTTCGATACATGTATATATCGGATGTCAACTTGGTGTTTTATGAATCTTATGAATATTCAATATTTGTGAGTGAGGCAGCAGAGGAAGTGGACCGATATATTCCATCTTCACACCAGACCTTGGGTTGTTAAAAATATTGTGATGTGTGAAATTTGAAGAGGATCGAATCCTTATTTCGAATATTATGATCGTTTTGGGTATTCAAAACGTTCAACCTTTGTGGGGGAGGTACCAGAAGAAATGGTCCGATCTCTACCATCTTTATAACAGATCTTGTGTTGATGGAAATATTGAGATGTGCCAAATCTGAATACAATAGGATATTAACTTCGTGTTTTATGAGCTTCATGAATATTTAAAATTTTGAATCTTTGTGACGGAGGTACCAGAAGGAATGACCCGATCTCTACCATCTTCACACCAGACCTTGGGTTAATAAAAATATAGTAATGTGTGTAATTTCAGGACAATCGGACTCTTACATCACATTTTATAAGAGTTGTAATTATTCTAAATTTTGACCCTTTGTGGGGGAGGTACCAGAAGGAATGGTTCGATCTCTTTACCATCTTTATAACAGATCTTGTGTTAGTGGAAATATTGAGATGTGCCAAATCTATATAACTTCGTGTTTTATGAACTTCATAAGTATTCAGAATTTTGACCCTTTGTGGGGGAAGTACCAGAAGGAGTGGACCGATATATTCCATCTTCACACCAGACATTGGCTTAATAAAAATATAGTAATGTGTGTAATTAGAAGAACATTGGACTCTTACATCCCATTTTATAAGAGTTGTAATTGTTCAAAATTTTGGCCTTTTGTGGGTGAGGTACCAACATTGTCCATTTTCGCCTAGCACTGATGCAAATATTAGGATTTGCATAGTTAGAGCAAAATCCCATAACCTTTTCTCTTTCTGAGCAGTCAAATATTTTTCTTTGAAAATTTCAAACTTTTTTGTGGGAGGTACCAGAAGGGGTGGACCGATATTGCCCATCTCCGAACTCGATGTAAATTTAACAATAATATTACAATGTACCAAGTTTGCATCAAATCGGATACTCCCTTTGAGAGTTATAATACGCACCAGCCAACCAGGCAGACGGACGTTGCTAGATCGACTCCAAATGACCTAAATCGGATTTGGTCCAAAAAGACCCAGGGTCTAAAACCGTTCTTTCGATGAGGCACGTTTTGGTCGTATCAATTAATATATACCCCACCTAGCCATATGGCTGAGGGTGTTAAAATAAGGAAAGACACAGCAGGAGCCAAGTTGGTCTGGATTTAGACTAGGTATATCATAAATTGCAAATTTGTTCCATTTTTTGAAGGAACTCTTAAACGTGGAATTCGAAAAAATATATTTTTTCAAAGTTTTACGTTTTTTCAAAGTTCTAAAAAAATGATTTTTTTCTAAAACTAAAATATTTTTTTAAAGTTTTAAAAATATAGATTCTTAAGGATTAAAAAAATTTGAATTTTTTAAAAAGTCCTTTTTAAGGACTTTTTGAAAATTGTAATGTTTTTTGGAGGACTAAAACAATTTGGTTCAAGGACTTACAAAAAAGTGTAATATATTTTGAAGGAATAAAAAATTGCGCATGGCTGAGAATATAAAAATAATATTTTAGTCTTAGTTTAGTATTAGAACCTTTTAAGTCCGAACGACTGGTAATAGAGGAAATTTCAGAAGACTGGTCCAAGTTGCCAATATTTCATGGACTTGGATATCTTCCAGATAATTATATCTGTTAGCAATTAATGTGCTTCTTAACAATTCATTTCTATCTTGAAGGCCTGGAGGGCGTATGAGTATCAACAACGAGTATACGCCCTGTTGTACTTCAAAGGCAAAGTTAAAAAAAAAACTTGTGGCGTCCATTTATTCAACGGTTTGAAATATTGTCCGTAAAATTTTGCCAATTCATATTCGAAATATTTTGGGGAAAAATGTATGCATTTTCTGATCTTCTGCTTCGATCCTAAATTATATCCCCATCCTGACCATATTCAGGAAATACCCCCCTTGTTTATTGGACAAAATCACAGAAAAAAAAACAAAATCTCCAAAAAATATTAAAAAAAGTTCGGTATTGGTGTGAACGAAACTTCTTTTTAATTACTATACCTCTCATGGCGTATACGTTATGACGTTAATTATACGTGCAGGTGAACCTCTATCTAAAAAATCACACATTTTCTCTCCATACAATTTCGAAACTCTCATGAGTGCATTAAACAATTTTTTTTATTAAATCAATCACATTTTCATTACAGTTTCCACACACAAAAATTTTGCAAATATTTTCAAAATTAATTGTGGACCACCTTAATTAACCTCCAAACCAGTTTTCTCAGCAATCCAGGGCAAAACAGACGAGACGCGGGCATACACTCCCGGATAATCGGGTAGGGCACAACCCACACCCCATGACACAACACCGTACAAAGTATTGTCACGGAACAAGGGACCACCGGAATCACCCTGACACGAATCTTTTCCTCCCTCTGTAAAGCCAGCACACATCATCTGCTCGCTCAACGATGGGAAGATTTGGGCACAAGCATTACGATTGACAGTGGGAACTTCAACGGCCCGCAACACTGCATTCGATTCCAAGGGATTTTTGGTACCACCCCAACCGGAAATGGTGGCCAAAGTGCCATCAGGTAAATCTTCATTGGCCCTCGGCAATTTGGCATAGGTAATCTTAAAAGGCAAAGCATTCTCATCATAGTCTTCCAATTCCAAAATCGAGAAATCATAGTCAATAAAGGAGAAATTGTACTTTTCATGTTGATGAATGCGCAGGACGCGTAGCAGCAGACCGCCCTTTTCGGAATACGTAGAACCAATGCGCACACTAAACAGGGGGGCAGTGGGTGAGTTGCCATCCGTACAATGGGCAGCAGTGAGCACAAAACGTTTGGCAATCAAGGAACCTCCACAGAAATGATTGTACGACTGCAGGGAAACTTGGAAGGGTACATCCCTAATGTCCACTTCATAGCCGCCGACTATGCGACCATCCAGGGGAAGATGGGCCGCCGATGCCAATGTCACCAAAAGGCCAATGGCCAGAGAATTAATCCACAATTTTTGATGTCCCATAGTAATCCACGGGCCAAGGTTAGAGTATAACTGTACTCGAATCGCCTCGAAGGCATGGCTTTTTATAGCACCAACATCAAATTGACCAATGTTTTTTTTTTTTTTTTTTTGATTAGCTTTAAATATTGCAATAAATTAGCTAAAGGATTTGCACGTTATCTTTAGTCGATTTGCAAGCGTTAGATATTTGTTTGTTTCGTTCGCCTTGAAAAAGATAGTCTTTATCCCCCACACCCCCTTGTTATCAACCAAACGTTGAAGTGGAAGTTTTTTTTGGTTTTTTAAGGAAACCCCAAATGTGATTTATTTTTAATTTATGGAAAAAAGTTAAAGAACTTTCCGAAAATAAACAAAAATAAATAAATAAGTATTTTTAACTTCCCTCAGTAGCAGAGGCGTATACGAGATATCCACAATTATACGACCAGATATACTTCTTTGGGAAATAAATAAATCATGGAATAGATAAGAATTTGTTTATGTAAATAAACTCCATCGACAGTCTACTAAGTATGGGAGACCTCTTGAAAGGCTACTGGGTGTGGAAGAACTTTAGGGGGTATTTTTTTATTTATTTTTAATTTAAAGGAAAAATTTATGGAACTTTGCAAAAATAATTTAAAAAAAATATATTTTTTTACTTCCCTGAATAGCGGTGTCGCATAAGAGATATCAGCAGTAATACGACCTGGTGTACTTCTTTGGTAAAATCTATAAATCTTGAAAGAAAGAGGAATTTGTTTATGTATACAAAATTAATTGGACGTCTATCCACCTCTTGAAAGCTAGCTTGGTGTATAGGAATATATATTTTAATTTAGGAAATTTGTAAAAAACTTAAATTAATTAAATTTTTCACTTCTCCGGCGGCGTTGGCGTATGAGGGATAGCAATAGTTATACGACCTGATGTTATTCTTTGGAAAATCAAAAAACCTTGGAACAGTTAAGAATTTCTTTTTTGAATTCAAGATTTATGGAATGTCTACTTAGTATGGAAGACGTCTACAAAGTTTGCTGGCTGGATATGAGAACTTGAGCGGGGCTATAGTGTTTAGACGACTTTTTGAAAGTCTTCTGAGTATAAATGAACTCCAGATAATTTTTAATAATTTCTGGAAATTTACAAAAATTATAAAAATATTATTTTTAAGTTCCCTTAGTTACGGAAGCGTATGCTTTATGTCAATAGTCATACGACCTGGTGTACTTTCAGGGAAAACTAGCAAATCTTATGCATATAAGACCTTCATATGGCCCTCAGCATATAGGTGACCTCTGGCAGATCGCCTGAGGGAAGTCCAGGAAATATTCTCCGGTAGCGTTGGCGTATGAGAGATATCAGTAGCTATACAACCTGATGTTCTTCTTTGGGAAATCAAAAAATTTGGGAGCAAATAAGATATTTTTTATGTATTCAAGATTTATGGAATATCTACTCCAGGTGGCCCTCTGCGTATGGAAGACCTCCTTAGGAACTCCAGAAAATCTATGAATATCTACGTCTGGAAGACCTCTAGAAGGCCGTCTTTGCCTAAAAGACTTATGGAAGGTCTTTTGAGTATAGTATAAAAATCGTCTGTTCTAGAAGACCTCCAGATAGCCATCTGCGTCTGAAAGACCTCCTTAACCTCTGAAGACCTACACATGGACCTCTAGATGGTCGTCTTTGCCATAAAAGACTCATAGAAGGTTTTTTGAGTATGAAGAAACTCCTGACAATCTTCTGTCCTAGAAGATATCCAGATAGTCCTCTGCGTATGGAAGGCCTCTAGAAGGTCGTCTGTAACTTAAAGACCTGTAGACGGTCTTTTGAGTATAAATGGGACTCAAAAAAAAAACTTTTTGTGCATAGAATACCTCCAGATGACCGTTTGTATTTGAAAGACCTTTAGAAAATCGTCTGTGCCTAGTATAGAGGAAATCCAGAAAATCTTCTGTACATATAAGGCACCCAGATGGCCCTCTGCGCTTAAGGGAACTCTAGAAGGCCTAAAAGTCCTAAAGGTGGAATTCTGCGTGCTCCCAAGGGCTTCGAAGGACTTTTGAGTACAGAGAAACTCCTGAAAATCTTCTGTCTTCTGGAGGAATTAATCTACGTCTGGATGGCCTCTAGAAAGTCGTCTGTGACTTGAAGCTTTTTAGAGGTCTTTTGACTCAAACTTTTTGTGCATAGAAAACCTCCAGACGATCCTTTGCGTCTGAAAGACCTTTAGAAAAACGTCTGAGCCTAAAAGACCCATATAAGGTCATCTGAGTACAGAGGAACTCCAGAAAATCTTCTGCACACATAAAGCACCCAAATGGCCCTCTGCGCTTAAGGGAACTCTGAGTGCTCCCAAGGGCTTCGAAGAACTTTTGAGTACAGAAAAACTCCTGAAAATCTTCTGTCCTAGGAGGCATCTATCTACGTCTGGATGGGCTCTAGAAGGTCGTCTGTGACTTGAAGCTTTTTAGACGGTCTCAAAAGACTTCAAAAAAACTTTTTGTGCATAGAATACCTCCAGATGACCCTTTGCCTGTAGAGGTCTCACAATCGCCTATGCCAAGAAGACCCATATAAGGTCATCTGAAAATCTTCTTTACATAGAAGGCACCCAGATGGCCCTCGGCGCTTGAAAGAATTCTACACGGCCTAAGAGTCCTATAGGAGGCATTCTGCGTGCTCCAATAAGCCTTCGATGTACAGAAGACACCCAGGAAGTGTTAAAGGCCTCATAAAGATTTTCAGAGTATTGGAGACCCCTGAAAGATCTAGAGATCTTTTGAATTAGAAGACCTCAAGGATGTCTCAATCATTCCACCATCTTCCATTGACCCAAAACCATACTGTACCAAATTGAGTACCAAAAATACTTTTTGTGCATAGAATACCTCCAGATGACCCTTTGCGTCTGAAAGACCTCTAGAAAAACGTCTGTGTCTAGGTCTTCTGAGTATAGAGGAACTCCAGGAAATCTTCTGTACATAGAAGGCACCCAGATGGCCCTCTGTGCTTGAAGGAATTCTCGAAGGCCTAAAAGTCCTATTGAAGGCGTGCTCCAAAAAGGCTTCTATGTACAGAACACACCCAGGAAGTATTGAAGGCTTCGAAGTATTGGAGACCCCTGAAAGATCTAGTAGACCTATATGAGATCTTTTGAATTAGAAGACCTCTTGGATGTCATTCCACCATCTTCCATTGACCCAAAACCATATTGTACCAAATTGAGTACCAAAAATACTTTTTGTGCATAGAATACCTCCAGATGACCCTTTGCTTCTGAAAGACCTCTAGAAAATCGTCTGTGCCTAGGTCTTCTGAGTAAAAAGGAACTCCTGTACATAGAAGGCACCCAGATGGCCCTCTGCGCTTGAAGGAATTATAGAAGGCCTAAAACTCCTATAGGAGGCGTGCTCCAAAAAGCCTTCGCTGTACAGAAGACGTCCAGGAAGTATTGAAGGCTTCGGAGTATTGGAGAACCCTGGAAGATCTAGTAGACCTATATCAGACCCAACGCACAAAAAGTGATCGTAGTACGAAATTTTGATTTCCATCTCTAATCCTTGCCCAAATACCCACTAACGTACTTAACGTACTTTTTTTTGTAGGAAGCTCCAGAACCACGTCTTTATTTCAACCCTACCCACCCACAGTGACCCCAGCAACAACATTTCAATTTTCCATCTCCATCCGCACACGCAAAACCAAATTGTACCATATTTAGTACCATTTAGTACAGTTTTTACACTTGGTACATGTTTCTAAAACCATCTTCTTATATCAAGCCTACTTTCCAAATTTCCCAATTCTTATACAAAATGTCAAAATTTTAACTCATTGTCGTTACTGAATACAAAATGGTACTAAATTTAGTGATGATTTAGTACTTTTAGTACACTTATAGTTCGAATTTTCATAAAACTCGTTGGTTCATCTATTCCATACCCTATTAGAAGCCTTTATTCCAAATTTCAAAACTCTTGCTCTAACGGTTTGCATAATACCATCGAATTAATTTTTAGTACCTTTTTAGTGCATTTAGTGCTCCATAGTTCGAATTTTCAAAACCCCAGTCCTATCTCTCTTCTACACACTTCCAATTGACCCACATTCAAAATTTCAAGATTTTAGCTGTGGCCGTTTCACTTGGGAGTTGATAATTCAGTCTGCCAGTCAACCATTTATAACTCTACTCTTTTACACATAAATAGGTTAGCATACTTTTAGGAGTTTCACATTTAACCACAACAATTGCGCATAAGAGACCTTTAAACAGCTTTAGCAAATGTTTCACGCATAAATTAGTCATGAGATCCTCTCCCAACTAGAATCCCGCCTTCTTCTTCTTCTCACTGTAGTTTAGAAAATCTCCTTTTCAAGGGAAGTCCCTATTGAAATATTTCCTATCTTTTGAAAATATTGGAATCCAATATTTTTCATTCACACTTCCAGTAACGTTTCGATGCCACATAAATTTACCCCTTCATGACTAACCATTAACCAAATCAATGTCAAAAGAAAATTTCAAAATAAGCAACTGCCGAAATGTTTAATAGATTTGATTTTATGACCATCCGCCTAATCGGATTCTTATCGGCAACAGATAACAACGACTTTTCGACCGAATTTTGTTATTTTAGCCATAAAATATATACAACTGTGATAATATTTTATTTAAAGACATCCTAATACACGATAACAGATAAGAGAGAGAGAGAGAGGGGCGAGCATAAAAGCTAATCGAATATTTTTGGTCAATTCTAAATTTGTGGCGGGGTCAGCTGGCTGGCAGTTGCGTTTTGGTAGTGCACATCTAAGGAAGTAAAAATCTGGAAAAAAATGTGGAAATTCGCTTTGTTGTTGGTGTTTAGCCTAAGTGCCGCTGTTACTGCTACCGGGGGCCTTGAGTCCCGCATTGTGGGCGGTGTAGAGGAGTCAATTGCTGCCAGCCCCCACCTTGTGTCGTTGCGTTACAAAAAAAATCAATCATCTCCCTTTGAACATCGTTGTTCGGGCACCATCTATTCCGAGAGCATTGTACTGACCACAGCCACCTGTGTCATTGGTCTGGAGGCAAATCACATACACGTTTTAGCCGGTTCCACATATCGTACCGGCCAGGATAGCCCCTTGTATTTGGTGGAGAAATATCTTCTGCATCCGGACTATAACATTTGGTTTACCGACAACGATTTGGCTTTGGTGAAATTGGCCTTTGCCTTATCACCATTTCCCACCAAGGAAATTGCCTCAATCCCAGTGGCAGATACCCTACCACCGTCTGGTAATGTGGCCACAGTTTCTGGTTGGGGTACAACTGTTGCCGAGGCAAATGCCGAATATTCCGATAGCCTACAGATGGCTCAGGTTTCAGTGGTGGATCAGGCGGAATGTCGTCAGATTTATGGTGGAAATCGCATTACGGATGCCATGATGTGTGCCGGTGCTGGAGACACTGCCGATGCCTGCCATGGTGATGCCGGCGGTGCTTTGGTCTATCAGGGAGCGGCCGTTGGTTTGGTATCATGGGGACGTGATTGTGCAAATGCCGAGTATCCTGGTGTCTACACGAACTTGGTCCACTTCAAATCGTGGATTGAAAGTGAGGCAGGAAAATTGTAAAAATGTTTTTTTTTTCTAAAAAAATAAATTTTGAAAATAAGAACATTTTGGATTTTTTTTTGGAAGACGAAATTTTTTTATAAAAAGCAAGGTCCCAGAACATGGACAAAAAAGTACAGATTCAGGAACATTTTTTGGTTATTCATAAAATAATAACCAGGATATTCATCAACCCCCAGCTATAACCTTGAATTTTCGCATGTGGGTCAATTTTGGTGTGTAAGGCTGGGGTTTCGGAATTCGAACTATAAGTGTACCAAAAGGTACCAAAAATTTAATTTTTTTAAAAGGCTTTTTTTTTGTAAAGTATCCAGGAATATCGGAAGACCTATTGGTTCATTATAAAATAAAAACTAGGATGTTCATCAACCCCTTAGCCGTTTTGGTCTGTAATTCGAACTATTAGTGTACCAAAAAGTGAAAAAATCGGGTTAAACGGATAAAATTAGAATTTTGAAATTTGAAATGAGGGTCGCTAATGGGATTTAGATGGAAATTCAAAACATAAGTGTACTAAAAGTACTAAAAAACCCAAAATTTGGTACCATTTGGTAATTTGTGAACGGACAGAGCTAAAATATTGACATTTGGTATAAGAAATTTGGGAAGTGGTTGGTTTAGGAAATTTGTAATAAAAAAGTACCGAAATTACTAAATGGTACTGAATTTGGTACAATATGGGTTTGGGCAACGGGTGGAGTTGGATTTTTGAAGGGTAGGTGGGTGGTGGGAGGTGGATTTTCCAAACTAATGCATTTGATCAAAACCAAACCTATCAAAACATATATAAATAAAATATTCTCAAATTTTTGGCCATTAACAGCTAAAAAGTAATTGAACAAAACATTAGCATACTTTTAGGGTTTCCACACTGAATCACAACAAGTAATTCATCAAACTGTCAAAACGCCATTGATCAAATATTTGAATAGAGCATAATTAAAACTCTCTTGGTCTCTGCACTATTTCTTTTTTTCTCTATCGCTCTCCCTCTCTCTGTTTCTTTACGACCCCCTAACAAAGTGAGGCTTATCTCCCATTACTGGCCACCACTAATCTTTATAATCGGCCATAACATGTTTAGATTACCTGAATATAAAGTACATTTATAAGAAAAATAAAAACACACAGTTGTCGTACTTCTCAGCAATTTTAGTTTTATTTGAATTGTTTTTTTTTTCTCTCCGCATTTCCTTAACTCAATAGCCCGGCATTGCCCAAAGAACCCATCCAGATAACATTCCAAACCCTCAAAGAAACCCATTAAAAATTTATTCAACTTTTAGTTATTAGTCAAAACTCAAGCCGGAAAGAGCCAACAATGTTCAAAACTGCATCGATTATTTTACTGCTATCCCTGGCTGCTGGGGCCTGGGCAGCGCCTCAAGCACGTATTGTGGGTGGCCGTGAGGTGGACATTGCCAAACATCCATATTTGGTGTCGATACGCTACAGATCCACTGCCAATGATTCCTACATTCACAAATGTGCCGGTGCTATTTATTCGGCAAGGGCGGTCATCACGGCTGCCCAGTGTGTGGTCGACATTCAGCCGGAAGAAAAGGTAATGGTTGTGGCTGGGGCCAATACCCGTCTGGGTTATGATGGCATGCCTTATCCCGCCTTGAAATGGATTCACCACACCAGCTATTCCGAGTGGACAGTGGACTATGACATTGCCGTAATTATCATCGATGATACCTTTGACTTCAACCATACTCTGATAAAACCACTGCCGATACGTGAATCCCGTCCCGCAAATGGCCGTTTGATGACCGTTACCGGTTGGGGTTATCAGGAGGAGAGTGGTCCATCCACCAGAACCCTGGAAGAAGTTGATGTGCCCGTAGTCGGTAATGATGAGTGCGGCAGTTTGCATGGCGCTGGTGAAATAACGGAACGCATGATTTGTGCCGGCTATCTGAGCGGTGGCAAGGATTCATGCCATGGCGATACTGGCGGTCCTTTGGTTTACAATTCCGAGTTGGTGGGTTTGGTTTCGTGGGGCCGTGGTTGTGCTCGCCCCAATTTGCCGGGAGTTTATACATATGTGGCCAGTTTAAAGACATGGGTTGAGGACACCATTGCCGCTAATTTGTAATAAAATTTTTATTGATGTTGTTGTTGTTTTTGTTTGAAAAATAAAGTGTTTTTATGTTGGTAATAAAATTTGGATGGAATTTTACTCTTGAAAATGGTAGGGCAGTATTTTAGAAATGACAAAATGGATCAATAGGCCTCTTTCTATACTGGAAATGAACTAATATGCCTGCTTCTCAAAAAGAATAAGGCCTGTATGACCTTGTTCTATACAGAAGACGCCCTATAGGACCTTCTTCTATACAGAAGACGCCCTATAGGACCTTCTTCTATACAGAAGACGCCCTATAGGACCTTCTTCTATACAGAAGACGCCCTATAGGACCTTCTTCTGTACAGAAGACGCCCTATAGGACCTTCTTCTATACAGAAGACGCCCTATAGGACCTTCTTCTATACAGAATACGGCCTATATGACCTTCTTCTATAGAGAAAAGAGCCTAATGGGATTTCTTCTATAGGGAAAAGAGCTTAATGGGCCTTCTTCTATACAGAAGACGGCCTAATGGGCCTTCTTCTATACAGAAGACGGCCTAATGGGCCTTCTTCTATACAGAAGACGGCCTAATGGGCCTTCTTCTATACAGAAGACGGCCTAATGGGCCTTCTTCTATACCGAAGACGGCCTAATGTGCCTTCTTCTATACCGAAGACAGCCTAGTGGGCCTTCTTCTACACCGAAGACGGCCTAATGGGCCCTCTTCTATACGGAAGACGGCATAATTGGCTTTCTTCCATGAAGAAGACGGTCTAAAGAGCCTTCTTGTATGCAGAAGACGGTCTAAAGAGCCTTCTTGTATGCAGAAGACGGAATAAAGAGTCTTACTCTATGCAAAAGACGACCTAAAGAGCCTTCTTCTGTGTTCTTCTATACAGAAGACGAGCTAAAGGTCCTTCTTCTATACAGAAGATGACCTAAAGGCCCTTCTTCTATACAGAAGACGCTCTAATAAGTCTTCTTCTATAACGGAGACAACTCAATAGGACTTCTTCTACACAGAAAATGGCTAAATAAACCTTCCCCTATACGGGAGGCTGTCCCCAGAGGAATTCTTCTATACAGAAGGTGCTCCAGAAGTCCTTCCTTTATACAGAAGCTGGTCCAGCAGACGGTCTTCTACAGAGAAAATGAACCAAATGAGACGTCTTCTATGCAGGAGACGGCCTAATAGGACTTATTTTGTACAGATGACGCCCTAGCATTCTTTTTTACATCAGATGGTCCAATAGTTATTCCTCTTTATCGTATTCTCCTATTTAAAATACGTTTCCATCGGTCTTCTTGTATGTGGAAGATGACCGAGCCCCTTTTGTAAAAAATTGGACCGAATGAGACCCCTAAGGCAAAAAATATATTCCATTTGTTCTCTGTTCCGTAATGCCTCATTTTTTATCGACTCCTAACGAAAGGAAATCTCAGCGAATCCTTTTAATTTAAAATTCCTTCCACGTATGAAAGGCGACACAACTTATCAACAAAAATGCTTCTTCTTCTTCAACTTGGAATGAAATGCAATACGCAATGACAGCAAACTTTCGTTGGAGAAGAGAGCGAGAGTTGTCCTCTCACTCACTTTCTCCACATCTAAAGTTCGCCCAAACCGGCCGCATTGAAATTACTTAATCGCTCGTCCACTACTGGTCTTCATTGAAAACAATCTGAACTGAAATCGCTATCAGTGGCGAATATAAAATCGAACTTTTTTTTTAAATACTCCCCTAATCTATGGTCATATCTGGATGATATATGATTTAGACAAGCTATCAAAGTAAACAATGGCAATTTAATTTAACGCTCAGCGTAGACCAGGAAAACCATGGAAATAAACCGTTGACAAATATATTTCAGTTGAACGTAAAAATTTCCCCACTGAAGACCTCTGGAGGGCGAGACGGAAAAAGACAACCAAAAGAAAAAGAAGAGAAAAGATGAAGAATTGTATCAGCCTATTGGCCTTTGTGGTGACCTTGCAGCTGGTTTCATCTAGCAATGCTGGCAAGGTCGAACGTTTGGTGGGAGGCAATGTTGTGGAGTCACATATAACCCAATTCCCCTATGAAGTATCGGTGAGACGCCGCTTCTGTGATGCCTGTGCCTATGAACATTACTGCAGTGGCACAATTTTGTCCAGCAAAGTGGTGATAACTGCCCGTTCCTGTCTGCAGGATGCTGTGCCACAACGCACTCAGGTTGTGGCTTCTACCAGCAAACGTTCGGCCTCGGGCCAAGATGGCCAAGTGTATTTGGTCGAGGGTTTCGTTGAACACAAACACGCCGACATTGCTTTGATCCACCTAGCCCTGGAGTTGGTCTTCAATGAGTTGAGCATAGTGCCCGTTACACTGGCCACTGAACTGCCAGCGAAAGGTACTAAGGCTTTGGTGGCCGGCTGGGGTCAATTGTCGGAATTCGAAGCTAATTTCGATGATGGCTTGAAAGCTGTAGAGGTGCCGATTATGGATTTGACTGAATGCCGCAAAGCATATTTCTGGACCGAAGTTAAGGATTGGGAATTTTGTGCCGGCTATTTGCAAGGTGGTGTTGACGCATGCCAGGGTGATGCTGGCAGTCCATTGATGATGGATGACCAAATGGTAGGTATCGTTTCCTGGGGCTATGGCTGTGCTCGTCGCGGCAGTCCTGGTGTCTACACCAATGTGGTGTTGTTGCGTGAATGGATCGACCAAAATTCCAATATTTTCATTGATTTTTTGTAATTTAAAAAAAAAAACTGTACTGAGAGGAAATTGCGATCCAAAGTGGAGATCATAAAAATAATAAAAATGAACTAAAAGTATTGAGAATTGTTTAACAATTGTTTAATAGAAATACATGTTTAAAGGGTGCTTCTTTATAACAGGGACCCAGAGTGTCGTCATAGAATCATAGAAGAATGCATAGAGCACCATAGAGCACCAATTTACCCATCTTGGATAAAAAATAGAATTCATTACCATATCTTCTTTCAAAAAGATCATTTGACCGTATTCTCTACAATAGAATACCCCTTAAACTCTCTTGAGAATAGAACCCACAGAAATATTTTCTCCACACAACAGGACATATTCAGTCTTAAGAAGAGGATCCACATGTCCATCATCCATAGAAGGAGTACAGATTGGTCATTTCTTTTTCGAGAAATGGATCATTCTTCTATACGAAGACGAGTCAATTGGTCTCCTTTCATACAGATGAGGTCTTATTCTTATATGCCGAATACGGCTCAATTGGAATATTTCTGTACAGAAGACGTCTCAATAAGGCTTCTTCTATACAGAAGACTGCTAAATAGGAACTCTTCAACGGAGAAGACGCCTGAAATGGCACTCTTCTATACATAAGACGATTAAATAGGACTTCTTCAATACAGAAGACGGCTGAATAGCCCGTCTTCTATCTAAAAAACCGTTGTGTATCCCTTCTTCTTTACAGAAGACGGATGAGCAGGACTTATTCTTTGTAGAAGATGGCTGAATAGGCCTTTTCTATACAGAAGACAGCTGAATGGGCCTTCTTCTATACAGAAGACCGCAGAATAGGCCTTATTCAAAACAGAAGACGGCTGGGAAGGCCTTATTTTATACATAAGACGGCTGAATATGGCTACTTCTATACAGAAGAGAGCTGAATAGGCCTTACTCTATACATACGACGGCTGAATAGGCCTTATTTTATACATACGACGGCTGAATAGGCCTTATTCTATACATACGACGGCTGAATGGGCCTTCTTCTGTACAAAAGACGACTGAATAGTCCTCCTTATATACAGAAAACGGCTGAACGGGCCTTCTTCTATACAGAAGACGGCTCAATAGACCTTCTTTAAAACAGAAGATGGCTCAATAGGCCTTCTTTAATACAGAAGACGGCTCAATAGGCCTGATTCTATACTGAAGACGGCTGAATAGGTCTTGTTCTATACAGAATGGGCCTTCTTCTACACAGAATACAACCTAATGGGCCTTCTTCTACACAGAAGACGATCTAATGGGCCTTCTTCTACACAGAAGTCGACCTCATGGTCCTTCTTCTACACAGAAGACGACCTAATGGGCCTTCTTCTACACAGAACACGATCTAATGGTCCCTCTTCTACACAGAAAACGACTCTAATGGGCCTTCTTCTACACAGAAGACGACCTAATGGGCCCTCTTCCACAAAGAAAACCACCTAATGGGACTTCTTTTATTCAGAAGACGGAGAAGAAGACATAAGACTGCTTAATAGAAGACAGAAGACATAAGACTGCTTAATAGGAATTCCACGCAGAAATGGCTTTCTTCTATACCGACGACGGGCCAAGAGTCATTCTTTTATACAGAAGACTGCTTAATAGGTCTTCTTCTTCACAGAAGAGGGCTGAATTGACCTTCCTCTATACAGAAGACGTCCTAATAGGCCATCTTCTGTGCAGAAGACGGCACTTCAGACCTTCTTCTATACAGAAGATGGCTGAACGGATCTTCTTTTATACAGAAGACGATACTTCAAACCTTCTTCTACATATAAAACATCTCCATTGGCCCTCATCTATATAGAAAGCGGGTCAATAATCTTCTATGAGAAGCTACCCAATGAGTCTCTTCCTATAAAAAAGAAGACCCAGTGTTTCATTATAAGGACGACCAAATGGGACCTCTTCTATTGGAAATCTCGACCCATCTTCTTCTTAAAGAAAGACGAGCCAATATTTCCTCTTCTATGGAAAACAGAATCGAAAGGGACCTCTCCATAAAGAAGGCCGAGACAATGGGTCGTCTTTTATAAAAAAGACTACCTAATGGACCCTTTTTATCTATGAGTCGACCTAAAGGGTTTTTACCTAATAAAAAAGATGACTCAATTAACCCTCTTCTAAAAATAACCCAAGTTAATATATTCTCTTTTGTAGAGAGACTATGCGGAATATGATCGAATGACTTCTTTTCTGTATAGAAGACAAGCCACTGATCCCACTTTTAGACAAAAGACGACCCAATGGTTTCACTTCAAGCGATTCTCTTTTACAAAGAAGTCTAGACATAAAGTTATCGTCTCTAAAAATATAGACCCATATCACGACCTTCATAGAGAAACTGTCCCATTCTATGATCTTCTAGAGATTTCCCTTTCCCAGTAATCAGCCCCAAAGGCTAGGCCCCCAACTCCCTTAAACCTTTAATTAAATCTTCATTTTATTTTTTCCTAATTTTCCTTTATTATCATCCCCTTACAAAAAAGCATATTCAACAGTGTTCACACGGGCCGTATTCTCAATCCATTCGTATAGATCGGGCACGGAAGCATAAACACCGGGGAACAGACGACGGGCACAGCCAATACCCCACGATACAATGCCCAACAATTCGTTGTTGCGGATCAATGGGCCACCCGAATCACCTTGGCAGGCATCCTTGCCACCACCGGTAACACCGGCGCACAACATGCGATCGGTCAACATCAGCGGGTAGGACTTCTTGCAGCTACTTAGCTCAACATAGTTGACAGTGACTTGTTGCAATTGATTGGGGATATCGCCACCCTCAACCAGGGTACCCCAACCGGTGACAATAACTTCGGCGCCAGCTTCGGGTCTGGCCTTGGCCAAGCTGATGGGTTGAATGCGATTGTTGAATGGGAAGTTGCCACGTAATACCAAAATGGCAACATCATAATCATTGGACGATGTGTACTTCTCGTGGACAATAATTTTGCTCACCGGCAATTCCCATGTAACATCATCCAAATAGGTGGAACCGGCAACAATGGTCAAAAGACTGAGATCCAATTCGCCAACCACACAATGGGCAGCCGAAACAATGATGTTGCTGCTGTAGACACTGCCACCGCAACGATGTCTGCCGCGATAACGCATTGAAATTTGATGGGGATATTGTTCGATGTTGGCATCGGAGCCACCAACAATACGGCCATCCAACATGGGTACAGCGGAGAGTACGTTGGCGGCCATTAAGCCTGGCACGACGAGCGCGCACAATAAAACGAAATACTTTAACATCCTCAGGCTACCACGCTGCTAGCACTAAGCGTTGTCCATAAGATTACGCCATATTTATATGGAGTGTGAAGCGATAAATGGGGGGATTTAATAATCTTTACTTTTCGGGGCGAATTGTAGATTATGCCGCCAATATCAAATGCCAATAAATCAAGGCGTAATCTTTTATCTTGGGATTTTTCACGTTCATATTGGCAGCAACAATAACAACAACAATACAATATTACGTAGAAGTTTTGTTGCAGATTGATTTACTGACCAGACATCGTTTTTGGAAGTGGAGTCTGATAGGAGTTTGATTTGCATTGGAGATTTTGGTGGAACCATTGGAGGATTGTTTTCATTTTTGCTGGTCAAAAATTCCAGGAAGATTTTGCTCTGCTATCATTTTCGCTCATTCCTTAAAAAAATATGGTTTTTGTCTTTGTTTTAAATTCTCTGAAACAGTGGCATTTAAAATATATATATATTTTTTTTTAATTTTTTGTAATTGTTTATATCTCTCATTCCATTCATAATTCTTCATATTTCTTAATGTGTGTGTGTGTGTTTCGCGAAAAGATTTTAATAATGGCTTAATGTAAGTTGGCAACACTGAAATATTTTTATCTGTGAGCCAGACCAATCTGTTAAAATATCATTGAAATGATCAATTTCAAAGCATACTTTGAGGCGTCAATGTGCTAATCAACAAAAAAAACATGGAAGACATAATAAATTGAAAATGGCTGGAAATGAAAGGGTAATGGAAAGCAAATTGAGCCAAAATGGCGAGAAAAGGATCTCCGTTAATAGAAACAAGTGAAAAAACATTAAGTTCGGCCGGGCCGAACTGTTAATACGTGGAAGGTAAAGGAAACATTTTATATAAAAGTATCTAAATTCAAACGTGCTCCACTTTAAACTACAAATACCAGTAAGACCGCTGGGATAATGCTGTTAAACTTTTCAAAAAACCATAATGTGGGTGAGCCTGTTCTTTTGGGGGTCATACCAAAACGGAAACCCCTGTAGACAATTTTATACTTCAAGGATTTTCATCTACCAAATCTTATTAAATATCAAATTTGAAACAATTTCGTGGGTAAATGTGACTAGGATTATCAAAATACCGAATATCGGTGGGTATCGTTATGTGTGCGCTATACGAAAATGTGGACCTAAATATTCAATGTTCTACCACCGGAACTAGAACCCATTATGACCTACAAATACCAATTGTTAGATAAATCCGTGAAAAAAATTGGCAAAAATTATCAAAATACCGAAAATCGGGAGGTACCGTTATATGGGGGCTTTACAAAAAACGTGGACCTAAATTTTCAATGTTCTACCACCGGAACAAGAGCCCATTATGACCTAAAAATACCAATTGTTAGACAAATCCGTGGAAAAATGTGGCAAAAATCATCAAATTACTGAATAGCGGGAGGTTGCATTATCTGGGGGCTATAGGAAAACGTGGACCAATGCATACTATGTTGTGCCACGGCGGCTAGAACCCACTGCGAACTACATATACCGATTTTTGGAAAAATCCTTGGAAAATTGTGGCAAAAATTATCAAAATACCGAATATCGGAAGGTAACGTTACATGGGGGCTATACAAAAACGTGGACCTATACATACACAATGTTTCACCACAAGATCTAGAAGGCATCATGACCTACCAATACCGATTTTTAGACAGATCCGTGAAAAAATGTGGCGAAAATCATCAAAATACCGAATATTGGGAGGTACCGTTATATGGGGGCTATGCGAAGACCTGGAACTGCATAGAAAATTTTCTTTCATAGACTGTAGTGTCCATTAGGAACTTCAAACACGAAATTTGAAACAATTCCGGTGAATAATGTCGCTAAAATCATGTAGATATCGAATATAGGGAGGTACCGTTATATGGGGGCTATGCGAAGACCTGGACCTGAATAGACAAATTTCTGTCATAGACTGTAGTACCCATTAGGAATATCAAACACGAAATCTGAAACAATTCCGGTGAATAATGTACCTAAAATCGTCAAAATACCGAATATCGGGGGGTACCGTTGTATGGGGGATATACGAAGAACTAGACCTGCTTAGACAATTTTCTGTCATAGACTGTTGCACCCATTAGGAACATCAAATATGAAATTTGAAACAATTCTGGTGAATAATGTCCCTAAAATCATCAAAATACCGAATATTGGGGGGTACCGTTGTATGGGGGCTATACGATATCGTGGACCCATATAGACAATTCCCTTTCAGGGGTAAAGTACTAAAAAAGAAGAAGTTTTTTTGTAAATGTTCAGACAATTCCATTGAAAAATTAACTAAAATCATCAAAATAGCGAATATCAGGGGTAGCGTTATATGGGAGCTATATAATATGATCTCGTGGACCGATATAACCCATCTTCGAACTTGTTCTGTCTGCAGACAAAAGACTGATGTGTGCAAAATTTTAGTTTCCAATCTTAATTCGTTTTGACTCTAGCGTGATTAAAACAGAGGGACGGACAGGGCTAAATCGTCTTAGAATTTTATGCTTATCAAGAATATATATACTTTGTTGGGTCCAACAATTATTATTATTTCGATGAGTTACAAACAGAGTGACGAACTTAATATACCCTCCATACTATATATGGTTGAGGGTATACAAACTTCTTAAAAAACGATTGAGGTTGAACATTTGGTAGCACCTAAGCAACATGTCAAACTTGGCAGCATTTCTTTCATGAACAGTTAATAGAAAGTTACCTGTAGTTCGATTCTCTAACTCATTTTTCGAGTTACCAACAAAATTCATTTTTCATAAAGTTACCAACCAAGCTGAAGTAGTCGTTAAGTCCTACCGATGGCAACAGTGTTGTCAACTTAAATTTCTCCATATCTGTCAATTTCTCTTTTATATCGCTCTCTTTTGCCGAATTTTTAAGTTAACAGACTTTATTCAAAATTTGCAGGGATCGTCCAAATTTTTGAGTTGCAAGAGTTCCATTTTTTATTTTCTAATCGTATTCTGATATAATCTAAAGGTGAGAATACATAAAACGCTTTTTTGACAGACTTAAGTTATCGGCTGGCTTCTTCGGAAAAGAACAAAGGAGCGTAGGGCCAAAATCAAACAAATTCAACCTAAAACTTCTTTGTTCCTCAAGTAGAAGCCAGTGGATGACTTAAGCCAGTCAAAAAAGGGTTTTATGCTTTATAACCTTAATTCTCCATTCGACCCATATAAAGTGTAGCCAAATCTCAAATATATTATCTTTCATATCTCACTCTTACGAAACTTTTAAGTTAACAGACGCAATTCAAAATTTGAAACATTTCTTGTACATTTTTGCCTTAAAGAGGCCTATTTTTTCATTTGCAATCGTATTCTGATCCAATTCTTCCTTCGCCTCATATAAATTCAGAAAAAGTGCACACAAATCTCAAATATTTGCTGTGAAATTCGTAATATATTTATTTTTAATGATTTTCTCAAAATATATTTACAAATTAATGTTATATATGTGTATGTTTTGGATAAATATATAATAAAATAATTAATTAAAACATTGTTCATTTTTGGCTTAAGTTTTTAGTAAAAATTTGTTCGTTTTTGGCGGAAACAGAATGAGGACTTTGTGCTTTTTTTTCTGGCTTCATTACACTATGGGGGATTGTCAGAGCCTCAAGGTGTGAGTACATAAGTAGCTTGGCATCATGACTAGGCATATCAAATTATAAAGAAAACGACGGCAGAATTCCAGAGTGCGGTTCTGGAATCCTTTTATGATATGTCACAAAATATGCCAGGCGAAGACTTGAAGTTGCTTATGAATTCTCACCTTTACTTTTTCAACTCCTTACATCCTCAATTCCCCATTTTTTTAGACATTCACTTTACAAATAAGGCTGGGCATTTTCCAAAACCCATTGAGTATGATATGGAACACTGGCATAAACACCGGGGAAACCTTCACGGGCACAACCAATACCCCAGGAAACAAGACCCACCAATTTGCCATCTACCACCAATGGACCACCGGAATCACCTTGACACGAATCCTTGCTCGAATCCTCAACTCCGGCACAGATCATTTCCTCGGTAATGTCATAACTGCGACTGGCATATTGGCTACTGCAATACTCACGATCGACAATATTCAATTCGACCATTTGCAAATGATTGGATATGTTTGTGGCATCCTCAGAACTTTTACCCCAACCACTTACAATGGCAGTGCGACCAGCTTGGGGTTTCTCTGCAGCCAACGATATGGCTTGCACACTCTCCGAATACACCAAAGGATCGGCCAAAATAATGAGACCCACATCGTTGACATGGGTTTTTTTATTGTATCCAGGATGAGAAATTAATTTGATGACTTCATGGCCAGGATCATTATCGAGCAGAGAGGATTTTCCAGCCACAATACGTATGTTCGAAGCATAACGCCCCTTGATGCAATGGGCCGCGGTGAGAATGACGCGAGGAGCATAGATGGCACCACCACAAATATGCAGCAAAGTGTTTGTATCCAAACGTACCGAGACCTGGTATGGCAGGCGCTCAATAGCAGTTTCAACCCCGCCAATAATATGTCCTTCTTTGCCAATGACACCGCTTAGCTTGGGTGGTATCACCGAGGCTTGATTTTGTACGAATAGTGTGGTGAGTGTCAGCACCACAGCCAAGAGTAGTAGATTGTTACGCTTTAACATTTTCACGACGTTATGATATTTGAAATGTCTTTATCATGGCCTTTTATATGTCGTGAACATGTTTGAAAGCCAATTTTATGATGGTATTATTCTGGATAATCGCTGTTTTGTGGTTGCTTTTTTTGGTGTTAGAGCGGCAACTTTTCTTGTCTTAACACACTGAAAGATAGCTACTTTAGTTTTGAATCAAAGTGTATTATCAAATTAGAGAGGGGGAGGATTAATAAGGCAGGGCACTGAAAGGAGTGAACAATTTTTTTTTTTTTTTGAAAGAAAAGTAGATCGGGAAAAATTATGAATGTAAATGACATGGTAATAAGTTTTTAAATCTGTAGACTGCAAATGCCGTCATGTAAATGTAATGTTTATAGAATTTTAGCAACAAATTCGATAGTGTGTACTCCACTCCAAGATAGCTAAAATGTATGTCTGTCGTTTCAAAACATCCATAGGGGGCATCACATTAGATAATATGCCAGTGTTTTGGCTGTCACAGCTTTATTTTACTTTCAAAAACTTCCCATAAAAATCCTGGGCTTACAAAAAAATATATATTTTTTTAGATAATTGGAAATAATAGCCTTTAAAAAAATGAATATATCTTCAAACCTATGTATTCCTTACTTTCCGTTGTGTAAATATATTGTTTCAGCCGTTTAAGAAAAATGGAGAAACCTGTTCGGTAGTGTATACTCAGCTTAAGTTTAAACTGGAAAGTGCTGCCAATTGTATTTCTAAATAAGCAAGGAGGCATCACAATGGTCAATATTTCAGTATAATCAACAATTTTTCAAAATTCATTCCGAATAATATCCAATAAAATCGAAATAAATATTAGCAAATCTAGCCTTTAAACAAAATTAATATTTTTTTCAAATCTATTCCTTATTTTCCGATATGTATATAAATTATTTTATCCGTTTAAAATAAATGGAGCAACCTTTTCCTTAGTGTATACTCAACTTAAGTTCAAACTGAAAAGTGCTGTCAATTTTATTTCTAAATGAGCAAGGTGACATCACAGTGGTCAATATTTTATTATAAGCATAATTTTCCCAAAAATCTTTCCGAATAATATCTATTAAAGTCGATATAAATATTAGCAAAGTCATTTCAAATAAGCATTTCCATCTTTGCCTTTTCTGTAATTAAGCTTGTCAAATATCACTGCATAGAAAACAGATTCCCATCTCTGATTTTTGTATGTACAATGGATTTATAAATATACATTTTGACAATAGAATGCTGTCAAATGAGTAATTTTGAAAAAAAAAATGTAAATATATGATTGCGTGACATTACCTTCTTAATTCTACCATACATTTTATTACGGACATTAAGAAAGCAGCTGGTTCGTTAGTGGGTACTCAAAAAAAGTTCGAACTGAAAAGTGCTGCCAATATCCCCCCTAAGCACGTAAGATGCCAAATTGCTCATCGGCACAGCTGCTGGGACTATGAACTGTCAAAACAATTTCGCAAATTGAAAATTTTGAATGAAAAACTATTACAATTTGTAAAAATTTCTGAAAAACATATCACAACAATCACTGATTTGAGTCATATATGAAAATTACTTATTTATGTCAAATATGAAAATCTACTTATTTTTGTCAAAACATTTTAAAAATTTTGACACATCAATGTTCCCAAGCGTTGATACATCTACCCATGGTAGAAGAATATAGGTAGACGCGTCGACACCGCTGCTGGAACAATGAACTGTCAAACCAATTTTGGAATTGAAAATGTTGAATGAAAAATTATTTAAATTTGTAAAAATTGTTGAAAAACGCGAATTATAATAGCCTCCGAATGACGTAGTATAAGAAAACATATAAAAGTCTACTTATATTTGAAAAAAATGTTTAATTTTTTTGACACATCAATGCTCCAAAGCGTTGATGCATCTACCTGTATTCTTCTGCCATGCATCTACCTGTATTCTTCTACCATGGTGGCATCAAAGTGGCCAATATTTAAGGAGCTTCTAATTGACGGAGCTTTTCATAAAGTTTCTGTGAAATATCTATTAAAACAAATGTCATTTTTTGAAAAATCTCTCTATGCTTCACTTTTCGACATATCCGTTTGGGCAAATGGAAGCCGTTTGTTCGGTGGAGTATACTCAATAAAAGTTCTAACTGAAAAGTTCTGCCAATCTTCCCTAGAAAATGCGTAAGGTGTCATCGCAGTGGGCGATATTTAAGTAGCTTCATAAATAAATTGTAAAGAGTTGATACTTTTCATTGCTCGAAAATTGACCTCTAGGGCTGGATTCTGAAAATGATGATAACTCTTGCACAAACAATGGCGTCCTTAAGGAATTTTCAAAAATATAATTTCCGCCAGATTTTTTTTTTTGGTCGCCATGTTGCACTTTTTCCTAACATTCTTCCCTACCCTCGCCATTAAGTATACGATTGCGCATAAGTAAAAAAATATAAATTCGGCTTATATCCATTATAAATGGCAAATTTGCGATAGCCTTTCAAAGTTTCTGAAGTATCCAAAAATACGATTTTCGCTAAAAAAAAATTTTTAACACCACCTTGCCATACTGTTTCTCCCTAACTTTCTGCCCTGCCCTCACCACTAAATATCAATTTACGCATTAGAACAAAAAATAATTGCCCATAAATTCGGTTTATATCCATTATAAATGACATTTTTCGGTAGTCTTTCTTTAAACGGGACATATCGACAAAATTAACCCAAATCGATAAGGAAAAACAAAACTAATTGGGTCCACACAACAGGTTTATTATCCAATAAACAAAATTATCGAAAGCGATATAAAGTTTATTGGGTCGACATGACATAAAAACAAGGTAAATATATTTTTATTGTAATACCACCCTAGAGGAGTCAAGAGATTTTTCCAGGTGCTAAAAATATGTGGCATAGGATACTGATAAATATTTATGAGGCCGCTAGTTTAATGCTGGAATTCAGAGACTGTCATAAAAAAATCGGTTGTAAAATCATTTTTTATTTTATGTTTAGTTTTTTATATCCTAATTCTGAGATTTTTTTTCATGTTTTCATGTGTACTATATTTTTTGTTTATCAAAAAAAAAAAAAAAAAAACTCGTGCCAATATTTGTCGAATGACGAATTCATTTCCCTGGAAACCCCCTTTACCATAGCCTTAGTCATTGTGCGTTTAAATGAGCAAACTTTGAACAATACTAATCAAATATGTGATTAGTAATAATAACGGTGTCTCTCGTTATTAGCCAGACAAGTACTTGTGAGCCGATAACACTTAATTCTGGTAAACAAATTTGGATTAAGTTACAGAAATTGATAACAAAAGTGGTCATGCGAGTTTGCCGAAGTCAAGTCATGCGAGTTTGCCGAAACCAAACAAAAAAAAATTAACTAAATTTTAATAGCTTTTAAACCCAAAAACTAATAATAATAATGGCTAAAAGAAAAATAATATTTTAGAAAATCTTCTATGGAAATGAAAAAATAATTTGGTACTAGCCACCGGCCTGATTTGACTTTAATTTTTAAAATTGTGTGTTTCAGGATCTTAGAGAATTTGCCAAATTTTTAATAGAATTCGATTTGATACCCAAAAAAACTGTAAAACTCACATTTGACAGAAAACAAACATAATTTCGATTAACAACTTCTTAATAGGAAATTATGGAACAATAAAACATTTAATGCAATGAAAGTCAACTTCGTATTGGCTGATATTGTGATTTTGAAGGGTTTTTTTTTTTTTCCTTTTTTAGATTTATCTTATGCGAAACTTAACTTCGTCTTACATTAAATATGATATGGCAACACTGAAGCTTGTTCAGTGCTGCCAATGTCCATTCCGAGAAAGAGAGAGAGAAAGGGGCATTGCTGGATCATAGCGGTAATCCATATCCCCTTTTAGCTACCATACCCATAGAGTGGGGTACACACTATTGAACATTTTTGAAATAGTAAAGTTGGGTACAAACTATTAAACACATTTATAAATATTAACTCCAATTCATTTTCATAAGCATTTAAGACCAGTGCCTTGATTCTTATTTTATTAAAAAATAAAATGAAAATGTTTTTAAAGGAAATAGATGAAAAAAAAATAAAAACAAAACATAAGGGAAATAGATATTTTATTTCACATATTTAAAGATTGACATTTTTTTTTTGATACCATAAAAGGAAAATCCACTATCGTAGTAAAGTTTTTTACATTCTTGTTGTTTTGGAACAAAGCAAAAATAGGTTACAGAAAAATGTAAAGCTGGATATTATTGTTTGAAACAAGGTTACCTTGATTTAAGTTGACCATGTTTTACAGTTAGAGACCTTTAAGTGCTGCCAATGTCAATTCATAGAGAGAGAGAGAGAGAGAGTGACATTATTGGATAATACGAGTAGTCCATATCCTCTTTCAGCTCTCATACTAATAAAGTGGGGTACATTCTATTAAACATATTTGAAATAGTGAAGTTGGGTACACACTATTGAACATATTCTGTATATTAACTCTAATTCATTATATTAAACATTTAAGACCAGTGTCCCGATTCTTATTATTTTATAAAGGAAATTAATGTCAAATGAAAAAAATAGAAAGGACATATTTTTAATTTCATATTTTCATAGATCAAAAATTCGGTCCTTTAAGGCAAAAAGGTAACTTAATGGCAATAATATATTTTTAGTTATTTTTTAGCAAGGTAGAATCAAGAAGGTAACATCATGCAATTATTATTATATTAATTATATGTTGGCAATTTCTCCAAACTCTTGCATTTGACAACATCTCATTGTCAAAATGCTTATTTACAAATCCATCGTATGTACACAGAACAGAGATGGGAACCTATTTTGAATGCAGTTAAATTTGTGAAGTGCTCTGTTTCAGAACATGCAAGAATCTACTAGTTTTGAATTATTTATTGGAGCCTGTTTTATTTGCAGTCAAATTTAGGATAGGATAATTTACAGAAAATGCAGAGATGGGAATATTTATTTGAAATAAAACAGTGTGGCTTGTTTGTTCGGGATACCGTAGTATTTTGTTGTTGCAAAATGGTCAGGCTTATCCCTTTATTGTTGTTTTTATAAAAACAACGTTTGTTTATTAGTGGAGAACGATGGTAATGTTTACCAGGGGGTAAGGCAGGGAATACCTAGGTTTCGGAAAGAGCCACCAATCCTCATCAGTTCCCTTGTTTTTTGTCTGGGATATTCTCCCCAGAAGTTATTATAAAAATAACTTCTATGACAAAAAACATTTTTTACCCAAGTGACGAGATCGTAAGCTCAATAGAAGAGGAACCAAAGAATTAAATAAAACTAAAATTCTCTTGGAAAGTCTTCTAAATCTTACAACCGCACTTATAAACATTTTCATCTTTCTCCATTTGTTATGCTTTCGTTCAGCCTGAACGAAGTAGCATAACCATGTAAGTTGGTTTTGTCTGTTACAACAAAAACCCCTTCGTCGACCGTGCCTTGTCTATAAATAGAACAGTGTGGCTTGTTTGTTCGGGATACCGTAGTATTTTGTTGTTGCAAAATGGTCAGGCTTATCCCTTTATTGTTGTTTTTATAAAAACAACGTTTGTTTATTAGTGGAGAACGATGGTAATGTTTACCAGGGGGTAAGGCAGGGAATACCTAGGTTTCGGAAAGAGCCACCAATCCTCATCAGTTCCCTTGTTTTTTGTCTGGGATATTCTCCCCAGAAGTTATTATAAAAATAACTTCTATGACAAAAAACATTTTTTACCCAAGTGACGAGATCGTAAGCTCAATAGAAGAGGAACCAAAGAATTAAATAAAACTAAAATTCTCTTGGAAAGTCTTCTAAATCTTACAACCGCACTTATAAACATTTTCATCTTTCTCCATTTGTTATGCTTTCGTTCAGCCTGAACGAAGTAGCATAACCATGTAAGTTGGTTTTGTCTGTTACAACAAAAACCCCTTCGTCGACCGTGCCTTGTCTATAAATAGAACAGTGTGGCTTGTTTGTTCGGGATACCGTAGTATTTTGTTGTTGCAAAATGGTCAGGCTTATCCCTTTATTGTTGTTTTTATAAAAACAACGTTTGTTTATTAGTGGAGAACGATGGTAATGTTTACCAGGGGGTAAGGCAGGGAATACCTAGGTTTCGGAAAGAGCCACCAATCCTCATCAGTTCCCTTGTTTTTTGTCTGGGATATTCTCCCCAGAAGTTATTATAAAAATAACTTCTATGACAAAAAACATTTTTTACCCAAGTGACGAGATCGTAAGCTCAATAGAAGAGGAACCAAAGAATTAAACAATAAAGGGATAAGCCTGACCATTTTGCAACAACAAAATACTACGGTATCCCGAACAAACAAGCCACACTGTTCTATTTATAGACAAGGCACGGTCGACGAAGGGGTTTTTGTTGTAACAGACAAAACCAACTTACATGGTTATGCTACTTCGTTCAGGCTGAACGAAAGCATAACAAATGGAGAAAGATGAAAATGTTTATAAGTGCGGTTGTAAGATTTAGAAGACTTTCCAAGAGAATTTTAGTTTTATTTAATTCTTTGGTTCCTCTTCTATTGAGCTTACGATCTCGTCACTTGGGTAAAAAATGTTTTTTGTCATAGAAGTTATTTTTATAATAACTTCTGGGGAGAATATCCCAGACAAAAAACAAGGGAACTGATGAGGATTGGTGGCTCTTTCCGAAACCTAGGTATTCCCTGCCTTACCCCCTGGTAAACATTACCATCGTTCTCCACTAATAAACAAACGTTGTTTTTATAAAAACAACAATAAAGGGATAAGCCTGACCATTTTGCAACAACAAAATACTACGGTATCCCGAACAAACAAGCCACACTGTTCTATTTATAGACAAGGCACGGTCGACGAAGGGGTTTTTGTTGTAACAGACAAAACCAACTTACATGGTTATGCTACTTCGTTCAGGCTGAACGAAAGCATAACAAATGGAGAAAGATGAAAATGTTTATAAGTGCGGTTGTAAGATTTAGAAGACTTTCCAAGAGAATTTTAGTTTTATTTAATTCTTTGGTTCCTCTTCTATTGAGCTTACGATCTCGTCACTTGGGTAAAAAATGTTTTTTGTCATAGAAGTTATTTTTATAATAACTTCTGGGGAGAATATCCCAGACAAAAAACAAGGGAACTGATGAGGATTGGTGGCTCTTTCCGAAACCTAGGTATTCCCTGCCTTACCCCCTGGTAAACATTACCATCGTTCTCCACTAATAAACAAACGTTGTTTTTATAAAAACAACAATAAAGGGATAAGCCTGACCATTTTGCAACAACAAAATACTACGGTATCCCGAACAAACAAGCCACACTGTTCTATTTATAGACAAGGCACGGTCGACGAAGGGGTTTTTGTTGTAACAGACAAAACCAACTTACATGGTTATGCTACTTCGTTCAGGCTGAACGAAAGCATAACAAATGGAGAAAGATGAAAATGTTTATAAGTGCGGTTGTAAGATTTAGAAGACTTTCCAAGAGAATTTTAGTTTTATTTAATTCTTTGGTTCCTCTTCTATTGAGCTTACGATCTCGTCACTTGGGTAAAAAATGTTTTTTGTCATAGAAGTTATTTTTATAATAACTTCTGGGGAGAATATCCCAGACAAAAAACAAGGGAACTGATGAGGATTGGTGGCTCTTTCCGAAACCTAGGTATTCCCTGCCTTACCCCCTGGTAAACATTACCATCGTTCTCCACTAATAAACAAACGTTGTTTTTATAAAAACAACAATAAAGGGATAAGCCTGACCATTTTGCAACAACAAAATACTACGGTATCCCGAACAAACAAGCCACACTGTTCTATTTATAGACAAGGCACGGTCGACGAAGGGGTTTTTGTTGTAACAGACAAAACCAACTTACATGGTTATGCTACTTCGTTCAGGCTGAACGAAAGCATAACAAATGGAGAAAGATGAAAATGTTTATAAGTGCGGTTGTAAGATTTAGAAGACTTTCCAAGAGAATTTTAGTTTTATTTAATTCTTTGGTTCCTCTTCTATTGAGCTTACGATCTCGTCACTTGGGTAAAAAATGTTTTTTGTCATAGAAGTTATTTTTATAATAACTTCTGGGGAGAATATCCCAGACAAAAAACAAGGGAACTGATGAGGATTGGTGGCTCTTTCCGAAACCTAGGTATTCCCTGCCTTACCCCCTGGTAAACATTACCATCGTTCTCCACTAATAAACAAACGTTGTTTTTATAAAAACAACAATAAAGGGATAAGCCTGACCATTTTGCAACAACAAAATACTACGGTATCCCGAACAAACAAGCCACACTGTTCTATTTATAGACAAGGCACGGTCGACGAAGGGGTTTTTGTTGTAACAGACAAAACCAACTTACATGGTTATGCTACTTCGTTCAGGCTGAACGAAAGCATAACAAATGGAGAAAGATGAAAATGTTTATAAGTGCGGTTGTAAGATTTAGAAGACTTTCCAAGAGAATTTTAGTTTTATTTAATTCTTTGGTTCCTCTTCTATTGAGCTTACGATCTCGTCACTTGGGTAAAAAATGTTTTTTGTCATAGAAGTTATTTTTATAATAACTTCTGGGGAGAATATCCCAGACAAAAAACAAGGGAACTGATGAGGATTGGTGGCTCTTTCCGAAACCTAGGTATTCCCTGCCTTACCCCCTGGTAAACATTACCATCGTTCTCCACTAATAAACAAACGTTGTTTTTATAAAAACAACAATAAAGGGATAAGCCTGACCATTTTGCAACAACAAAATACTACGGTATCCCGAACAAACAAGCCACACTGTTCTATTTATAGACAAGGCACGGTCGACGAAGGGGTTTTTGTTGTAACAGACAAAACCAACTTACATGGTTATGCTACTTCGTTCAGGCTGAACGAAAGCATAACAAATGGAGAAAGATGAAAATGTTTATAAGTGCGGTTGTAAGATTTAGAAGACTTTCCAAGAGAATTTTAGTTTTATTTAATTCTTTGGTTCCTCTTCTATTGAGCTTACGATCTCGTCACTTGGGTAAAAAATGTTTTTTGTCATAGAAGTTATTTTTATAATAACTTCTGGGGAGAATATCCCAGACAAAAAACAAGGGAACTGATGAGGATTGGTGGCTCTTTCCGAAACCTAGGTATTCCCTGCCTTACCCCCTGGTAAACATTACCATCGTTCTCCACTAATAAACAAACGTTGTTTTTATAAAAACAACAATAAAGGGATAAGCCTGACCATTTTGCAACAACAAAATATTTGAAATAACTTTACATTCTTCATTGTACCATGAATATTATAAAGGGAAAATCGTTTATCGTAGTAAAGTGTTTTTTACATTCTTGCAGTTCTGAAACAGATCAACCGAGCAGAGCAGAAATTACAGAAAATTTAAGGTGAGAATACATAAAACACTTTTCTGACTGGTTCCTTCGTAGAGGAACAAAGGAGTTTTAGGTTGACTTAGTTCGATTTTTGCTCCACGCTCCTTTGTTATTTTCTGTAGAAGCCAGCCGATGACTTAAGCCAGCCAGAATAAGCGTTTTGTGTATTCCCACCTTTAGAGCTCCATATTTTTATTTGGAATGAAGTTAGGTTGATTTAATTGTATCAAGCTTTCCTAATAACCTTAATTCCAGATCGAAAATAAAACACTTTCTTCTTTAGCTATTATTATACAACATTTATTCAATCAAAAAAACCTAAGTTTAAGCCAAGTTAGCTTCAATCCAATCTCTCAATTCGGCAACATTGCTGTAGACACCGGAGAAATCGGCACGAGCACAGCCAACACCCCAGGAAACAATACCGACCAATTCACCGTTGGCAACCAATGGACCGCCAGAGTCACCTTGGCAAGCATCCTTACCGCCATTTTCAACAGCAGCGCACAACATAACATTGGTGATTTCGTTGATGCCAGCATATTGGCTATTGCACACATCTCTGGCGACAATCAAAACCTCGGTCTTTTGCAAAATCGAGGCAGAAGCACCATCTTCCTCGGTGGTACCCCAGCCAGTGACAACAGCAACGGTGGTGGGTTCAGGTTCAGCGGAGGCCAATGGGATGGGTTGGGCGGTGGCACTGAATGGAATATCCGAAGACAAGAAGATCAAGGCAACATCATTGTTGATCGAAGAGGAATCGTATTTCTCGTTCTTGACAATACGCTGAGCACCGATGACATTGTTAGAACCACCAACCTTGGTTACACCATATTGAATGCTGTAGGAACTGGCACCCAAGAAACTGTAGATGCAATGGGCAGCAGTTACAACCACACGAGAGTTGTAGATGCTACCACCACAGACATGGGAACCCAAAAGGCGTACAGATACTTGATAGGGATATTGGTCGATGGTTGTATCCTCACCGCCTACAACACGACCCTCCAAATCGGGAATCAGACGTGGCATAATGACACTGCCCAAAGCAGAGGCAGCCATCAAGGCCAATAAAACAAAGGTACAGCGAAACATGTTGTATTCGAAAGAGAATTCTTTAAACTACATAAATTGCTAGACATTTGCAGGTATTTTATACTTTCTTTAGCTTTTCGGAAAACATCGAAAAACATCATAAATTTGAATATAACAAAGCCTCAAAATTTACAATGGCTGGTTCTGATTTCTACTGAGTTTTGGGCGTTTGGGTGTTATCAGCAAAATAAGTTCGCCAATATTTTTTGGCGGTATTTTCAATATCTGTGATTTGTGGCCTTTGTGTAATGACGTAGAGCGGTGCTTGCTTGCAAGCCAAAACAAGCCATGAATATTCACTCTATCCTTGGGAATTTTGCCGATTCTAAAATAATATTTTTATTTTTGTTATCGGATTTATATTTAGATCTCTATCTCTTCGAATGTTTTACCAGCAATCGAAAAAATATCGCATGTTCTCGTCAAGTTGTCTAGGCTTGAGACTAAGGGGGTTCTCTATAAATTATCAGGAAAATCTAATTGGTTTGACGGAAAAAAAATCCTTGATAAAGGAGGTCAGTTGCCTATGAAAAACAGTAGTAGATTATCCGAAGGAAATCATGCCACTACCAAAAAAAAAATAGCAGACTAGCTATTTCAAGGATTATTTTAATATATTGGGCGCCATTCTACACAGTCATGGACGGATCTGCATATGAGTCATTTTTTTGAAATTGATTTTCCTCCCTAGGATTCTCCGCTAAAAGATGATGTCTCAGAATTCATCGCTTTGAACCATAGCGTCCATGTTTGTTTAGTATGTAACCGATGGCCCCCAATATATAGATGACTTACTGGGTTCCTTAAAAGAAAGATAATGATTCCTTTCTTTTAAGGAACCCAGTGAGTCATCTATATATTGGGCGCCATCTTCTATATTTTTGGTAGTGGCATGATTTCCCTCGGATAATCTAATACTGTATTCCACAGGCAACTGACCTGCTTTATCAAGGATTTTTTTTCGTGATAATGATTTTCAATGTGCAGATTCATCTGTGGCTGTTTAATATGGCGCCCAATACACAGAAATAATCATTGAAATAGCAAGTCTGCTGTGTTCTGCTATTTTTTCTAGTGACATCTATTTCTTCGGATAATCTAATGCTAGCTTTATCTCCAAATTAATTGCCTATTGGCAGAATTACGTTTCAAAATTATGTATATATCCACCCTCCTCTCCCCCTTCCTTCCCACAGCATGTGCGTCATAGACTTCCTTACCATAGATCATATGATCTCTTCCAGGTCAAATAAATACAATAAATCAACAAATTATTATAACACCCCGCCCATATTTGGCACACGCATCGCTAGATAACGAAACACTGTAAAAGTTGTTGGCCTCAACCTCAACCGCGATCAAAACAAACAAGAGAAATCAATGCTTAGCAAAGAAAAAAAAACGTCTAGCCACCCGCCATGATAAGATAGTCAGTCGGTGGTCAATGCCTAAGCAGTATCTATGAAATTTATGACCATTAAAAAATCGCTGAGAGTTGGAAAAATTTACAACCCATGAAAAATTCGCACAATAGAATTTTCCAACAAAAAAGAAGCACTTCTATAAAAATGCCTTTCCATTAATAGAATCCATGTAGTTTCTTGCTGAGTTGAGAGAAGACAACATGTATCGCAGCGCATTCGTTTTATTGGCCTTGATGGCTGCCTCTGCTATGGGCAGTATCATTATGCCACGTCTGATTCCCGATTTGGAGGGTCGTGTTGTAGGCGGTGAGGATACAACCATCGATCAATACCCCTATCAGGTATCTGTACGCCTTTTGGGTTCCCATGTGTGCGGTGGTAGCATCTACAACTCCCGCGTTGTTGTAACTGCTGCCCATTGCATCTATAGCTTCTTGGGTGCCAGTTCCTACAGCATTCAATATGGTGTAACCAAGGTTGGTGGTTCTAACAATGTCATCGGTGCCCAACGCATTGTCAAGAACGAGAAATACGATTCCTCTTCGATCAACAATGATGTTGCCTTGATCTTCTTGTCTTCGGATATTCCATTCAGTGCCACTGCCCAACCCATCCCATTGGCCTCTGCTGAACCTGAACCCACCACCGTTGCTGTTGTCACTGGCTGGGGTACCACCGAGGAAGATGGTGCTTCTGCCTCGATTTTGCAAAAAACCGAGGTTTTGATTGTCGCCAGAGATGTGTGCAATAGCCAATATGCTGGCATCAACGAAATCACCAATGTTATGTTGTGCGCTGCTGTTGAAAATGGCGGTAAGGATGCTTGCCAAGGTGACTCGGGCGGTCCATTGGTTGCCAACGGTGAATTGGTCGGTATTGTTTCCTGGGGTGTTGGCTGTGCTCGTGCCGATTTCTCCGGTGTCTACAGCAATGTTGCCGAATTGAGAGATTGGATTGAGTCCAATTTGGCTTAAATTTAATTTTTTTTGGAATAAATCTTTTACAATAATAGCTAAAGAAGAAAGTATTTTACTTTCAATTAGAAAAAAAGAAGCAATGAGGAAAATTAAAGATTTTTAAAGGTTGGGGTACATAAGCAGCTTAGCTTTATGCCTTGGTATATAAAAGTCAAACGGCAGGATTCGAGTGCGATTCTGGCATATCTTTATGATATGTCACAAAACATATCATGCGAAGACTCTTTATGTACCTAAACCTTAACTGTAAAAATATTTTCGTCATTACGTTACCTTTTTACTTGAAAGGAATATTTTTTGGAACCGTATTCTTGATCTATGAAAATGTGACAAAAAATGTATTTCCTTCACAAAATTTTCCATGTCACATTTATTTTTATTATAAAAGTGTTCATTTTATTCGTTTTAAAAGAACATATTTAATAGTATGTACCCATCTTCAATATGTTAAATAGTGTGTACCACACTCTATGAGTATGATAGTTCAAAAAGGACATTAGCTACCGTTATTAGGCAATAATACCACACTCTCCAAATATACATTGGCAGCACTTAATAAACTTCAGCGTTGCCATATCCTTGTTAATGGAAGACGAAGACAGAACAACCATGGTAGAAAAATACAGGTAGTCGCATAGACACAGCTGATTTTGGGATTGAAAATTTTCAATTTCTATTTTTCAATTTTCAGTCAATTTTGTCTATGAGTTTTAAGGTGAGAGAACATAAAATGCCCTTTGTACTGTCTTAAGTCGCTTTCTCCTTTTTCGCTTATTCATTTGTCTTTATTGTGCTGCTCTTTTATTTAATCCATAGATGCCTTACCCAGCGGTCATTGCCCTGTTTTTTTTTTCTTCTGAATTTCCTTCACTAATATCACATTTCATTTTAAATTCAGAGTTTTTTTCATCTCTACATTTTCTGTCAAATTTCACTGCATAGAAAACATGTTCCCATCTCTGAATTGTGTGTATACAATGGATATGTAAATAGTAATGTTGACAATGAGATGTTGTCAAATGAATAGTTTTGAAAAAATTGTAAAAAACATTACCTTCTTAATTCTACCATGGTATATATAAAGAAACGCCAGCTAAACAGTAATTATATCATCCGATTAATATATAAATAAACACACAATCTGTATAAATAAACACACAATAAACACTGAATCGTTTAAACACTGTGGGCAAACCTTCAATGCTATAAAAGAAATACAGGATTAATTCTTGTATAAACATTTCAAATAAAAATGTACTGACTAATTTCCATATTTCTTGATTACAGCAGTATTTATTTTATTATTTACTATTTATCTGTTTAGTTTGGAAACCACATTTCTCTTTGCATTAATTATTTTTTATCTTCTTTTACGTTTTGTATGGTGTGAACTGCCCTAATAGCAACTGTAAGACAACCAATATTGCCACTTACCTCAAAGCAGTGCAGCCAACATCAAACGAAGAAAAAAACCTACGAAACATATGGCACGATTGTTGGAAAATAATTAGGAAATCAACGCGAAGACAAACACGACGTTTGAGAGAGCGAAAAAACAGTGAAATACCCCAGTTAAAACAAGCCCTTTCTCAAAACCAATTACATTAAATTGTGAAAAACCTAAACGGCTAAGTGTTTTCTAACATTGCAAAAGGAAATCTCGGCGATAAACCTCAATAATTAAACAGACAAAATGTCGCTATTCGGCTCATTAATGGGTGACTTCGATGATGATATCTTTGGGTAAGTGTGTGTGTATTGGGCTTTTTTGTGTGTGTGTGTGTTCAGAGATGGAAAAAAAATGAAATAAAGCCAATACCTCTATGTAAATGTGTTTTCAAAAGGAAAACGAAAAGAAAAACGATTGGAAGATTTGCAAAAGTAGAATGATTTGAAAATTTGCGATGGGGTGTGGAAAATTTTCCAAACACACAGGTGAAAATTTTCGAATTTGTTTTGTCAATCAATTACAAAATGATGTTGTGTTATGGGTTAGACGGAGGGAGGGGGTTATGACAAAAACTACCATGCCAAACTGCGTCACCCCGCAAAAAAACAACAAGAAACAGGGAGGTAGGAGAAGGTATCTAATGTTAGTAACAAAAACATGTATATAGGCACATTTTCGGGTCGTTGCAGGGCGGGTATCATATTTTGACCCTTACTTTATGGGCTTCAAGGTAAATCAATGACTGTTACACATAGCTTTTTTTCTGCTTGTATCCTTCTCCCACCCCTCAACCTTTTTTGGGTTTTCAACAATAGAGGGCAGTTTTCTAGAAATTTCAAGAAATTTCCTGGACCCATGATTTGCTTTATATATATGACAACTGAGGTCTATATTGTCTCAGTTGTAATCTGGCTTCGCCAAAATAAGTGTTTAAATTTGAGAAAGCAATGCTTTTTAAGAAAAGTAAAAATAAGGGAAATTCATCAACTGAATTGAAGAATATAAGAACAAAATCAAATTGTGTTACCTCCAATGTCAACATGGATAAAGAAAACGAAGAATTTTACACCGATAGTGTGGAGTATGTAATAATGTGTGCAGATTTTCACACTTTTACATCATCAAGGACATTTGTTTGAAATACTGGGCGACAATTTCAGAAGCATTTAGGGAAAAACATTTTAATTTTTGAAGTGAAAATAAAACAAGGCCCACAATTTTATTTTTGAAAAAAAAAATGAAAATTAATTTTTATAAATAATCAATTAGAAAAGCGAAACTTAACTATAAAAAATATACCAAAACAAAATATTAAATGTTCAAAAATATGAATGCTGAGTAAAGGAAAGGCGTTTCTGATATAAAATCCAGTGTTTAGTTTATTTTAAATCAAATCGGACTCAGAAAAATATACCAAGTACTTAATAGAACTCTTGGAATATTTAACTTAATCGAGACGACTTTTTATATACGTCTATAAAGTCAGGTATTTTAATGATGGTGCATATCTTCTTAGACTTCTATGAATCACTTTTCTCGACGTCTGTAAATACGCCATTCTGCGAAACAACAGAGGTAACTTCCAGAACATTTATAAAGAAATATTCGTGGACATGTTTCAACAAACCTAACAATTCTGAAATATTCTTCTGTGTCTAGAACCAAAGGGGCATTCAATAAAGACGTCGAAGAAATACAGGGGAAAATAAAAAAAACTGCAATAAAGTCAAACGCCATAATTTTTAAATTTTATTGAATGAAAGCTAAAAATGTCGAAAATAGCATCAAATTTTAGAATAAGTTTAGATTTTGTTCGAATTGGTCACCTTCAAATGGCCAATGAAACCGTCACACGCTGCCCGAATGCTCCTCTGAGTTATTTTGGCCCATTCCCGGCGAAGCGCTTGCTTGAGTTGATCGACACTTTGGTATTTTTTAGTGCCATCCTTGCTTTCCAAAATACTCCAGACACAATAGTCCGACGGATTGGTATCGGTAGATTTTGGTAGCCATTGTGCGCTGCAAATGAAGCGAGGAACCTCATTTTGAACCCATTCTTGGGTGGCGCGTGCTAAGTGCGATCTTGCTGAGTCCTATTGGAATTTCCAAGGTATGCGGCCAAAATGTTTGCGTGCCCAAGGCTTTAATACACCCTCCAGATTATTTTCGCAATTATATTCGGCATTTTTTCTGATGCCACGGTCGATAAATACGAGCGGAGAGCGACCATCGGCTGTTATGTCGAACCACATCATCACTTGAGTTCTGGTGGCCAGCCGAAGGTGCACATTTTCAGATTTTCTGCTGACCTCTTTAGCACGATCATTTTGTTTATTTGCACAACGAATGTTTTCTCATCGAAGAAAGCCCAATTCGACAGTTCACCACTTTTGGTCAAGCCAAGCAAGTCTTTAGCTCTTTTGAGCCTATTTTCTTTCTGTTGCGGTGTAAGTTCTTGCATTTTTTGAAATTTCAATGGCTTTACCCCGAGCTCATTTTTTCAATGTTTGCGGAATGGAACATTGCGATATCAGCTCATGAGTCATTTTTCAGCCACGTGGGTTTCGATCAAGTCGTTTCTTTAATTTTCGAACCATTTCTCCTGATGTTGATGTTTTCTTCTGTGCACTTCCTTGACGTCGGGGTACACTACTAGTATCACGGTAATGACCGATGGTACGAGACACAAAATATAATCACGCTTGAATTCCATCACGAATAACTTTTTTTCTGGAAAATTTTGGAAATTCTGTCACTGGAATAATTTTAAATCTCATTTTATTCAAATCTATTTCTCCTTTGCAGAAACCACATGAACGCCATGAACATGCAAATGCGTTCCATGAACCGTTTGATGAATTCATTGATGCCCGATCCGTTCAATATGCTGACACCCTTTGATCCCGGTTTTCAACAGAATGCCTTGATGGAACGTCAAAATGGCCCAGCAATGGGTGGCCTGTTTGGTTTTCCAGCCATGGGACCAATGATGATGCCCAATATGAATCGTTTGCTGAGTGCAGGTAAGTTTTTCAACAAAATACTACAAAAATCTCTTCAGATATTAAAATTTTTTCTTCCTTACAGATATTGGTAACAATGGTGCCTCGTTCTGTTCAAGTTCCGTCATAACCATGTCTTCAGGACCCGATGGAAGGCCACAAATTTATCAGGCTACCAGCAGTACTAAAACCGGCCCAGGGGGCATACGTGAAACCCGTCGCACCGTACAAGATTCCGTCAATGGTGTCAAGAAAATGGCCATTGGTCATCATATTGGTGAGAGGGCTCACATTATTGAAAAAGAACAGGACATACGTTCCGGTCAGCTGGAGGAACGTCAAGAATTCATCAATCTCGATGAAGATGAAGCCGAGGATTTTGATCGTGAATTTACCACCAAGGCCAGTGGTGGACGTATGGGACAACGGGCCATTGGCGGTGTGCCCGGAGCAGCACCACACCAACAAACTTTAACCATTGAACCAATAGACGATGATGACGACGATGAGGTTATTGAAACTACAGCTGCGGCCGCACATCACAGTCATCCACAGCATAGACCATCATCGTCGTCGGGTTCACACAATCGTAGATACTTGCCAGCATTACCTGCACCACCACCGCAACACCAACAACAACACCCATCATCACATCAAAATAGGTAAGTCACAATGAAATGTAATTGATATTTTGTCATTTGATTTGTTTTGATTGTAGAAAATGTTTTGTAATTAGCCTAAAAGCTATGAGCTTCATTAACATTTTTATTATTATTATTACTATTATGATTGTAATTAATGATAGACTGATTTAGGTGTAAAGTTTATTATTTGACGGCCAAACGAAAGAAAAGAAAAAAAAATCGAAAAGCAACACAATTGACCTCATTTATATGTATTTAGTTCGTTTTGTATTTATGTACGTATTCTTCATGAATTGTTAATGCAACAGGAAGTTTTTGTCCAAAATCATTACTCATACTCTACACCACATATTTGCAGCAAAGCATTTTTCAAAAAAAAAAAAAAAAAAAGAAACTAGAAGCTTCTCAAAATTTCATGAAATACTTTGTCTGTGTGGCAACTAAGTAAATTTTGGATTAACTAAAATCAAATATTTTATTGAATTTGATTAGTTCCTTAAAGCACTTTGTTCAAATTATATCCAACACTTCCTTGGTGGTGACAGAAGGCCCTGGAAGTGGTAGCAAAAATTGAATATTGATTTTTTTATATCTACTAACCAAGCATTAAAAATAAATTTTAATTATACCCTCAGTCATATGGCCGGGGAGGGTATATATCATTTGATACGGTCAAAACGTGCCTAGTCGAAATAACGGTTTTAGACCCTATGTCTCTTTAGACCAAATCCTTTTCAGGACATTTGGAGTCGATCTAGCGATGTCCGTCTGTCTGTCTGACTGTCTGGTGGGCACGATAACTCTCGAAAGAAGTATCCGATTTGATCCAAACTTGGTAGATCGTAATATTATTATCAAACTTAGATCGAGTTCGGAGATGGGCAATATCGATCCACTCCTGGTACTTCCCCCACAAAATATCAAATTTTTCAAAGAAAATAATTTATTGCACAGAAAGAGAAAGGACAATCTGATTTGGCTCCAAGTTTGCAAAACCTAATATTTTCATCAATACTAGGTCAGGTGCGAAAACGGATAATTTCGGTCGTCTCCATCAATTACCTCCCCCACAAAGGGTCAAAATTTTGAATAATTGTAACTCTTACAAAATGTGATGTAAGTGTCCGATTGTTTTCAAATTACACACATTCCAATATTTATATTAACCCATGGACTGGTGTAAAGATGGGACATATCGGTCCAATCCTTCTGGTACCTCCGCCAAAAATGGTCGAATTTTTCAAAAAAAAAAAAAAAAAATATTTTCTGCACGGAAAGAGAAACAACAATCCGATGTTACTTAAACTTTGCAAATCCTAATATTTGCGTCAGTGATAGGTCAGGTGCAAAAACGGAAAATATTGGTCCACTCTATCAAATACCTCCCCCACAAAGGGTCAACATTTTGAATAATTACAACTCGTATAAAATGTGAAGTAAGAGGCCGATTTTTAATAACCCAAGGTCTGGTATGACGATGGAATATATCGGTACACTCCTTCTGGAACCTTCCCCACAAAGGGTCAAAATTTTGAATATTCATGAAGGTCATAAAACATTCGATTCCATTCAGACTTGGCACATCTCAATATTTCCATAAACGAAAGATCTGTTATAAATATGGTACATATCGGATCATTCCTTCTGGTACCTCCCCCACAAAGGGTAAAAGTTTTGAATAACCAAAACGATCATTAAATCAAAAATAAGCATCTGGGTTTCTTCAAATTACACGCACCACAACATTTTTATTAACCCACGGTCTGGTGCGAAAATGAGGTATATTGCTCCACTTCTTCTGGTACCTACCCAAGAAAGGGTCAAAATTTTGAATATCCATAAAGCTCATATATCCGACTTGGTACATCTCACTATTTCTGTCAACATTAGATCAGTTATAAAGAAGGTAGAGATCGGACCATTCCTTCTGGTTCCTCCCCCACAAAGAGTCAATTTCTTAATAACAAAAACGATCTTAAAATCCGAAATCCGAATCACAATATTTTCATTAACCGAAGTTCTGGTGTGAATATGTTATATATCGGTCCCCTCCTTCTTGTACCTCCCGAACAAAGGTTCAAAATTTTTAGTAACCAAGAAGCTCATAAAACACGAAATTAACGTCTGATGCCATTCAGATTTGGAACATCTCAATATTTGCATCAACACAAGATCTGTTATAAAGATGGTAGAGATCGGACCGTCACATTGACCCATTTAACTGTGGTGTAGAGTAAGACACAGACAGTCGGTTTTTATTATCGACTTTAGCTTGTTTTTACATTTTGGTTTTCTGTTTTTTTCCTTTAGTTCCTTTTGATTTTGTCTCACATAGTTTTTCCTTTCGACTTCTTAACCATTGAAAATATTGTATTTAAAACCAAAATATGTATTTTTTTCTTGAATATTCAATCTTTTTGCAGATATAATGATTATTAAATTCCATAACAATGCAAATGTGTGAATGCTACCCAAAAAACAAAACAAAAGACACTACTAATACTTGAAACGAAACGAAATGAAATAACGAAATGCATTAACCATTTACAAAAAAACTAAACCTTCTCCAAAAAGCTAGCGATCTCTTTATAACAAGAAACCAAACAGAAATCCTCCTAAATACGTTTTAAGCAAAACGAATGCCAAGCAAATGCAAACACCTCTCTCGACTCGACTACAGTTGTTTAGATTAACTACTTAACTTAAGCTCTAACAAAACGATCGAATAACAAATAGTTTAATCACCAATTCATCATCTCAAACAAAACTAATATTTGCCTTTGCCCCCTCAAAATATTAAACCACACACACCAAATTGAAATACTCGAAACTTGAGGTAGGCAGAATTTCTACATTGATTTTTTCTAAAAAAAAATTAGTTTTAATTAATTTGAAAATTATTTATATTTAATTTTATTTAAATTTTATTAGATTTCTTTGTCAATGTGTTTTCTTTATCATCATCATTATCACCATAGACCGTCATTAAACTTTTCTTTTTTTTTACAAAATCATTCATAATTCATGTTAGTGCCTTAGAGAATAACAAAAGCTATAGCTTCGATTTCAAAGCCAATTCCGCAATTCCCCCCCCAAAATCCAACAAAGAGTTCGAAATGAAAAAAAACTGCAATATATATTTTTTTTAAATCGTCCATCCTCTTTTTCAAAAAAACACCATTGAAAACGAAACTGAATCACCAAACTTCTTTTCTCTAACATTCAACATTCAGCTCCTCGTCCTCCTCCTCTACTGCTACAACAACAGACGAGTCAAGAAAATCCACGGACAATACTTTGCCATCATCATCCAATAAATCGAGACAAATTGACTCCAACGGCCGATCTTTAAGCCACGGTACCGCCGCCGCTGCCGCTACATCCACCAGCAACACTACATCGCCCTATATATCAACAACACCTCGACGTTTGTCCTCTGCCTATCGCAGTGGCAGCAGCCATGTTAGTGGTGTCTCACCGCGCCGTCCCCTAAGAACTCCACCATCATCGCCATTGGCCACAACACCAACAATGCATAATCACAGTACCACAACATCGCCAAGGTTTGTGCCACCAACAAAACAAGCATTTAAATAAGTTTTTCTTTTTTTTTGCAAAAAACGAAAATTTACAAAAACGAAAAACATCAACGCTGGAATTTTTTTCGATTAGCCACAAAAAGAATTCGGCGCAATGAGGACTTTTTCGTTATCTTTTTTTTTATCACTTAATTTTGATTCTTACAATTAACCTCAGCTAAAATAATTTATATCTTAAACCTGCATGATGAATAGCTTACAGTGGAATGAGAAGATTTGGAACAAAATTTGAAATGCATGAAAGTACCCTAGAAATTTCCTAGCAAATTTTATGATTTTATTCAAAACATTTTGTTTTCAAATAACTTGACGAGATCATGGCATCCTTTCTGGCAGGGAATAAATCCATGCTGTTGAAACATCCTTTTGAGTTATGGATGACTTTTGAAATTCTAAAATTGAATTTATCAAAGTATTTATGTAAAATTTTGAACAGTATTGAAACAATTTTTTTGAATCGATTAAAATTTTACAGAAAAATGGAGATATATGAAGAATTTAAGAACCAGGCCTCTGCATTCACTAAATTTTGGTAGTTGTGGGAGGCTGCATTTCATTACCATCTTATTCAGGGATGGTCATAGGAATACATTTCGAAACATTTTCATGGAAAATATGCGAAACATGGCAGAAAAGAAATTATTTCCAGAGGTGTGGGACCTGGGCCCGCGTTCGTCCCCGTTCTTTTTATGCCCTCCATATAATAATATAATAATAGAGGATATTTTCAATTTGTTATTTGTGATGAGTACGTAATAGAAGAGAGAGCACAAGCACGATTAAAATTCTACGTATCTGGGCCTCTACATTTGCTTAGTTTTGTAGCTGCATTTCATTACCTACCATTTTATGGAGGAATGTACACGGGTTTACATTTCGAAACGAAAAATGGCAGAAAAGAAACCATTTCGAAGGGCATGCCTTTTATAACGTATTATACCTTGGATGTGTGGTATCGAATATGATATTTTGTGCCCTCAGTGGGTAGTTTAACTCCTGATATGATAAGCCTTCATATTGCGATACCTTCTGATTTTCGGTATTTTTAAGATTTTGCCCCTAATTGCCAACTAAATCAGCTGTAATTTAATATTTCGCTTTGAGAGTTGGGTGATTAATTCCCCGCAAAAAGTATGCAACATAAGACAACTTTTTTGGTATAGGTCCATTTAATGGTGTCTTCTGATTTTCGGTATTTTGCTGCGGGTTTCGGCCTAAATTTTCAAGTAAATTTGCTGTTCTGTGTGGGCACATTTTTTGATATAGTACGGATTTAATGGTACCCCCAGATTTTAGGTATTTTAAAGGTTACGTCCCCATTTTCGAACCAAATCAGCTGTATTTTTATATTTTGGTTTCTTTGTAGGCAGTTCAAATCCTCAAAAAAAAATATTCACCACAAGCCTAGGCCCCAATACACTGATTTTCGGGATTTTAAAGGTTTCAACTCCGATTCCTAACCAAATTAATCAGCTATAATTTGATATTTCGCCGTGTGAATAGGGGGTTTAACTCTCCACAAAAAAAATTAAACAGGTCAATTTTTTTGGTATAACTCGCATATAACAATATCTCCTGCTGATATTCCGCATTTTGAAGGTTTCATCCCTAAATTGACAACAAAATCAATTAATGGTACCTCCTGATTTTTGGTACTTTGAAGATTTCTGTTTTTTTTTTTTTTTTTTTTTGTAGTTGGTCCTTTTTTTGCGATTTACGATGTTTGTCTGTCTGCCTGTTGAAATCACGATAGAGCCAACATTTTTTGACGTAGAGGTTCAGAATTAGGCAGAACAATTTGTATTTTGTCTAGGATGGTTGGTATTTAAAAAGAGATGTATATACCTCCCAATATTCGATATTTTGATGATTTTTCCCACAATTTTTTAAGGATTTGTCAAAAATTGGTATTAGTAGTTCGCAATGGGTTCTAGCTCCGGTGGCGGAACATAGTATATATAGGTCCACGTTTTCGTATAGCTCCCATGTAACGATACCTCCCAATATTCGGTATTTTGATGATTTTTGCCACATTTTTCCATGGATTTATCCAAAAATTGGTATTTGTAGTTTGCAATGGGTTCTAGCTCCGGTAGCAGAACATAGTATATATAGGTCCACGTTTTCTTATAGCTCCCATGTAACAGTACCTCCCGATTTTCGATATTTTGATAATTTTTACCACAGTTATTCACAGATTTGTCTTAAAGTTGGTATTTATACTTTGCAATGGGTTCTAGCTCCGAAGGCGGAACATACTATACGTAGGTCCACGTTTTGGTATAGCCTCAATATAATCGTACCTCCTAATATTCGGTATTTTGATGATTTTTGCCGCATTTTTTCACAGATTTGTCTAAAAATTGGAATTTGTAGGTCCCCTGATATAATTTCTTGTCGATTTTCACACTTTTTTTCATTTCCAACATCCACTGTAAATGTTATCTTTTTTATTTCCTAATTATTTTTCCTAATAACTGTAACAATCCCTTAATCTTTCTACCATTCTATATCTACCCATTCCCACTAAATTTTATATTTCTAAACAAAAAAAAATTCTAATTAAATTTAAATTATTCTTATATTAATATATTCTAATCTGGAATTTTTATTTTCTAAACAAAAACCCAATACCAAACGACAACAACATGCTATAATTAACAAAACACACAATAATGCACAATGACGATGGCTACAACGACGACGATATCGTTCAAAATTATGACCCGCCCATCATCACCAAAAAACAACTATAGAGATTGGCGTGTGTATAATCCAAGATTTTATCGCAAGTGAAAACATTTTCAAAAAACCGCAAAAACCAAACAAAATAATTATTTTAAAAATAGAAAGAAGAAAAGAATTACAAACTCCCTCAACATACGAAAGTGAAACGATTAATTTTAAGCGACTTGCAACGAACGATTTTTTATTCTAAACATGGCATGTGTGGTGCATCACTAGGAAGCGATATGACCAACAATCCAACCAAATGCTGCTTTGTTTCCCCCCATTTTTATTTATTTATTTATTTATTTATTAATTTATTATTTATTCTTTAAAGACGCTTTAACTTTTGCATTTACTAAGCAAAACTGTTTTTCCTTGCATTACCATACCTGGCGGCGCCGCAGCCTCAGTCTCTACTCTTAGCGTGACCTGTAAGATGTTTTTTTCTTTATCACTTTTCCCCCCCTGCTATACTATATCCATTTATGTAAAATGTACCACCAATCATTTGTATTTTTTCTTCTCTTTTCATTTGTAAATATGTTTAATTTTTCATACATCTCTCAATATGGGTAAATGGGTTTAATTTCATAATATTTGGAAATAATGTCTTTGTTCATAATTGTTGTTTTTGTTTATTCCTCGTATGTTTATTTCAAGATATACATATACTTTATTAATGCTTGTTGGGAATGACCCCTTTGGTTTTTGTGGTAAAAATATGTCCGTCCCTTATTGTTGTTATAATCAGTTTGCTTTTGATAACCATATAACTTTAAACGGGAATGTACCAGGGGTTTATTTAATACAATAACATAACTATTTAAATTCTATTCTCTAATATATGGTCTGTTCCAGAACTGAAAAATTTTAAAGTATTTACTACGATAACCGATTTTTCTGGAACATAGCAATAATAATTCAAAATTGTTTTAAATTCTACTTATATAAATTTCGGGCAATATACAGTATATGAATGGTGATTCTCTGAAGAAGGTATATATAAATATTTACTTTGTCGTTAATCTTGCAAAATTTCCAGAACTGTAGAATTCAATTTCCAACTAAATCAAGTGTAATTTTGGTATTTCTGGTTCGGAGTGGTTATTTTGACTTCTCGCAAAAAATGATCAATGTAGTTTTTTGGTATGTCGAAGGTTTCGGTTCCAATTATCAATCGGATCAGTTATAATTTGATAATTCAGGCTCTCGCAATCCAGGTTCCCTTTTTGGCATAACCGTACCTACTGATTTCTGATATTAGAAAGGAAATGGGTGCCAATTCCCCATCAAATCAGGCGGTTTTTTTTTATATTTCTTGCTATCAGGATGGTAGTTTTATTCCTCGCAAAAAATATTTACTAGCGGTGCGATTTTTGTAACCCCCTTTAATGGTACCACCTGATTTTTGGTATTTTGAAGATTTGGGGCCCTAGTTTTTAATCGAATCATCAGTTATAATTTGATAATTCAGGCTCTCCCGCTCGCAATCCTAGTCCCTTTTTTGGCATAGCCCCCAAATAACCATACCTACTGATTTTTGATACTTGGAAGTTTATGGGTGCCCCACCAAATCTTGCTCTCAGAGGATAGTTTAAATTCTCGCAAAAAAAATATATTCACTAGCGGTGCCATTTTTGATACACCCCCAATTAATGGTACCTCCTGATTTTTAGTATTTTGAAGATTTCTACCCCTAGTTTTTAATCGAATCATCTGTCATTTCGATTTTTTTTTTTTGTTTTTGGTCCTATATTCGCAAAAAAATCGCAATGTAGTTATTTGCTATTTCAAAGGTTGTGGTTCCAATTACCAATCAGATCATTTATAATTTGATAATCCACGCTCTCAGCGGTTACTTTAACTTCGCGCTGTCCAGGCCCCCTTTTTGGTATATAGCGTATTATACCTCGGATGTTTTGTATCGAATCCAGATAAAATACATTCAATGTATATCCACTTTTTGGTATAGCCTTCATATTGCCATACCTCCCGATTTTCGGAATTTTAAAGATTTTGCCCCTAATTGCCAACTAAATCAGCTGTAATTTGAAAAGTATGCAACTTAAGTCAATTTTTTTGGTATAGGTCCATTTAACGGTGTCTCCTGATTTTCGGTATTTTGCGGGATTCGGCCTAAATATTCAAGTAAATTTGCTGTTCTGTGTGGGTTCATTGTTTGATATAGCACGGATATAATGGTACCTTCTTCTGATTCTAGGTATTTTGTAAGTTACGTCCTCAATTTTAACCAAATCAGCTGTATTTTGATAAATGGGTTTCTTTGTGGGCAGTTCAACTCCTCAAAAAAATATTCACTGCAAGCCTGGGACCCATATAATGCCACCCTCTGATTTTTGGGATTTTTAAGGTTTCGACTCCGATTCCTAACCAAATCAGCCATAATTTGATATTTCCCTGTGAATAGGGTGTTTAACTCTCCACAAAAAACATAGGTCAACTCTTTAGTATAACTCGCATATAACAATATCTCGTGATATTCCGCATTTTGAAGGTTTAATCCCTAAATTTAAACAAAATCAATTAATGCTACCCAAATTAATAATGTTACCCCAAATTTTTTGTAAATGGTCCTTTTTCGCGATTTAACGATGTTCGTCTGTCTGTCTGTTGATATCACGATACAGCCACGTTATTTGACGTAGAGCTTTAGAATTTGGTAGAACAGTTTGTATTATGTCTAGGATGGTTAGTATTGAAATGAGATATATCAATCCACGTTTTGATATAGCCTCCATATAACCATACCTCCTGATATTCGGTATTTTGATGGCTTTTGCCACATTTTTCCATGGATTTGTCCAAAAATTGGTATTCTTAGTTCATAATGGGATCTAACTCCGGTGGCGAAACATTGTATGTATAGGTCCACGTTTTCGTATAGCTCCCATGTAACGGTACCTCCCGATATTCGATATTTTGATGACTTTTGCCACATTTTTCCACGGATTTGTCCAAAAATTGGTATTCGTAGTTTGCAATGGGTTCTAGATCCGTTTGCAAAACATTTAATATTTCCCATTTTACCCATCGATATTCGGTATTTTGATAATCCTAGTGACATTTACCCACGAAATTGTTTCAAATTTGATATTTAATAAGATTTGGTAGATGAGAATGCTTGAAGTATTAAAATGGTCTATAGAGGTTCCCGTTTTGGTATGGCCCACCCATTATCCAAACGGTCTTATTGTTGTTTGTAGTTTAAAGTGGAAGACGTTTGAATTCAGATACTTTTATAAAAAAATGTTTTCTTTAGCCAAAGGTGGGGGAGGGTATTAAAAGTTCGGCTCGGCCGAATTTAATGTTCTTTTACTTGTTTTTTATCTGCGCTTGGTACATTTCTTTGCATTTTATTATTTTAAATTTTTGGAGTTCATTGCTCTGAAATGAGTTATTTTTTTTTAAATTCTAAATCTAGACGAGCTTTTCCGACGAGTTTTCCTTCCAAACTCTTATTTTTATATTAATCGAAGTTATGTGAAAAACCCATACTGTGCCTCTAAAACTCAATCTTATAGAACATGAAAATAATGGCATTCCGGAATTACCCTCTACTGAAAGTGGTGAATGTCACTTTGCTCGGCAACACAAAAATATTTACAAAAAAAAAATACGCCTTAAAGATGAACCCTGCTTTGTAACGATGTGTTGTATGAGTGGATGTAGCAGCCGATGCTAAGAAAAAAAATCGCCTGTACAGACTCTCCATCTCCATATTCCTCACTTTGTAACAAAAAAAAAATTGTCACTTAACTAACCCCTCCTTTTCCTCCCCCTCCAAGCAGCTTTCATATTATTCTCATCAATTTCATTTGCAAGCGCTTTTGTTTTATTTTTTCTCATTGGAGCATATCAAATATTTATTTTATTTAATTTTTTATTAATATTTGTATTTTTTGTTGTTTTTCTTTTGTTTATTTTTAAGTTTTTTTTTATATATGGTACATGTTTTTTGTATAAACAATTATCTTGCAAAATACTAAACACTTTTTCCAATTTCTTTTACAGCGTTCATCCACATCCCTATAATTCTTCAGCGGCCAGGCGTTCACATCATCATCATCATAATCACCACAACCATCATCATCATCATCACCGTTCCAAACATGGCGCCAAGCATACGAGCAGTTCTCCAGCTCCAGCCGCAGCAGCAGCACCAACAAATAGTAATAACAAATCTTCAGAAGAATCCAACAATCAAAACTAATTCAAATCGCAGGAAGAAGGCAAAGGGAGATATGGCAAGAAGACCTTGGGAGAAGATGTGGATTATCAATATTAACAAAAAAAAAAAAAAAACAAAAACCCTTTAGCATAGTTGTGTAATGTTTTGTATGGAACAGCAAACAAAAACAAGCAGCCCCAAATGATGAAATTGGATTTCGTTTACCTTACCCCATCCTTCAGTTATTTCTTTATTTGTATGGCAAAACATCACTTAAGCGTATAAAAATAAACCCCTTACCAGATAAGATGACCCAATGCTAAAACCATAACAAAAATAAATAAAGAGAAATAAAGCAACCACCCCCCAGAAGAGGAGGTAGAAGAAGAAGAAGAGAAAACAGGCGAACGAACAGCAGTATCCAGCATAAATAATATGTTTTATTTTTAATTACTTTAGAATTTTAGCTTTATAAACAAAACAAAAAAAGTATATATTTACCAAACCACCCCCTCTCCACTCCCCTCCTACCACCCCCTATTAATGTAATCTCCTTTTTCTCATTTAAAGCAAAATCATATGTTGCAAAAAAAAAAAAAAACAAAGAAGAAAATTCCCAATCTTAAAACAATGACCATTACTATAGACACCTCATCTCTGTGGAGCAAGTACAACAAGAAAACGATATCAAGTTGTGTTGGGTAGGACAGAATTTATGGTTATTTGAATTCCATTTTTAAGTAGAATGCAGTTGAAAACAAACAAAACAAATGAATTCTCTTCATTGGCCTTATGTTGATATTTTTGTTTTTAATTTTAATTCCAATGTCTTTTTAATTTAATTTTTTTTCTTTTTTTTTTTGGATTTCTAATGGTTCTGGTGGCAAAATCGGAAAATTTGTTTAAATCTTGAAATTCAATTTGTAATATTCATTTCATTTTCTCAGAAGAATTGTTTAAATCTTGTAATTGTGATTTTCATTTCCTATTGATTTTTTTTTTACTTTTTGTATTTATCAAAATAATTGTCAATTTTCTTATAAATCCCTTTTTTTAAATTGAATTCATAACGTTATATCTTGAATTTTTTTGAATTTAATTTATATTCTTTATATTTTTATGTTTCTTATTTTTTACCATTATTATTATTTCCCATAAGAAATTTTGAAGATATCCCTGCATTATTTTTTTTTTTTTCAAATCTAAACAAAATGAAGCGATAATTGATATAAAAAACTAGTTTAAAGAAGAATAAGAAGTCGAAGAAGAAGCAGAATAAACACCCTATTCGATAAATATATCAATTTAAATCTAAACGAAATATGTGTTTTTATTTCAATCATCAATCGAACCGAGATACTTTGGGCATTTGTGGAAGGTTTCAAGTGAAACACGATGGATTTCCAGTTTTTTAAGATCCTTAGAATGTACATGGTTGGGTTTGGTTTAAGGTTTCTACAACTGCTTTACTCGCAAACCTTCGGTCTATTGGGTTCAAAGTTGTTGGTGATAAAAGAGATAAAGAAAGACAAGGTTTATGGAGAGAAGTATAGTTGGCAGGGTTGTCTGCTTGTAAATGATGATGGGATCTATGCCTCAGAAGAAGAACTTTCTCTCCCACCTGTCAAATAGCCTACGTCTCTCTTTGGATAACATGGGACATTTGCATAGAAGTTGTTGGATCATCTCTACCTCTTCTCCATCTTTACATAGTCTACAGTAGGCAAGAACACTGCTTTGCCCTCTTATGGTCAGTATCTCATACTCAGTATGCCTACCGCGATAAGTGACAAAAGGGAGCTTGTTCTTTTTCTCGAGATTAACGGCCAAATGACCTTAGATACCCTGCAAGCAGTCTCCAAGTCCCATCTGCATTCAGCTTCTTCGATAGGATATTTTTATACCCTCATCCATGTGGCTAGAGGGGATATATATCATTTGATACGGTCAAAACGTGCCTAGTCGAAATAACGATTTTAGAACCTAGATCTCTTTGGACCCAATCCGTTTCAGGACATTTGGAGTCGATCTAGCGATGTCCGTCCGTCCGAATGGAGTATCTGATTTGTTCCAAACTTGATACATCGTAATATTATTATCAAACTTAGATTGAGTTCGGAGATGGACAATATCGGCCCACTTCTTATGGTAGCACCTCCCCCTCAAAACTTCGAAATTTAAAAAAAAATATTTTTTGCTGCACAGAAAGAGAAGGGATAAACCGATTTTGCTCAAACTTTGTAAATCCTAATATTTATATTACAGCTAGGTCAGGTGCGAAAATGGGCAATATTGGTCCACTACATCAAGTACCTACCCCACAAAGGGTCAAAATTTTGAATAATTATAGCTCCTATTAAATGATGGGAGGTAAAAGTCCGATTGTCTTCAAATTTCACACACATCTCAATATTTTTATTAACCCAAGGTCTGATGTGATGGTGGAATATATCGGTGCACTCCTTCTGGTACCTTCCCCACAAAGGGTCAACATTCCGCCTACCCATGAAGCACATAAAACGCGAAATTAACATCCGATTCCATTCCAAACTTGGCACATCTCAATATTTCTATCAACACAAGATCTGTTATAAAGATGGTAGAGATCGGACCATTTGTTCTAGTACCTGCCCCATAAAGGGTTAAAGTTTTGAATAACAAAAATTATCATAAAATCCGAAATAAGCATCCGGTTCTCTTCATATTTCACACATCCCATTATTTCTACTAACACAAGATATGCTGTGAAGAAGGGATATATCGGTACACTCCGTCTGGTACCTCCCCCACAAAAGGGCCAAAATACTGAATATCCATGAAGCTCATAAGAAGCGAAATTAACATCCGATTCCATTCAGACTTGGCCCATCTCAACATTTCTATCAACACTAGATCTGTTATAAAGATGGTAGAGATCGGACCATTTCTTCTCGTACCTCCCCCACGAAGGGTTAAAGTTTTGAATAACCAAAACGATTATAAAATCCAAAATTAGCATCGGATTCTCTTAATATTTCACACATCGCATTATTTCTACTAACACAAGATATGCTGTGGAGAACATTTGTGTATCCTTTGAAGAAGTCTTGTGAATCACCCGGGATCTACGTTAGTTTCAATCCATAGAGAACCCTTTTCTAACAACTTGTTGACAAAAACACTCTACTAATTCCAAAAACTCTTTTCCAATCCCAGCAACATTTTGTTACTCAAAACACAAGCAATCCTTGAAAATTTTGTATCCGGAAAATAAAATAGTTTTCTTTACAAATATTGAAAGGCAGGAGTTTTTTTTTAAAGCGGATATTTTTTTCTTTTGATTTTTCCAACGGTCAAATTTTTGAAAAAAATCTCCTCCACACACACACAGAAAACAAAATGCGTGAAATTGTCCACATACAAGCCGGCCAGTGTGGCAATCAAATTGGAGGAAAATTCTGGGAAGTTATATCAGATGAGCATTGCATCGATGCCACGGGAACGTATTATGGTGATAGCGATCTGCAATTGGAGCGCATCAATGTCTATTACAATGAGGCCACGGGGGCGAAATATGTGCCCCGAGCAATTTTGGTGGATCTGGAACCGGGCACAATGGATTCGGTGAGGTCGGGGGCATTTGGTCAAATTTTCCGGCCCGACAACTTTGTGTTTGGCCAATCGGGGGCGGGCAATAACTGGGCCAAGGGTCATTATACCGAGGGAGCGGAATTGGTGGATTCGGTTCTGGATGTGGTGCGCAAGGAATCGGAGGGTTGTGACTGCTTGCAGGTGAGTAACAAAGGCAAACTAAAAAACAGATTTTTTATAACACAATTTCCCCCCACAGGGTTTCCAATTAACGCACTCATTGGGTGGTGGCACTGGTTCCGGCATGGGCACATTGCTGATATCGAAAATCCGTGAAGAATACCCCGACCGTATTATGAACACATTTTCCGTGGTACCCTCGCCCAAGGTATCGGACACAGTCGTCGAACCCTACAATGCAACACTGAGTGTCCATCAATTGGTGGAGAACACCGATGAAACCTATTGCATAGACAATGAAGCCCTGTACGATATTTGTTTCAGGACCCTTAAACTAACCACACCGACATATGGTGATCTTAATCATTTGGTCTCGGCCACCATGTCAGGTGTGACCACCTGTCTACGCTTTCCCGGGCAATTAAATGCCGATCTACGTAAACTGGCTGTGAACATGGTACCATTTCCTCGCCTGCATTTCTTTATGCCTGGCTTTGCTCCCCTAACCTCAAGGGGTTCCCAGCAGTATAGAGCCCTCACAGTTCCCGAACTTACACAGCAAATGTTCGATGCCAAGAATATGATGGCCGCCTGTGATCCTCGACATGGCCGTTATCTTACCGTGGCTGCCATATTTCGTGGTCGCATGTCCATGAAAGAGGTCGATGAGCAAATGTTGAATATACAAAATAAAAACAGCAGTTTCTTTGTGGAATGGATACCGAATAACTGTAAAACAGCGGTGTGTGATATACCACCGAGGGGATTGAAAATGTCCGCCACATTTATTGGTAATTCCACGGCCATACAGGAGTTATTCAAACGTGTTTCGGAGCAATTCACTGCCATGTTTCGACGCAAGGCCTTTTTGCATTGGTACACCGGTGAGGGTATGGATGAAATGGAATTTACCGAGGCCGAAAGTAATATGAACGATTTGGTATCGGAATATCAACAGTACCAGGAGGCAACTGCCGATGAGGAGGGTGAATTTGATGAGGATGAAGAAGGCGGTGGTGATGAGTAGGAATTGTAGGTGGAAGCTCGCGGAAAATTGCTAGTATTTGTAAAAATGTTTTTCTTTATTATTCTACTTTTCCAGTATTGGTTTTTTATTCTATGTATAGGTCGTAGATCTTGATCCTTGAATGATTATGTCTGGACAATAAACAAAATTTGAAAATAAACTTCAAATGAAATCTCTCGATAGAGGGTTGGGAGGTATTTCGGGTCGAGAAAAAGATCCACATTTGTGGGACCAAGAAGTATGTAAAAGGGCTAACAGGAACCCTATAGTAGGTAGGCAAGGTCGTCTATTTTGGGCGACCAAAAGGGCCATGGTGTCTGTATTAAATTGATAACAAGGAACATTGAATCGATCCAAGCAGTCTTTTTAGACGAGCGGAAGTATCAAGAAGTTTACAAATAAATAGAGGAGCCAGATATTGTAGAGGAGCTCAAGAATCAGGCAGTGTATTATGGGCGAGCTTAAGGTCCAGTCTTTAGAGACGAACTAAAGGGACGGTGAGTCTTTATAGACGAACGGAAGGCCGATGAGTCTTAACATCCGAGCTGGAGGACATTTTAGAGAAGCTAAGTGCAAAATCCTTCTGATGACATTTAAAACTTATGTCCGGGTAGTACATTTTAAATTCTTTTATTTTAAATAGTTTACAAGTCTTGTCCAAAAACATAAATAACCTAAATAATAAACAACAAATGTAGATTAATTAGTTTCTGAAAGAAAAATAAAATACTTAACAAAACCATTCCCCCCACTTCTACAGGAACTTAAAACTAAATCCGAAAACTCAAAAGGCATTCAATTATGTTCCAACTCCTCCGATTCATGCCAATTTTGTTTTATCATTTCAACAATTTGTTTGCAAAAACGTGATTGTGAAAAATAATATCCCGCACAGGTGAGTATGAACAGCCAGGCCAAGACCAAAACATAATCTGTGCTATTGTCGGCGGAAATAACCAAGGGTGAGTGTGGTAGCTCTTTGGGTACCTCTGCGGGCTTTAGGCCCGTATGCCTCGTTACAAATGTATTGAAATTGCCTTGGGCACGATATTTCACCACAGGACGTCCCTGATGGAACAGCATAATGGTGGGCAGGGCAACAATGCCAAATTCCGTATTAAAGCTTGGGAATTTGTACGCATCTATGGCTGCAACGGGTATGGTCTTAAAGGCATACGGCAACTCCACAATGGGTCCCGCCACCAGTGAACAACCCAAACATGAGGGTGTATAAAAGAATATCACCACACAGCTGCCAGGTTGATAACGTTTGGTGTTGTTACCAATTGGCTTGAGAAGATCAACAATTTCCTGTACCGAACTCATAATACGAATTTCATTTGTGTTATTCACAATCAAAGGGTGTTCGGGTAGACATTTAACCATAATGGGTGGCTTGCGGGGCGCCTCTGTTGCCAGGGGTGATGGTAGCAGATGTAGAATATATTCATCGTCTGGAAAGCATAGCTGCAAATCTTCATAGCCCACAAAGGATATGAAATCATAGAGACATTTTCCTCTTGACACTCCCAGCTCATCGACAGTCATTTCCTCCACCGATTTGGTAGTGTTTGTGGCATTGTTGGCATTATCCTTTTGCAGGAAATCGAAGAGTTTGTAAAATGAGAAAAGAAAATGTTTTTTGGCCGAACAGCTTGTGGCACAGAGACCTAGAGAGAGGATATGAGAAATACAAATACGTAATTGGAAGTTGTTGAGTATTTTAGTGTTTTAATTACTTACCAACAAATAGAATTATTAATAATACGTTTGTTTTCATTGTTTATTTAAAGAAATAATCCAAGATTGTTTTGCTTTTGCAGCAGATTACGAAGGCGGATGATTTTTGTCAACGGCGTCACGCTGTGATTTGTGTTTACTCTGAACAGGAACACAAATACACCGAACACACAGTTTTGTGAATGAAGGAATAGGCAAAATGCTGCAACAGCTGTTCGTTCGTTCTTTGCTTAAAAAGAGGGTCGGGGACGAGTGCAAAAGGCGCTTAATTTATTTTTATATCACGTTCGTACAGGCATGAGAGCTGATACAATTACTCAAACGAAATAAGGGATTTAGAAATCATATTGCAACACTTTTAGGGTTAGGCAGTGCGACTTTTACCGCAACAAAAAAATAGTTTTTTTTAGCGAGGCTTTGTTGAAAGTATTGTTTTAGTGATTTTGGGAACATGGGGAGGAGAAACAAAACAAAAATTTTGTACAGCTTATATTTGCAAGTTAATTTTTCAGTGTGAGAGAGATTAATTTTAATATGAATTCCCTTTGCATCCATAAACATAAGGGATTTATAGATCGATTTGCAACTGCCTCAGTGTTCATTAGGTTAAATTTCTGCTGAGAGAAAGAAACTTCGATGGTAGGCATGAATTGAAGAAATTTGTAATTTAGAAATAAAAGGGAGGTGAATGAAGGCAGCGCATGTTCTCATTTGTCTTTATAAATTAATTTTTCAGTATGCGATAGTTTTTAAGTACGTTTACATTGTATGGGATCTTGAAAAAAACTTCATAAGAGTGTTTCTCCTAAATAAACAAGGGATGTTCGCAAATAAATGCTGCAAGCAAAAGAGACAAATTAATACCAAATGGGTTTCCAGAAAAGTATTTTACTGGGTGTATTCAATTAAAAAATACACCTTGGTATTTTAAATAAAATTAGACTAAAGGTAAAAGTACATAAAACATTTTTTACTGGCTTAAGTCATCGGTTGGTTTTTTCATAAAAGAACAAAGGAGCGTAGGGTACACCAGTATTAATTATAGGCCGAAATTGAACTAAGTCAACCTAAAGCTCCTTTGTTCTTTTATGAAGAAGCCAGCCTTTGAATTAAAGGGCTAAGTACATAAGAAGCTTGAAGTCATGGCTAGGCATATTTTGTGACATTTCACAAAGGGATTACAGAGCCGCACTAAAATCCAGCCGTCGTTTTTCATTATAATTTGACATTAATATGCCTAGACATGACTTCAAGCTTCTTATGTACTTAGCCCTTAAGTCAAGTCTAAGAATTAGGCATCCTAAGCAAAAAGTATCAAAAATATTTTCTCCCAAAAGAAAAAAAGATACATTATTGCGTTTTCCGTTTTAAATGACGTTGTCAAATTGACATTATTTAATGTATAATGTACAATATTGCCCATCCTTTTTCATTAATTATACCGCCTATATTGTCTATGTTCGAAATCTTCTTTGACATAGTACTTTTCACTCCACTCAATTTGAATATTCTGCCGACGAATTTTCTTAGTTTTAATATGAATATGCATAAAAATGTCATATCGTCTTATAATCATCGACATCATCACCACCACCATCGTCGTCATTAAGGCAACCAACCAAACATCGATGCACTTTAATGGACTTTCGTTTATTTGTTCGTTGCGCTGCATTTTTTTCTTTCTTTGCGCTATGACCTCAAAAGGATACAGGGGTTGTGTGTTAATATTCATAAGAACAGTCGATGAGGAGATCTTTTTTTTTTGTTGGTGAAGGATTAAAAGATAAGATGACAGAATACAAATTCAATCATTAAAATTCATTGGATAGGTTGTGAGGCGACAATACGAATTAAGGCGGAAGGTGGTGACGATGTGAGAAAGATGGGAAAAAATTGAGAAAGAAGAGTGTCAGGATTATTTGAGAGTCAAAATCTAGGTGAGCAGCCGACAAACTTTTGAAGCTTTCATGAATTCCATTAATCTATAGAATCCACTTGGGATCTTTTAGCAAAAGCCTTTTGGATACACACGAGTCTAGCTTTCTGTTTGTGCCATGGGGTCTTCTTTTGGTGGAGTTTTTTTTACTGGCTATTGTTACCGCCTGCCTTTTTCATAAATTAACATAAACTCGAAGGAATGACATACCGCGTTTGAAGCGTCAGTCGAAGCAGATTTTTACCATGAACACGCCACGCGAGCTCTCTGAAATAGTTGAAATTTACATTCAACAGAAGAAGTCAATTGTGAAAAAAATGTGAGAAGTGCGCCTTCTAAGAACACCATGAAGCGTTTATACGAAATATTTTCGACAGGTAAGGCTCTTCCTAATCCGAAGAGGCCATATAAAAGTCGACCAAGGCGATCGGCCGAGAATATCGCTGCCGTACGAGCCAGTGTTGAGAGGTCCCCAAGAACATCGCAAAAACGCCGTTCTCAGCAGTTAGGCATGGCTCGGTCCACTTTACAACGGATTATTCGCATTAATTTGCATTTGTTCCCGTACAAAATTCAATTGAAGCAAAGAATGTTGCCTGCGGACAAGCCTCGTCGATTGGAATGGTCCCAAAGGTCCGTCGAATATGGGTAACCCTGTATATATGATGGGGCAAAATCGAACTAAGTCAACCTAAATTAGCTTTCTTCGGATAAGAGCAAATGAGCGTAGGGCCAAAATCGAACTAAGTCAACCTAAAACTCCTTTGTTACTTTTCGAAGAAGCCAGCGGATGACTTAAGCCAGCCAAAAAAAGCATTTTATGTATTCTCACCTTTAATTCTACCATGGAACTCTTCTTTGCACTTTCATAAAAATATATGAGTGGATATGAACCCACCTAATGGTTGTCCATCTTTTGCCATTTTTTACATATTTTTTCCTCTTTAATCCGAAACGACTTGAACCTCAACTTCTTATCTAAAGTTTTCCATTTAAGGTATCCTCATTGATTTCGGGGGAAAAACTTTTTCAATTGAATTGATTTTGTCGTAATTTAGAGTCGTCGGCCGTTGGTCTTTTTTCTTCTTCTGCAAATCACACTGACTGACCATCGAAAATTTTACTTGTTTCTTAAACTTCCAACTCTTTGCCAAAAGAACGACAATTTAGATGACATTTAAGCTGGTGGTTTTTACCCACATTCTGCCCCAACAAACCGACCGACCATTACCTTTTGCCGTTCAATGAGGTTAAATGTTGTCGTCTAATCTCCTATTTTCGTTAGAGTTCCCATCAAAGTGCAAAAGGTAATAAAGACATGCTTTTGCTGCCTAGAAACTTTGGAGCTATCACCAATACCAGCCACCCGCAGCATACCCTCATCCCTCCTTTGCTCACTTACCACTTAAATCCAAAGCAATATCCGAAGTTTATGTGATAACTTTCTTGTGTAACATTTGTCGATGTCATTCACTTTTGGTGGAACTTCCCAAAAAAAGTAGGCAAACCATTAGCTGAGTGAGTGACTGACTGACTGGGTGGGTGCCATAATGTCACGGTCGCCAGCTGGCTGGAGGTGGGCCTCTGGACTTTGTTGGCTGCCAGTATAGGCAGAAAATTTATCTAAATTGCAATTTACAATCAAAATAGGGTTTCTTCTTCTCTATCTTTCTTATTTTCAAAATCTTGCAGTTCAATTTAGCCAAATGCATTTAAGATGATGCCGCTACCCGGGCAATCGGCCAAAGTTTCAATGTTGTCCTTTTCTTGCAATTTTCGTTGTGTTGTTGTTTTTTTTTTTTTGGTTTGAAAAATGTGTCTACATTCTTTCGGCTTGGCATGTGGGTGAAGTTTTTTTTTCGTGGAAATTGAAGATTGAATGGAGGACATAACCACAACAGCTAAAACTTCAGGAATTTAAGGAATGTCAATGTTTTGTGATTTTGGGAGGAAAGGAAGAATTTAAAAATGAGTTTGAGGAGGGAGGATGGATGTCATATAGAGGGGGTAGATGTAGAAGTCACCAAGGGGACATCTACTGCCGTATAGATGTTACCAGGGGGCATCTACTGCCGAGTAGATGTCACCAGGGGACATCTGCAGCCATGTAGATGACACCAGGGGTCATCTCCTGCCAAGTAGATGTCATCAGAGGACATCTACTGCCGAGTAGATGTCACCAGGGGATATCTACTGCCGAGTAGATGTCACCAGGCGACTTTTATTACCGAGTAGATGTCACCAGTGAATATCTACTGCCGAGTAGATGTCACCAGGGAATATCTACTGCCGAGTAGATGTCACCGGGGGACATCTACTGCCGAGATGATGCCACCAGGGTATATCTAATGCCGAGTATATGTAACCTAAAACCCCTGGTGGCTAGCAGATGTCACCAGGCGGTATATCCTGCCGAGTAGATGTCACCAGGGAACATCTACTGCTGAGTAGATGTCACCAGGAAACATCTACTGCCGAGTAGATGTCACCAGGGGACATCTACTGCCGAGTAGATGTCACCAGGGGACATCTACTGCCGAGTAGATGTCATCAGAGGACATCTACTGCCGATTAGATGTCACCAGGGGACATCTACTGCCGAGTAGATGTCACCAGGGGACATCTACTGCCGAGTGGATGTCAGCGGGGGACATCTACTGCCGAGTAGAAGTCACCAGCGGACATCTACTGCCGAGTAGATGTCATCAGAGGACATCTACTTCCGAGTAGATGTCATCAGAGGACATCTACTTCCGAGTAGATGTCATCAGAGGACATCTACTTCCGAGTAGATGTCACCAGGAGACATCTACTGCCGAGTAGATGTCACCTGGAGACATCTACTGTCGGGTAAATGTCACCAGGGGACATCTACTGCCGGGTAGATGTCACCAGGAGACATCTACTGCCGGGTAGATGTCACCAGGAGGCATCTACTGCCGAGTAGATGTCACCAGGGGGCATCTACGGTACAGTATATGTCACCAGGGGGCATCTACGGTACAGTAGATGTCACCAAGGGACATCTACGGTACGGTTGATGTCATCAGGAGCCATCTACGGTTCAGTAGGTGCCTTCAGGAAGTATCTACTGTAGAATAGATTTCACCAGGAGACATCTACTGCCGGGTAGATGACCATTTAGGTCACCTACGATAGAGGAGATGAGAAGTCACCATTGCTACCCATTAAATTTCTTCACCACCTTCCTCCTTCCCCCCATTAAAATTCTTTCAAAATTTATGATGAATGAAATCAAAAGTTTAAAACACCAACAGCAACAACAAAGAACAAATAAAAGATTAACCAGAATTATTAATTATTATGAGTGAACAATTCATTAAGTTGATTTTATTGCTCATTAATAGATTCTAATGTCGCTGTGTTGCTGTTGTTGTTGCCTTTGTCATTCCGCAAGTACGTGATGTTGACCCCGATGTTGAACTCCTCCCAAGGGAACAACAAATGCAAAACTGTGGGACGTTTTCAAAACTTGATATCACCGAGTTCGCTGTGGAGATTGAGAGGAAAAGAGAAATGTTTCGGGTGGGCGATAAGCCAGGGCCAATGGCAAATTATTGTGATTATTTCGAATAAATAATTTATTTGAAAAATGGATTTTGAAGTTTGCTTTTTGTTTTTCAAAGAAGATATTTGTTTTTGTCTAATTATCAAGAGGGGGAGGGAGGAGGAGGACGGGAAGAGGAGATTAAACTAATGGCCTGGAAGACAGACTGGGAAAGCATTTATTTTTTTTTTTCATCCCCGGCCTGGTTGGGCGCCACTTAGTTCTTGTTTGTTCTGCCTGTGGCTGTTTTGTGATAAGCGTTTCATAAAACATATTGAAACTTGGCATGAATTTGCATGCTAATCTCTATTGTAAATACATTTTATTGAAATGAGATGTCGCAGCGGCTGCTGGTCACTGGTGGTGATTAAAATTGGAAATTAGTTACAAACTCCGGGTCGACCAGAAAAGTTCAACGGCAGAAATGAAAACGGAAAAAATTGGCATTGTGGGAAGGTAAGAAAGGAAAATCGCCGCCCCACCCCCTCCTCCCATCTAATCGTTGCCTTTGTTTTCTTTTTCCTTCAAGTGGCCTAATTGGCCGTGCCTGGTCCATGTTGTTCACCTCTGCCGGCTATCAGGTAATGCTCTATGACATTTTGCCCGACCAGTTGTCCGCTGCTCTGGAGTACATTGACATTGAATTGCATCGCCTGGAGGAGCATGGCCTGCTGCGAGGTCATCTCACGGCAGAACAACAATTCAAATGCCTGCGAACCACCAGCGACCTCAAAGAGTTGTCGAGAAAAGCAATTTTCATCCAGGAATGCATACCGGAGCGCATTGAATGGAAGAGGTCATTGTATCAGCAGCTGGATGACATACTCGAGGAACAAACAATTGTTTCCAGTTCGACGAGCACTTTTATGCCATCCTTGTTCACCGAAGGACTTCGGCATTGTCACAATGTAAGTGGAAGCATAGAACTTGGCAAACAATGAGCTGCTTTGCCAAAGGAGATTGAAGGAATAAAACAAAAACAAAAACAAAACAAAACAATAAAGGATTACAAATCTCTCCCATTTTAGATGTTGGTGTCTCACCCCCTTAACCCTCCCTACTATATACCGCTGGTGGAGATTGTTCCCGCCCCCTGGACCTCACCCCAGGCCGTTGAGTTCACCCGCCAGCTAATGTTGGAAATCCAACAAAAACCTGTCACCCTAAAACGTGAAGTCCTCGGCTTTGCCACCAATCGCATACAATATGCCATACTCAATGAAATCTGGCATCTGGTGGACAAGGACATTCTGACGGTACGCGACATTGATACGGTCATGAATGAGGGTTTGGGTCTGCGCTATGCCTTTTTGGGTCCCATGGAAACGGCCCATTTGAATGCCGAAGGCATTCGAGATTATATACAACGTTTTGGCGGGGAGATCCACAAGGTATCGGAAACCTATGATGCCATACCTAAGATGGAGCCAGGACCCACTTTGGACAAGATAGCCGAGCAGTGTGAAGAAATGGTGCCCAGGGATATGTTGGCCACAAGGCGAAAAGAAAGGGATGCGTTTTTGACAAAATTGAGTGCTCTGAAGAAGGAATTTGAAAAATAAAAAAAGGTTACAGGAGGGTAAAAAGGGGAGCATTTTTTTGAGGATGGGACGAAATGGATGAAAATGGAAGCATGTCACAGAAAAATGGGTCCTCCAAAGGGAACACTTCTAAAAAAACTTACTGGGGAGGAAATGGATTCCCCAAGACCTGCAACACGTCTGTATAGAAACAATTCTAAAGAGAACTTCTTCCTAGAGAAAACTCTCAGATAGTATTCTGATAAAGGGGGAGGGGGTAAATCCGCAAGGCCTTCCTACTTAAAAAATCTTGAAATTTTTGTTTTGGATTTTTTAAAGCCTTTTGAGGGGCAGAGGACTTTATGGCTTTCTAAGTCCTTGAAAAATATTCTTTAAAAAATCCACGTTTATGTCTATGGAAGTCCTTGAAAAATATTCTTTAAAAAATCCACGTTTATGGCTCTGGAAGTCCTTGCAAAAAAAAATCTCTAAAAAATCCACGTTTATGTCTATGGAAGTCCTTGAAAAATATTCTTTAAAAAATCCACGTTTATGGCTCTGGAAGTCCTTGCAAAAAAAAATCTCTAAAAAATCCACGTTTATGTCTATGGAAGTCCTTGAAAAATATTCTTTAAAAAATCCAGGTTTATGGCTCTGGAAGTCCTTGCAAAAAATCTCTAAAAAATCCACGTTTATGGCTATGGAAGTCCTTGAAAAATATTCTTTAAAAAATCCACGTTTATGTCTATGGAAGTCCTTGAAAAATATTCTTTAAAAAATCCACGTTTATGGCTCTGGAAGTCCTTGCAAAAAAAATCTCTAAAAAATCCACGTTTATGACTATGGAAGTCCTTGAAAAATATTCTTTAAAAAATCCACGTTTATGGCTATGGAAGTCCTTGAAAATATTCTTTAAAAAATCCGCGTTTATGGCTATGTAAGTCCTTGAAAAAAATATTCTTTAAAAAATCCACATTTATGGCCATGGAAGTCCTTGAAAAATATTCTTTAAAAAAGCCACGTTTATGGCTTTGGAAGTCCTTGCAAGAAATATTCTTTAAAAAATCCACGTTTATGGCTTTGGAAGTCCTTGCAAAAAATATTCCTTAAAAAATCCACGTTTATGGCTTTGGAAGTCCTTGCAAAAAATATTCTTTAAAAAATCCACGTTTATGGCTTTGGAAGTCCTTGCAAAAAATATTCTTTAAAAAATCCACGTTTATGGCTATGGATGTCCTTGAAAAATATTCTTTAAAAAATCGAAGTTTATGGCTATGGAAGTCCTGGAAAAATATTCTTTTAAAAATCCACGTTTACGGCTATGGAAGTCCTTGAAAAATATTCTTTAAAAAATCCACGTTTACGGCTATGGAAGTCCTTGAAAAATATTCTTTAAAAAATCCACGTTTATGGCTCTGGAAGTCCTTGCAAAAAAAAATCTCTAAAAAATCCACGTTTATGTCTATGGAAGTCCTTGAAAAATATTCTTTAAAAAATCCAGGTTTATGGCTCTGGAAGTCCTTGCAAAAAATCTCTAAAAAATCCACGTTTATGGCTATGGAAGTCCTTGAAAAATATTCTTTAAAAAATCCACGTTTATGTCTATGGAAGTCCTTGAAAAATATTCTTTAAAAAATCCACGTTTATGGCTCTGGAAGTCCTTGCAAAAAAAAATCTCTAAAAAATCCACGTTTATGACTATGGAAGTCCTTGAAAAATATTCTTTAAAAAATCCACGTTTATGGCTATGGAAGTCCTTGAAAATATTCTTTAAAAAATCCGCGTTTATGGCTATGTAAGTCCTTGAAAAAAATATTCTTTAAAAAATCCACATTTATGGCCATGGAAGTCCTTGAAAAATATTCTTTAAAAAAGCCACGTTTATGGCTTTGGAAGTCCTTGCAAGAAATATTCTTTAAAAAATCCACGTTTATGGCTTTGGAAGTCCTTGCAAAAAATATTCCTTAAAAAATCCACGTTTATGGCTTTGGAAGTCCTTGCAAAAAATATTCTTTAAAAAATCCACGTTTATGGCTTTGGAAGTCCTTGCAAAAAATATTCTTTAAAAAATCCACGTTTATGGCTATGGATGTCCTTGAAAAATATTCTTTAAAAAATCGAAGTTTATGGCTATGGAAGTCCTGGAAAAATATTCTTTTAAAAATCCACGTTTACGGCTATGGAAGTCCTTGAAAAATATTCTTTAAAAAATCCACGTTTACGGCTATGGAAGTCCTTGAAAAATATTCTTTAAAAAATCCACGTTTATGGCTCTGGAAGTCCTTGCAAAAAAAAATCTCTAAAAAATCCACGTTTATGTCTATGGAAGTCCTTGAAAAATATTCTTTAAAAAATCCAGGTTTATGGCTCTGGAAGTCCTTGCAAAAAAATCTCTAAAAAATCCACGTTTATGTCTATGGAAGTCCTTGAAAAATATTCTTTAAAAAATCCACGTTTATGGCTCTGGAAGTCCTTGCAAAAAAAATCTCTAAAAAATCCACGTTTATGACTATGGAAGTCCTTGAAAAATATTCTTTAAAAAATCCGCGTTTATGGCTATGTAAGTCCTTGAAAAAAATATTCTTTAAAAAATCCACATTTATGGCCATGGAAGTCCTTGAAAAATATTCTTTAAAAAATCCACGTTTATGGCTATGGAAGTCCTTGAAAAATATTCTTTAAAAAATCCACGTTTATGGCTATGGAAGTCCTTGAAAAATATTCTTTAAAAAATCCACGTTTATGGCTATGGAAGTCCTTGAAAAATATTCTTTAAAAAATCCACGTTTATGGCTATGGAAGTCCTTGAAAAATATTCTTTAAAAAATCCACGTTTATGGCTATAGAAGTCCTTGCAAAAATATTTTTTGAAAAATCCACGTTTATGGCTATGGAAGTCCTTGAAAAATATTCTTTAAACTATCCACGTTTATGGCTATGGAAGTCGTTGAAAAATATTCTTTAAAAAATCCACGTTTATGGCTATGGAAGTCCTTGAAAAAGTATTCTTTAAAAAATTCACGTTTATGGCTATGGAAGTCCTTGAAAATATTTTTTAAAAAATCCACGTTTATGGCTATGGAAGTCCTTGAAAAATATTCTTAAAAAAATCCACGTTTATGGCTATGGAAGTCGTTGAAAAATATTCTTTAAAAAATCCACGTTTATGGCTATGGAAGTCGTTGAAAAATATTCTTTAAAAAATCCACGTTTATGGCTATGGAAGTCGTTGAAAATAGTCCTTGCAAAAAAAATCTTTAAAAAATCCACGTTTATGGCTATGGAAGTCCTTGAAAAATATTATTTAAAATATCCACGTTTATGGCTATGGAAGTCGTTGAAAAATATTCTTTAAAAAATCCACGTTTATGGCTATGGAAGTCCTTGAAAAAGTATTCTTTAAAAAATTCACGTTTAAGGCTATGGAAGTCCTTGAAAATATTTTTTTAAAAAATCCACGTTTATGGCTATGGAAGTCGTTGAAAAATATTCTTAAAAAAATCCACGTTTATGGCTATGGAAGTTGTTGAAAAATATTCTTTAAAAAATCCACGTTTATGGCTATGGAAGCCCTTGCAACAAATATTCTTTAAAAAATCCACGTTTATGGCTATGGAAGCCCTTGCAACAAATATTCTTTAAAAAATCCACGTTTATGGCTATGGAAGTCCTTGAAAAATATTCTTTAAAAAATCCACTTTTATGGCTATGGAAGTCCTTGAAAAATATTCTTTAAAAAATCCACGTTTATGGCTATGGAAGTCCTTGAAAAATATTCTTTAAATCTCCACGTTTATGGCTATGGAAGTCCTTGAAATTTTTTCTTTAAAAAATCCACGTTTATGGCTATGGAAGTCCTTGAAATTTTTTCTTTAAAAAATCCACGTTTATGGCTATGGAAGTCCTTGAAATTTTTTCTTTAAAAAATCCACGTTTATGGCTATGGAAGTCCTTGAAATTTTTTCTTTAAAAAATCCACGTTTATGGCTATGGAAGTCCTTGAAATTTTTTCTTTAAAAAATCCACGTTTATGGCTATGGAAGTCCTTGAAATTTTTTCTTTAAAAAATCCACGTTTATGGCTATGGAAGTCCTTGAAAAATATTCTTTTAAAAATCCACGTTTACGGCTATGGAAGTCCTTGAAAAATATTCTTTAAAAAAGCCACGTTTATGGCTTTGGAAGTCCTTGAAATTTTTTCTTTAAAAAATCCACGTTTATGGCTATGGAAGTCCTTGAAATTTTTTCTTTAAAAAATCCACGTTTATGGCTATGGAAGTCCTTGAAAAATATTCTTTTAAAAATCCACGTTTACGGCTATGGAAGTCCTTGAAAAATATTCTTTAAAAAAGCCACGTTTATGGCTTTGGAAGTCCTTGCAAAAAATATTCTTTAAAAAATCCACGTTTATGGCTTTGGAAGTCCTTGCAAAAAATATTCTTTAAAAAATCCACGTTTATGGCTTTGGAAGTCCTTGCAAAAAATATTCTTTAAAAAATCCACGTTTATGGCTTTGGAAGTCCTTGCAAAAAATATTCTTTAAAAAATCCACGTTTATGGCTATGGATGTCCTTGAAAAATATTCTTTAAAAAATCGAAGTTTATGGCTATGGAAGTCCTGGAAAAATATTCTTTTAAAAATCCACGTTTACGGCTATGGAAGTCCTTGAAAAATATTCTTTAAAAAATCCACGTTTACGGCTATGGAAGTCCTTGAAAAATATTCTTTAAAAAATCCACGTTTATGGCCATGGAAGTCCTTGAAAAATATTCTTTAAAAAATCCACGTTTATGGCTATGGAAGTCCTTGAAAAATATTCTTTAAAAAATTCACGTTTGTGGCTATGGAAGTCCTTGAAAAATATTCTTTAAAAAATCCACGTTTATGGCTATGAACGTCCTTGAAAAACATATTCTGAAATTAAATCCATGTTTGGTCCTTGAAACAAAATTCTGGTCATTAAATTTTCTAACCTTCCACCATAAATCAAATTTTCCCGTTTTGTTTGCCATTGAAAATGGCTAATGAAATAAATAACCGAAACCATCCATCCCAAACAAGACCAA